GACTCCCTGGTGGCAACGTCAAAGGCGTGACGCACACAGATGAAAGGCAAAAGCACTCCGACACATCTGGATGGTGTGTGTGGGTGTTGGTGTTTGTGTATGTGTGAATATTGGAGTTCACCTTGTAAATGTTGTCGATTCCCAGTGTGGGCTCCAGCAGGACTGTAGCACTGAGAAGCACTGCTTGGTAATTATGAAGGGAGTTTGAGATTGTATGTGCAGGTTAAGGTATTTGGGTGTGTCTGTTGTTGTGTAAGTTCATTTACCACTCAGCACACCTATTATTGCTGCTGGCACAAGACGAGAACAAGCTGTTAATGTGAGCTTCTAGAAGCATTTAGTCTTGTACTGGTGCTATTGATACAATTCATTATCAGTATATATTCCAAATATATCAAGGTACCAAATCTATTTAAATCAAATTGACACAATTTTCTCTTTACCTCGAATGTAGTTGATCGGCCAAAAATGTTTTGTAGTGCAGTGCTTGCTTCTTTAGCTTTGCACAATATTTAACCCATCTGGTTACAGACACATGTAAAAATGATTGTAATTCAAAAACTGTGATTCAAATTATATTTATACAACAGTTAGTTCCAGCCACGCAAGCTGATTGGTTGAGAAGCGCTCTAACCGTGCTGTTATTTCGCCATAACAGCACAGTTTTTTCACAAACTCGGTATCCTTCCACTGAGACGCTGTTACTAAGCAATGACTTTGACAGCTGTAGGAGACGCTCAAGCCATTGGAACGTTTTTCTTCTTACTTTGTGCACAAACAGAAAATGGATACTTTTAAGATCACATTTGACCGACAGCCGATTTGGTCAGACTCTGAAGATGAGACTACATTAAATTCGCTAACTGTCATCACCACTGAGCAGCTTTTCAGTCGGCAGCTGTGACAGAAGAACAGCTAAACAACCTGGAATTAGCCAGAAATGAACCAAATACCATTCACCAAACAAAATGGGCTGTAAGATGCTTTACAGACTGGCTGGAACAAAACAACATTAATATTGATCTAGCAAAGTACTAGTAAAAAACTGAGCTGAACTTGATATTGCGGCAGTTTTATGGCTCAGTCCGATTTGGTCAGACTCTGAAGATGAGACTACACGTTTGGCAAATGGTATTTGGTTCATTTCTGGCTTATTCTAGGTTCTTAAGGTGTTCTGTCACAGCTGCCGACTGAAAAGCTTACTCAGTGGTAATGACAGTTTTGGAATTTAGTGTAAGGAGCTGGAGAACGAACTGCTGGCTGGGCAACGAGTGAGAGGAGTTTGCTACTCTGATGTAGCAACAAGCTGCTTGTTAAGGAACTATAATTTGACAGAAGGAATTGCTAACATTAAAACATATTAAATGCCACGTTCACAATAGAAAACCCGAGGTTGTGTGTTATCACGAATAACATCATGGCTGTGATGATCTACGGCGACCAAACCACAACCGTGATAACACACTCCCTCTCGTGTTCTATTGTTTAAGTAGAACACTAAGAAGCTGTAGAATAATAATTGACGAAGCGTCCAGAATGATGAGAATTCTGAAATGACTCTAAATTCTGAAAAGCTGCACAGCATTGAGAATAAAGTTATAATAAAATGGATATCTACAAGTGAGCATATTCCAGAAGTGGAGATTAAATATTATGCAGATAGCTTGACAAAATTTAATTTAAAAAGATAAGTAAATATATTATTTACCAGTTTATTCACTTTTCGTTTGCGGAATTCTTTAAATATTGAATGAAACATCTAAAGATACCTTTTAGTTAATAATATATTATGTTTAAATTCACATTGTGTAAGTTATTACTGTATGTAATGTAATAAATACTGTAAATAAGATAAACTTTTGAACAGTTGTTTGTGTCACACAGATATTTGGGTGACATAGGGCCAGTTACTCCAGTGTGGATTTAGCCCAGTCTTATTCTAGGACTAAACCTCCAGGCCGAAGGTAAAACACAGTTGTAAATTCTTTTTAGTCTGTGCATAGACTTGATCTGGTTCTGGGGAAATGGTCCATATGCTTCCTTTATTTTTAGCTACATTAGCCTCTTATCTTCAGAACAAACCCCTAGAAGTCTATGGTTTTATCATTACTGAAGCAGACTTTAGACAAAAATCAAGGAGTGAATTGTGGAAATGGAGTAAAGTTGATATTTTGGTGAACTTTTTAAAATTACATTGCAAACATACCTTACACAGTATTGTAAATCTTAACCAGAAAGAAATATTTCTTACTGTATACATAAATACATAAAAACAGTTTGAACTGTTCTTTAAAAACAATTAGAAAAAAAATCTATCTTTTAATATCACTACAAGTAAAAAGCAGTGTTGTTATGCGACACCAAAACCTGCGTACCAGTATATCACCCAGCACTACTTTAGTCCACACTGTGGGTGTGGTTATCATGCAAATATCAGTGATTATTATGCTTCATGTTACGCTAATCCTTCACTGTCCAAATCTGAGCCCTATCAGTACAGGCCAAGTCTCTACCCTATCAGGAGCCATGGAAAGAGTGATAAACAAGGAGTTGATTTGCTTCCTAGAACCACAGCATGCTCTGGCAGAGTGGAAGTCTAGTTTTAGATCTAGTCATGGGTAGAAATGACAACGTCAAGTCAGCGTCCGCGGCTGTTTTCACTGACTCAGCAAAGCCGTTCACTCCAGCTGGAGTGCTTAAAATCAGCTGCTCTGTAGCAGGACATGCATAAAGCTTTAAAGCTTCTGAAGCGTCACTGCAGAGCAGTGTACTTATAGCCCGTCACCTACAGAACAGCACCTGATGTTTCACTTGATACTATAAATTCTAATGACAGGCTCATAAATCCTAATGACAGGGTAACGTTCCTTCTGAAGAGTCTTCAGGGTGCTTTTCCGACCAGAAATGATATTCAGATCGTGTTTTTCTTCCTCATCTGAAAATAGTGTTACCTAGTCAGTATGGTGCTGTTTCATACACTTTCATTTATGACAGCCATAAATTAAGTCGGTTTACTGCACACAACCCAGAAATCATGTTTTTTGTTATGACAGTTGTAATTGTTCTAAGCAGGGAGTTCCTCAGAGTTTGAACAGCTTAACCCTTAGAAGTCTAGAGTTTTGTTGTTTTGCTATACTGTATTACTATTTTACTGTAATTACATATTTTACATACTGTATGCATGATTCCTGTTTTATATAATTTTATATCATTGCTTGTCTGTACATTCCCTGGACTAAAGTTGAAAATTAGCTTAGCTTGCTAAACCGCCACATTCACAGAAGTGCCTAATAGTATGTGAAGTATATTACGTATTGTGCACTGATACAGGAGTTTTGGGCTAATTGTGATATCAGATGCCAATGCTGAAACTTTTACACAGGGTTCAGTGTTAATTGTTTCCCAACTTAACCTGAATGTTCACTGCCCCAAACCAAATTTTGTACAAAGCATTATTCAAATTTAAATAAGCAAATGTAAGCTAATATATTTAGTTACGGTTATTTATTCTTGAAATAAGAGTGCATTCGCACAGTATACCTTCACTTATTGTCTGTTTGCATGCACGAGTCAGCAAATATGATAACCTTTCCTTCAGCAAGCCATGTCATTCTTAATACTTGGCTCTTCAAAAAACCAGAATTCCAGATTGGAAAACAAAAACAGTGGTTAAGAATTGGCTGCCATGCATGCTTTAAAGGATCTTGACAGAACATCTTATTCTTAGTATTTGCATGCACAAGTTAGTGAATATTACCTTACCTTCCAAGCCACGTCGGTACAGTACTGACTGCCGAGTTCCAGTCCACTTTTTTCCTCTTCTAACCGTGTGATATACATATCAGGTACAGAGGGATCGAAATCGACCCATGAGTTTTCCATATAGGAATGAAGCTGTTGACTCTCTTCGCTTTGTGTTTGTGCTTGGCTGACATTTTCCTGAGCGTCTCGCTCTGATGTCATTTGTCAACAAATATTGCCACTCGTTTGTTTTGACTTGATGTGCGAATGGGTAAGCTGATTTTTTGTATGGTGTTTTGTTTGATTTTTTTGTATGGTGCGGGGTTAAATATTATTTGAAGTGAGTTTGGCCTCAGTTGAGTTGTTCTGTTAACGCATTGTGCACCCCACCTCAACATGAACTTGCCCAACTAGGCAAGTGATTTTTCATGCTGCTGTCCCAGTGTTGCGTTTTACTTGGCCCGGGCATTCGGGCAATCGTTATATTGTTTTGTATCATGTATATATTGTGTAATGTTACATAAACATTTTTGAACTGGGCCTAAATCTTCCTGGTTGAACATTATAGAGAAATGTAACATTGTTTTCTATAGGGTTTCAAATGTAGTAAAGTGATGTAAATAGCAGACATTTTGGCATAATGTACAAGTGTTGCTTATATGGTCTTCTCTTCTGGAGTACAATAAATACATCATCAAAATGATGGTTTTAAACATCAGTCGAACCTAAACCTCTGTTTGGCAATAAAGTTACTTAAAGTAAGTAAAAATACTCAAAGTAACTAAAGTTACTTAAAGTAAGTAAAGCAAAGGACATTAAACATAATTAATTGCGTAGCTACGTAATAAATTACATTTGCATTCACATCATGTTCTCTATCATCAGGTTCCAGTTTACACTTGGTTTTGACATCAAACAAAACCTGGCAAAAACAAGTCTTTTTTTCTTTCTTTGGAACAAGACTGTACACACAACAGTTAATTTCAGATTATTTCAATTAATTCAGATTATAATAAAATCCCTGCTTTTCTGCTTACAAATGTGTTGTATGTTTCACATCCTCTATTTCAACAGCAATTCTCTGTTTATTCCAGTGATCTACAAGAGAGAAATAATTCCTGTACAGCTACAACATGCTTCTGGGGGTTAAAAGTACTATGTGATACTATGTGAATGTACTGAATGTGAAATTGTGACCACTATGTGAATGTATTGATTGTGAAATGGTGACCATGTCCCTGTGTGTTTGTGTGTTGTAGCTGGCGCAGGATGAGGGCAGTCCGGTGCGGGGTTTTGCGGTGGTGGAGTACGAAACAGCAGAGCAGGCAGAGGCCATGCTGCTGGAGATGGACCGACACATCATCCAGGGCCATGAGATCCGCCTCTCTCTGTGCAGCCCAGGAACAGCCGGCCGGAGCACACTTGCTGCACTCATTGCTGCTCAAGGAGTGGTGAGTAACATAGACACACACACAGAGTACTGTGCAAAAGTAGAAGACCACCTGACAGAATGACAGATAAAGGTGTTAATCTACGCAGTACGCATTTATATAGATGGAAAACCACTGACATTAGGATAAATACAAATACGCATTATTATAATAAACTGTGATTTTGTCACTGTGTTAGCTTAATGGGTCTATATCCATATTATTTATCAAATAGTCATAATTTATTTTTACGTCACAATTTCCAGCTTTTCTTTATCCCCTAAAATTAGACAAGCTGTTGTTGTTAATGTACTTTTAAGACTTCTATACGTAAATTATCTCTCCTCTGATTGGCTGCCCTGTATTGTTCCTCGTTCAAAAAGCAGTCTAGGCTGAAACACAGTGTATAACCTTATTGTGAATAGGTGGTGCTATATAAATATATGTAAATGTGCTTATTTTCTTAACATCATAGAAACAGTGAATTCAAAACTGGCAGTTTATGCAGGTTAGTTTCTGTATATGGATCTTATGGATTGGGGAGTGAATGGCAAACAGTGCATTTACCCTGTATGCACACTGCAGGTGACAAAATTGCACTTGAGCGCTTCGACTGATTGCTGGTGGGCATTTAGAAAGCACACAGGTAGCAAGTTCGATTGGATTGTGTGGTCATGCAGACTACATTGTTAAAAGCATGTGAGCTAGAATAACCTAGCACTTAGCCAGTTTAGGCTATATTTATTACCTAGCATCACTTGAGACAAAAATATTTGAATGTGGATATCAAAACAAATTCATAATAGTTCACATGATTTCTTATCCAATTTATGCTCCATTTGACCAGAAAGGTTTAGCGAGCTCAGCCGTTTTACTCACCTTGTTAGGACTCAGGATCTTTACTGTCCTAGCATATTCTACATGCATTTTATTATCCATTTAATAAAAGAGTTAACTTATAACACAAGCTGTCTTCACGGTGATCGGCTATGCTAAGCTATCACTTCACTGAAGTTTCATTGTCATAGTCATCGTTACAAAATCAGTAGACACTTTCTTTTACTGTACCCATTTTTTTGCCTGATTCCAGTATATATACACAGGCTCCATACAGCACGGTAAACTCTGCCGCCGCCATCTCAACTTAGACTACATTTCCACATAAATGCAGCTGAACAAATCTTCAAAGTCAGTGCAGTGTGTGACGTGAGAACATCTTTTGTGATTGGTTATCACCACCCCGCATCACTGCTCATTTGTATAAAGTTGAGCATAGCTGAGCCTGATCGTGACGCCAGTGGTGGCTACACTGCTCACCACTGAGCATCACTGTCTTGCATTCAACATTAATGACTTCTGGCTGCCTTGGTGCTTTAATTGCTGGTGGTGTGCATGCAGGATAAAAACAATGTTCACATGCTGCATCAAACATTTGATTTTAAAAAGTGATGAAAATTATATGAGCTCTATAACTATTCTCAGGCCTCCCCTCGAGGCTGCCAGTTTTCATCCAATACCAGGTTTGGCTAATCAGTGCTTCATTAAGTTATACTTGAAAAAAAAAAAAAAAATTTACACATTTTTTCACTTACACTACATCTACTCTGCTTACCTTACATTGACTATATCGGGGCAAATAAAAAATTGTGAAAGTTGGATTTGAAATCATGTGTCCTAGTGGTGGAATTTATGCAAATCTATGCGATGGAGCGACACTGAGAAGAAGAGGACCTAGTTCTTGAAATGTCAATAACGTTACTAAAAAATGAACGTTCATTTTATTAGATTAACATTACTTTGTAATAGATTAATGTCTGTTTTTGGGTTTGTTTTATTTAGTGTAATCTTACATAGTGTTTTTGAGCAGAAATGCATTTACTGCCCAATTAAAGCACACAGAGCACTGTGCACTCTCACATACCCTGACTAACAAATACAGAAAACCTGTAGTAAATTAATTTGCCTTTTCAAGATGGAGCAGAAAAAAAAAACACAAAGGACCCTTACGCACACACACATACAGCCCAAAAGATGTGAAGGCGAGGCAGAGGCAGTGGCACTTTAATTACAGTATTCACACACTGTTCTGTTGCAGACATAGTTCTCTCCGCTGCATTTCCCAGGCTGGAAATAAAGCAGGCTGCTATTTTAGAGATGTGGGACTGATATGGTGGAAACCATGCACCAGGCTAATCTGCAACAGCATCAGCCAAAGCAGCAAGACCAGGAGCCGTTCTCAGCCTCATTGATGGTGTTAAACATTCTACGAAACATGCACACGCTCACTCGGGACTCCCACCTGCCACAGCATGATGTTTTTGGAGCGTTTCCTTAGAAAAGTGTTACTTTCATTGTTCAAGGGACCAATGAACAGAAAGGAGCCCACTCACACACGCCCACACGCTCGCACGTTTCTGTATGTTCTCAGATAGTGGTCTCGGCGGATTTGTGTCAGGCATGGATTTTATTTTCCCACCGTTCCAAATAGGTCGTCTTTCTTCTCGAATCAATGCGCTTAATTGTGTTTATCGAACTTTCTTTATTCCGTCTTCCTCTTCTTTGGACATGGCTGTGTAGGCAGTCGTGCTGTTTTTTTAGATGTCGCTACATGAGAGCCCGCGTTGATTTAGCATCGACGGAGGAGCCGCAAAGCAGGGAAGTAAATATCTCAGGGGCCTTGTTTCATTTTCAATTTAACGATTTTTCCTTTAGAAAAAAAGTACATACATCCTCCTCCCCTCCTCTGTTCTCCCTTCCGCTCTCCTCCCCTCAATCTTTTCCTCATCTTTTCTCTCTCGGCCCATCTCTTTTTCGCCTGCTGCATTCTCTTCCTGCTGTAAACCCTGCCATCCATCTCCCCTTCTCCATGAAACACGTCAAACCTAGCAAGATGAATGCGAGTTGACATTTCTCTGCAGACCTACCCCTCCAAGCCACGAGCAGCACTCTGCTCAAATGACAAATGTGCCTGCATCTCACTGAATCTCACACACACACACACACAGATTCGCAGATACTCAGACTGAGGGGGCGCAAGCCTCACTGTAGCGGAGCCTCAGCCTGGGGCTGATGCGAAAGCCCCTGCCAGTGTTTGACTTCCCTGTGTTTTCGTGGCAGAGCAAAATTGGAGCTGCCTGGGGACTAGCAGGTGTCTCCACTGGCTGTGCTCACTCCTCACAGGCTGAGAGCTGTTATGATACAGGAAGAGCGTATGCATGGCCACTGGATATGTCTATCACATTCAATTAGCTATAAAAGGGGCAGGAGAACTTCGCTGCTGCTTTAGCATCTGTAGTCCTCTTCAGCTGTGGGTAGAGATGTCCCGATCCAGGCACTGGAGCCATGCTTTAATGGTAGTACACTTCATTCAAGAAGCAGTCCAGAATGAAACACTCCTTATAACATTATTTTATATGGGTGGAGTTAAACTGCTGTAGGCTGTATAGACAGATATACATTATTGTGAAAAAGTAATCTAAGTACATTATTTAAAGCCATTTATCTTACACACTTATTAACACAATAAGTGTATTTTACTTGAAAAAAATAACATTTGATTAAAATTAGGAAGAAACAAGATTTTCTTTCAAAAAAGTTGATACTTTTTGGAGCTAGTTTGAAGAACAAAGTTCTCCCAGATGCCCCCAGCTATTGCACAGTTAGTCCTGGGCTGCCACAAGAAGAGGTTTGGAAATGGTCTGTGCAAAAGTCCAAGTAAATTCAGAGGTTTGTTTCTAAACAACTAAGAAAATAGAAAATAATTGCTGAAGACATGAAGAGACCATTAACTATGTAGTAGTGAATTGGCTGTTAAACTGTTTTTTGGTCATTTTTGTGTTCAAGATTTTTGAATGGGCCTGAAATCATGACTTTAAATGAATGTATTGATTCCACATTGGCCAAGGAGTAAGACCAGGCTGCCCAATATCGCTATACTTCTTCAACCTCTATGCTGAATGTTTAAAGAGAGCATTAAGACTGGTGAAAGAAATATCAGTAACCTTCACTATGCGGATGGGATGAGACTCATAGTGGAAAATGACAAAGATCTAAAGGCCCTTATAGGGACTTCATCTCAGTATGAAGGAAACCAAGGTTTTGATAATGGGAAAGACTCCTAACTTTAACATTGATAGTGAAAATGTAGAAATGGTGGACAGCTTTTGCTTACTTGAATCAGTTATTAACAACAAATCATCCATCAGTGAAGAAATACAAAACACATTGGCAATCGGCAGAACAAAGATGAAGGGGCTTGAAAAGATCTTCAGATGTAATAACGTGTCTCTGCAAACAAAGATCAGAATTGTCCAGGCTGTGGTCTTTGCTGCGGTTATTTATGGATGTGAAAGAAAGACAATAAAAAAGGAAGACTTTGGTGCTGGTGAAGACTTTTGAGTGATATTAAGCCCAATCAAATTCTGATCTTTTGTTAAGGCTCTTTTACCCCACTGTACTCTGTTTGTTCCCCTGTTGTATAGGTGGTATAAACAGACATTATCCACAGCCAGTATCCAAGTTTACAAGCAGACTAAATTTATGCGGTGTGGGACTGTTTTAAAGTGGAAAATAAACATTATGATGTCTGCACTGGCAGTGTTTTGACTGCAGTTAAGATAACTGTCTTTTGTCAAAACACAGTTAAAATAGCCACAGGTAACATTTAAGTGTGTAGGTATTACAAACTTAGCAAAACGTGTAACAGCACATTCAGAGCTGAGAGGAAGGAGTACTTCTCTCATATTACATGAACTTGAAATCATTGGTTGTTTTTGTTTTGTTTTTTTTAATTGTAGTTTCAAATGAACTAGATATGCACAATGGCCTCAGAATCATGTTGGTATCGGTAGATAATTGCTTAATGTTTTTTTTTTAATCAGTATTGGACAGATGTTTAGATCTGACATATATTTCAAACTGGTATTTAATTATGCAATTTATTTTCTTGTGGAAAAGCAGAGCATTTAGGTAATGCTGGGCTACTATGCTAAAATATCTGGATTTTTGTTCATTTTACAGAATTTTATTAATTTTATTGTATCTGCATTCCTATAGAAAATAAATTTATATTTCTCTGTAATGCTAATCCAGGTGTATTTGGTCCAGATGTTTTACATTTAGTAAATATACAAGTATCGGATATTGGTATCGACCCACAATTCCCTTATTAGTGAATTCAAAAAACATATCAGTTTAGAGTGTGTTCCACTATGCACATCCTACATTGTGTGATTTTACTGTATCATTTTAAAGTAATTGACATTGTTATGTAAAGTTTTACTCTCTTTAATGTACTGTATGTTTACTTTGTGCAGCTGTATTATCTGAGACAAAACAAAAATTGAATTGAACTCAGTATTGGTATATAAGAAGTTTTGAAGGACCAGATCACGGTTGGGTGCAGAAACTGGACTGGACTGGGGAATCCCTAGGAATTCCTGGTTATAGTTAGTAGAACTCAGACAGGCTGGTGCTTTCTGCCCATTTGTGACAAGAATTTTTCACCATTTTTCGTCTCCAGATGTGGCTGGTAATGAGGGTATTTATAGGGGGGTTTAGAGCAACAGCTAGGATGTCTAAGAGTCATACTGTATGGCTCATGGTCCACTGTTTCGAATCGCAGTCTGTTGCTCTATCTTCACACTGTCAGATACATATAAGCCGTAGGGCCATCCTCCCTCGCTCATCTCTCCCAACTATATTAGGATGTAAGTTTCATACTATTACAGCCACTACCAAAAATGTCTTTTGTGCAAACCCCAGCAAGAATGAGTGTCTGAGCATGTATGTATGTGTGTATACAGTCGTTTTCAAGTCTTCAAAAATGTTAGTGTAAATTTTCTGTTTATTTGCCAAGTCTAACATATTGGAAAAAAATTAAACAAAATATAAAATGTGCCATAACTTTAACACAGATCACATTTTGTTTTTTTATTTTTCCCAATATTCAGCAAATTACAGTAACATGCAATAACAGTGCATTAAAGTGTGCAGAAGTGTTTCCTGTTTTGAGCAGAGGTGCCCAAAGTTTTGCATACCACTGTGTACATGTGTGTGTGCAAGTGAGTATGTGTGTGTGTGTGCTTAAGTGTGTGTGAATGTGTACTTGTGTGTATGTGAGTATGTTTGCCAATAAGCTGGCAAAGGATTGTAGATGGTACTGAAATATAATACAGCCTGTTTCAGAATTCATGCAGTACTCAAAAGCCTGAGTTTTAGGGGCTAGTGTGTGTGTGTGTGTGTGTGTGTGTGTGTGTGTGTGTATGTGTGTGTGTAGGTGTGTGTGTGTGTGTGTGTGTGTGTGTGTGTTCAGGCCTCCTGGGGTACAGTATACAGCAGATGGAGTTTCGGTGTGATTGGGAGGAAAGCCATTCTACTTGCAGACATCTCAGATCTAATGAGGAGATCAGAGCTTCTACCATTCATGCCAGCATGCATACACACACACACACACACACACACACACAAACACACACACTAGCCCCTAACACTTAGGCTTCTGCATGAATTCTGAAACAGGTTGTATTGTATTTCAGTACCATCTACAATCCTGTGCCAGCTAATTGTTGGTTTTAAAAATACCAACCAAATCATTGTGATGCTGTTAGCAATTGTATGTGTGTGTGTGTGTGTGTGTGTGTGTGTGTGTGTGTGTACATACAGCACTGTGCAAAAGTCAGAGACCACCCTTTATTTATTTAATTACCAGTCAAAACCACCTTGCAGTAGAAGTAGAAAGGAGACCTGCTTTCAGTGTTTCTAAGAAATCTGCAGGGATATGTTTCCACACCTCCAAAGTTCAGTCTTAGAAGTGGGTTGTATTTTCTGCTTCTTACAATCCAAGTAATCCCAAACACATTCAGTGATGTTGATGTCTGGACTGGGGTGGCCAGTCCATTGTCTTGAGAATACCAGTAGCTTCTTTTTTTTGTCGATTTCCTTTTCTTAGTGAAGGCTTCTTGACAGCTACACACTGTTTTAGACCCATAGCGTCAGGCCTGGATTATCCAATGGGTTTTATGGGCATGTGCCCAGGGTCCCAAGCCACTTGGGAGCCCTTGCGAACAAGACAATCTAAACAGCCATTTTGACTCGTCGAGTAGAGGTGGGAAATTTACTAGGTGCACAGCAGGAAAAATGTTTGTCATTGTGTTACAGACATTGTTAATCCTGATGCTCTCCATGTCTGTCCTAAACATACGCTTAATTTTCTCCTTCAGTCACTGCTTGTCAACCATTACACTATCCTCTCTTACCTTGTTCTCCCCCCTCTCTCAATCAGTATTTCCTCATACTACCACCATATTGAAGGCATGGTCTGAACTCACAAATAGGTTGTATAGTGTAGGGACAGAATTCTTAGTGGTTTTGTTGGTTTCTATTAGTTTATTTTCCGAAGTTCTTTTAATAGAAAGATTTTTTGTGTTAAAACACATTATAACCATGATAAAGGTTAGTGTTATGTATGATGTGTTCAAGTTTATCAATTCAACCTGTATTAATGTGGTAGAAATAAGTAGGTGGTGATTGTAGTTATATATAAATATAGGTGCTTTATTAGCGATATTGATAAATCTGTGGGGTCTCAATACTGATATATTGCTTGGACTATAATACAATTGAGATGGAATATAGACTAAAATTAACTGATAGACTACATTGGCCAATGTGGTATTGGCATTCACTTCCTCATAGCTAGGCACATAAAACTATCAAACATTGTGTGTGATGACAAATATCTGTTTGATTTTTGTGTCTTTTTTTGCAGTGCAGTATCTTTCAAGGTCTCTATGTAAGCTATGTACATAGCTTTTTCTGTACATGCTGAAAATACAAAGAACCCAGAAACAGCGAGCAGTTCTGTTTCTACATTTTATGAAAGCTTAGATGATAATATCTCAATACAAAATATAAAAATAGAGCTATTATGTGTCTCTGGCCCTGACATGAGTGTGTATTTTGTCTTATAGATGCTGAGCAATAAAAAGGGTTTACTGCCTGAGCCGAATCTGGCTCAGCTCCTCAACAGCATGACCAATCCAGCTGCCCTTCAGGTGCTTATGAGACCATACCACGCTGGCAAACGAGGAGGTACACACACACACACACACACACACACACACACACACACACTGACCCTGTTTGTTGTTTCTGAACACATTATGCAAATGATCTACTGAATATTCAGCAGCACTTTTGGAAAGTATTTATGCAAACAGAACAGTTGTCAGTTTTTAATTTGCCTCAATTGCAGGCATTTCAGTCTAGAGCGTAATAACACACCGTTCATGAGTGGTCACACTATCAAAAGCTGGTCTTCAGTTCAGCAGCCCAGACCAGGTCCCTCTCCTGATGAAAACCTAATCATATATTAAAATGAACTTTTCATTGGGCTGGAGGATAAATGAGCTCCGGAAAGCCTGCAAGCTGGAGCTTAAGGAGAACACACAATTAGCCCACCAAATATAGCCCATGATTAAATCTTAAACTTCTCCACCTATTCTGGAACAAGTTGCCATTAGTGCTCACGCTGGAATTGGATATGAGGAGAGAGTAGACCGCTGCCATTGCCCATGCTCTTTGTGTTCTTTCACCAACCCCTTTTGTCTTTATTTTTAATCACTTATTTTACTTTCTCACTGGTGAGTCTCCACCACACTGCCATCTTTTTCTTTTTCGTCTTCAGGGAAGTTTCGTCCTCACGCTGTTCCCTTTCTCCGGCCGCCACTGACAGCAGCGCTGCTTCAACTCGGAAAAGCACAGCAGGTATTTCACTCTCCAACACACTCACTTTTCTCCTCTCTCTCTGTCGCTTTCTCTCTACCTCTCTCTCTCTCTCTCTCTCTCCATTTTCCTCTCTCTCTCCTCCCTCTTTCTCTCCCTCTGTTTTTCTCTATATCTGTTTCACTCTCTCACACACTATCCTCCTGTCTTTCTTTCTTTCCCTCTCTCCCTCTCTCTTTCCTCCATATATCTATTTCTCTGTTCTCTGTCTCTACTACTCTACTCGCTCTCTCCCTTTCTCTCTCCCTCTCTGTCATACTCTCACTCTCCACCTTCTTTCTGTTTTTCTCTCTCATTCTCTCCCTTTCTCCCTATCTGTCATCCTCTCTCTCCTCCCTCTTTCTCTCTGTGTCTTTATCTGTTTCCTTTTTCCTGTTTCTCTCTCTCTCTGTTGCCTTCTTTGTGTCACTTTTTCACTGTCACATTCTCTCTACTCTCTCTTCATTTCTCCATCTTCCTTTCACTTTCCTCTCACTCTGTTTTACTCAGTCTTTCTATTTCAGTCTTTCTTTTTTCTATCCCTATTGTGTCTTCCTCTGTTCTTCTTTCTCTCTTTTTAACTCTCTCAACTCTTGTTCTCTTTCGCTCTCTTTATTTTCCGCTGTCCTCCCTCTTTCTCTTTTCTCTGTATTGCTCAATCTATTTCTTTCTTTTGCTTTTTGTCTCTCTCTTTCACTAAGTCTTTGTCCCTTTCTCATCATGTCTGTCCTCTTCCTTTGTTCTCTTTCTTTCTCTCAATTTTTCTCTGCCTTTCTCTCTTATGTTCTTTTTCTCCTCCTTTCCCTTTCCCTTTTCTGTCTCTCTTACTCTTTCTCTCGCTCTTTCCTCACACTCTTTTTTTGTCTCTGTCTACATTTCTTTCTTGCTCTTGTTCCCTTCCCTTTTCTCTCCTGATTCTTTCCTCTTTCTCTCCCTTTCTCTTTCTTTCCCTGTCTCTCTCTTTGTCTTTTTTTTCTTTTTGTCTCTGCCTCTCTTTCTCTCTCTCTTTCTCTCTCTCTGTGGTAAGGCACACAGGAACATGAGTGTTGTGGATGTGGAGGCAGTGGAAGTGGCACAATCAGAATTCACAGGAACAGGAGTTAGATCCTGATGAGTTTACACAGACACTCTTACGCACTGACTGTGACATTTCTCCTCTCTCTCTGTCCTGCAGAATGCCATGCTGGGGAACGGACTGGTTCTGCAGAACCTTCTCCACATGCAGATGGCCCAACAGCAACTTCTACACATTAAGGACAAGCACATCACTAATGTGAGGGTGTGTGTCTGTGAGTGTGTGTAATGTGATAACGTGTGTATCTCAGGGTGTTTTCACACCTAAAAGTCCGGACCGAGGTCTGAACCAGGGTTCATGTTTTTATTATATTGTATACATTGGATCCGGTTAGTTTTGCTTTCACATTCAGTTTAGTGAGCGCACTAAAGAACTGAGCATTACACGTCCTGTCGTCATCACCTATGTGGGCTGCGTCTCCCTACACTTGGAGAAAAATGAATATCCTCTCTTTATCTCGTCCTCTCAGAAAATAAGGTATAAGTTTCATCATTTTTATGCCTTTTTTCAAGTTGATTTTTGACTTTTTCATTGGACCAAATTACAGTTAATTATTGTCTCCTTTTCTCCCCGTGTGCCACCCTGGCTCATTTTTAGTTCTCTCCTAGTTCTTTTTCTGAACCATTCAAAAAGTCTCACAGATGAACTGAACCATGGTTCATTTTGAACCAAGATCACCTCTTTTTGTTGGACCACATTTTGGTCCTTTGGTCCAGACTGTGGTCTGGGGCACCTGCTATTTTGAATCAAACCAAACTGAAAAGACCAACAGTCCAGACCAAAAAAGGTAGGTGTGAAAGCACCCTCAGTGTCTGTAATGAATGTGTGTCTGTGTGTGCATATGTCTGTATTTCTACATCTACTTGAAAAGTGGATGTGTTGCATTCATCTAAAGCCACGCATATTATTCAGCAGCCGCTTCTCCTGAGAAGAAATGATTGCTTTGTTCTGTTCCTTTTTTTTTACATAATGAAAGCTGTGACTTTCACTCAGGAAGACATTATTTTTTGTTTAGCTTGCATGCTACTCAGAGAGCTTGCGGGCTAAATTATTCTTTTATTTGATATTACACAATAACAGTTCACTTCAGCCCAGAGGAGGCATGTGGGAAGGCAGAAACATGATGTATGCAGCTGTAATGCTGGTAGTACATCCTCTGCGTATCTCTCATTAATTCCCTCTGAGGAGTGTGTGAGCAGGCAACACAGGGTAATATGCATGCCTAAGTGTGTATTCGCTGCAAATGTTACATTGTGACAGTATAATACTGCATTCAAGTAGTTGTCCCAGATTCATAGAGCAGTAATAATGAATGCTTTTTACAGGTGCTTTCTGATGTAGTAATCTGTTAAGACATTGTTGCTGTTGGAACAAAAGCTTGTATCTCACAAAATGTTAGCCCTCCCATATCCTTTATATTCTGTTAATATTTCATGATGAATGGAGCAATGAAAATGCAGCAAAATTACTTGGGGAAAAAATAGTTCCATTGACTTCCGTTCAAAGTTAAGAAAGTTATTACAGTAACTTTATACAGGGTTTTGCTCTGACAGCGACAGTATGTACATACATTGTAGTCCATAAGCAATTAGACAGTGACACAATTTCTGACCCTGAACTTCAGACATTAGATTTGCAATTAACCAATAACTCTGAAGTTGAAGTCCAGACTGGCAGCATAAGGTTGGCTCTATTTACACCTATGTTAGGTAAATCATATAGGAATTAAAGATCTGCACAGGCATGAAATTGAACACGGAACCCAACCCGTACCCACAACTCTCAGAACTAAACCAGCAAAGCTTAACTGGTTCTGCTAAATTTGAAACCCGAACCTACGTGCATTGCTGTGGAATGGCTAACATTAGCTAGCTAGACTTCAGCCTCACATCAGTATCTCATCACTAGCTAACATAACATTAACATGAGTATAATTTACAAAGTGATAATTCTAGCAGCGAGTGACACATCAAAATATTATTCCTGGTTACAATCTGGTGCTCTTATTGGCCATGTTCTAGTGATTATTATTGGCTATGAATCTGGTGATTGTGTCTAAATGGTTGCAAATATCTTGCAGTTGATGACTGTCTGAAGTCAGTGATCCCTAGACCTCAGCAGGCACGGGGTATCCTCCCTGGTGATGGTCTGCCAGTCCTATAATGCAGTCATTTTAGGTTTCAGTTTGTTTTGGGGGTTTTCTGCTTTTAGTCTTGTATTCTTATCTAAGTGAATTGTCAGCTTAATGGGATTCAATTTGGGTGATTGACTTGGCCAAGAACATTCCTTTTTAGGAAGCATTTGGTTGGATCTGAGCAGACAAAATGCTTCCCTACGCTTCAGGACTCTGCCTGCTGCTGTTGTCAGTAGTCACACATCAGCGAGTCAGTTCCACTGGCAACCATACATGCCCATGCCCCCATGTTTCGCAGATGAGGTATTTCGCTTTGGATCAAGAGCAGTTCCTTTTTTCCTCCATACTTTCCTCATTCCATCACTGTTAATCTGTTCTGGGCCAGAACTCTGACATCTTTTTATGCACTTTTTAACAAACTGTAACTTGGCCTTTCTCCTCTGGAGACGTACCAGTTGTTTGGGGCGTGAAGTGAACTTTCATGTCATGTGGATATATTTTTCACTTGATGGTAATCTTTGACACATCTGCCTACATCCTGAAGAGTTTTTTTTCTTGATTGAAATGATTCTTCAGTCATCCCCTGCTGTGGTTTTGCATGGTCTGCTAGGTTGTTTGCTATTGCTAAGCTTGCTTTTTCATTTTTGCTTGTTTACTATGTAACGGACAGTTGATTTTAACAAGTAATCTTTTTGCTCTGTCTCAAATTTTTACTGGCATTCTGACTTCTTTAGACCTCATAATGAGAGACCTCCAGATGCAAACACACCTGGAATGCCAGATCTTTTGTTAGCTCTAATGATAAACTAATGATGCAACGACACACAGCTAGCCAAGAAGCAGACAAATGACCAGTTACTTTTGGTATCATGAAATAGGGGTAATATGTAGTGTTATAGACTCCAATCCTGCTCTCAAGACTACAATTTAGTGGTCACAATCTTATCTAGGGCTCAGCAGCATTTTGACTTGGTCTTGTCTCAGTCTTAGGTTAAGGAGGACTCTTTTTTATTATTTTTTTTCTGGAGACTAGTTGAGTGCAAGGCCTCTTTTATTTTTATTTATCTATTTATTTATTGAGCACACATCTGCGTAAACTGAAGCTCATTTAAACCCTTCCATTTATACCAGCTGTGTGCTGCACACATAAATTTCAGCTTTAAGCCTCAAGTCTGTTTCATGCCGCTTGCCTCCAGAAGCAGGTACAAAATACAGTCCTACAACATTTCAGAATATTTACAAAATGTTACAAAACAAACGTTTGAATCAGAAACATTTAACTTTAATGCTGTACTGCATGGCTGGTGAAATTCATACTTGCAATAGTTTGATATGTGCTGTTAATATATGACGTTCAGTGAAACATTGCACAATGAGGTAGTCAAACTTTGACTAATTTAGCCTAAAGCAAAGATATTGGCCTATTTATTTTAAAATTCTTTTTAATATCGCATTGGTATGCAAATGTTGTGTTGAAAATTTGCCACCGTAACAGCCCTGCAGTCAATACATCCATAATACATAAAATATGTAATTCATAAAATCTGCCTGAATATAGGCTAATGGGAAAAACAGGTCATTGCTCTCCTCTTTCAGTTATTTTATACAGGCTAATATTAAAAGCAGAAAGGACAGAGAAATGTCTTTTAACTTACCTTTATTTGCTTCCAAAAATCAGGATTGAAGTAAGACAGCTAATAGAAAAACAAGTTTATTTATTATTTTACTTCATCATTATGCTGTGTATCATGTATAAAGAATGTAACATGAGCTACAATTTTTATTTTTTTTTATTATTCTGGTCTTGGTTTGGACTTGGTCTCTTTCGCTCTTGGTTTTGACTCGAACACTACCAAATTTTGATCTCGACTTCGACTAGAAGTGTCCAGGTCTTGACTAAAATTCTAATAGGGCTGAACGCATATACTATGCCCAGTCTAGGAGCAGCGCAGTGGGCTAGTGGGAGTTTAAGAGCCTCACCCAAGGGCACAACCTGGAATACCCAGTCAGTTTTGGGATTTGAACACATGGCCTTCCAGTGGCTGTCTCACTTCTGTCTACCTCTAGGCTGCCAACCACCATTAAGTACATCTACCTTGTATCTACACTCATTTTACAATTTTATTAGGTCCACTTACCAAATAGATGCACATATGAGCTGAATAACTATTACCCCCCCTCTACACCGTCCAATTAGAGTGATGGACCATTCTAAGCACTGCAGTGACGCTGACATGGTAGTAGTATGGTAGGTTTTTTGCACTGGTACGAATGTGTCAGATACAGCAGAAGGCTGAAATTCTGCACTTTAATCTTAATTTGAAATTGAATGTGCTGAAGTACTAAGCCAAAACAACAAAAACTGTACCATGTTCCAATTACTTACAGACTGCATTGTGTGAAACCATTTTGTGGAGTGTAGCCTTAAAAAGTATGCAGGCAGAATTCTTATCCACTTACCATTTTCTTTCTTTCCTCCCTCCTTATTGCCCACCCCCCTCCTCTCCAGATTCCCAGTCTTTTAGGTGACCCCTCCCGGTTACTTCTCCATAAAGTTCTGGGTCTGCGTGCTCCGGCTCCGGTGCCTTTGGCGAAGGGGCTGCTGGGAGATTCCCCCACTGGTGGGTTTTGTACGCTGGTCTTGCGTAGGCAGCCAGGCCCCCTCCCTGCACCCAGAGTGCAGAGGTCTGTGCTGCTGCTTCAGAGAAGTCCATTTGCAATGCAAATCTTTGCACTGTTTGAGAAACCCATTATGAATAGTTAGAGGCTGCTGCTTCAATCAGTGTTTTTTCCTTTTGTGATGTTATTCAATGCGAGTGTGTGTGTGCGCGTGCTTTGCTATTATCTGATATATTAAAGCAGGTGAAACCTTTGAAATGTGTGTACATGTGTAGGGTCATTACCATTTCAGTGTCAGTGCAGTGTTGTCCTCAACAGGAACCAAAAGAAGATGTGGTAATGTTTTAGTAAATCATCATGTCTGAAATGGATACTTTGTAAGAGAAGGAAAAATCTTAAAATCAGTGTATGTTAAAATGGAATTCTACTGCTAATTTTTAATTTTGAGTTTTTATATGTAATATTGTGTTATCTAATAGTAAAATAGTCGTAAATCTAAAAAAAATACTTTTCTTTGGGGACTATTTGCTCTACAACACCCTGCATGTACCTCTCTGACATTAATGTATTGTAAAAAAGATGTTTTAGGCCAGAACCTTTTAAAAAAACATGATCACCATGATGTATCAGACATCAGGTAGTACATTTATAGCTATTTCATGCAACAACTTTTCTAAAGACTTTTTTACAGCAGTTATCTGCAAATACCAATAAGATTCATTCTGTCATTCTGCTTTCCTACTCAAAAACAGCTTTGCTTTTCATGAAATTTAACCAGTGTTGCTTTAATTTGGGCAAAAATTCAACCAGTGTTGCTTTAAACTGAGAACTGAATGCACAATAATTACCTTAGTCTCACTCCTCTCTTCTGTTCTCAGAGTTGGGTCAGGAGTCCACTCCTGTTACATCCCAGGCCGGAGGCTCCATAGCAGGGGTGATGAGTTACACCCCAGGCCGCTCTCACACCAGCTCGGGCACTGAGCAGAACGGCGTCCCGGCCACCTCCACTGCCCCAGACAAGCAGCCTGCACCTCCAGGAACCACAGGGGCCTCTGCTAATGCTCAAGCTCAGCTACACAGCTTCCTTCCTGGGTTAACCAGAGCAGGCCTGGGGCCCTTATTGGGGAACACAGCTCACAAAGCTCCGCTCAACCCTCACAGTACTACACCAGAGACTAGTGCTCCAGTTACAGTGAGTGTGTACTTCAGTCTTTTTGCTTCTCTATTTTCTGTTTGTCTTTTGTTTGTGTTTAAGGGCTGTAAATTTTATTGCAGGTATTTAAAATTTCTCAGTGATATTAAAGATACTTAATGTGATTTGATGATCGTTAAGAACAGTTTTTTTGTTTTTAATGGGCCTCATTCACCAACCATTCTTAAGAACTAATTTCTTCTTAAAGCCCATTTATGCAGTTTCATGAAGATTCTGACATTCACCAGTGTTAATTGAGATTTATTGTAAGGTAAGGACAGGATCTAGCACAAAGGTGAGCAGACGTAGACTTTTCTTAGGATCTTTCTCAAGAACTAATTTGAGAAAAAAGTTAGGAAGATATTGGTGAATGAGGCCCAATGATCTTAACCATATTTCAAGTAGAAACTGCGTAAATATTTCAGATTACATGCTGATGGACAGTGGCAGAGCTATGGCAACATAAACAACCCCATGCCAGCAGCTCTGTATTATGGCAGAAGAAGAGCTTTTAAGCTATGTGCGATAACAGATCATAGAGGTAGAGTTGCGATTAAATGGGCCAGTGTTAGTGGCTAGTGCAGTTTATTTGCCTTTTGCTAAATTTCAGTCAATAAAGGTAAGTCTGTTCACTCTGAGACCATCTTGGCAATGCTTCCGGACTGTTGTTTCCAGTCGTACAAGACCAGGCTCCTATCTCTTTAAATAAGGAGAAACCTGGAACTAAAAGCTATGTTAAAATTTAAAAACATATTTGAATCACTGGTTAAGTCTGACAAAAATAGCATACATAATTTAAAATAGCATAGTAGCGTTTAGCTGAAACAATGCAAAAATGTGTTCCTGCTTATGCCTTTTAATCGAAGGGTGGGACTTTCTGTAATATACTCATGTTATGAGCTAGGGGTGGGAATCTCTAGGCACCTCACGATTCGATTCGATTACGATTCAGAGGGCTGCGATGCGATTATAAAACGATTATCGATGCATCTGGATGCGTCTTTTTTTTTCTATACAGGATTTCTATTTTCTCACTGTGTCAGGACTGTGATCCATAATGAATTTACTTTCAATATCTATTATTAATAAATGGAAGTGATGTGGCAAGTGAACTAGAAGGCTTTCATTCAGTGCTATTGTTTGGAGCACATGAGACGCTGTTGCCACTCATTTGCGATGAAATACGCAGTTACGGCGACATAAGATCCAGAGATCCAGTGGCAATGGGTGTCCATGCAGCACGTTACAGCTATTCTACTCGTTTTCTTTAGTGATTTCATAACTTCGGTTTTGGTCTCATTGTAGAGAGGAGGGGGGATCTCTGCGTCAGTAAAATATCTTCGAGACGGGACGTGCAACATAGCGTGACCTGTTTCGCAATGACTGAGAACCGGCATGCAGACTGCAGGTCACGTAGCAACGATTCATTATTCACATTTATAAGCAGCGTAGTTGGTTTCCTGTTACGTTAAATCTGCAGCAAGAGACTGTCAAACACTAAAAAGTTGCGAAGCTGAAGTCGCTTCTCTTTCAAATTTTCCCATTCCACCTTAAATGGTGCCGCATTCACATTCTGCGCCTCATTTAGAATTTAAGGTGGAACGGGAAAATTCAAACAAGAAGCTGGAGAATGAGAAGCGACTTCAACCTCGTAAAACAGTTGAACGTTTTACGAAGACATTTTACAAGAAACTGATCTACTTCTGAAGAAAAGTTTTCTGGTGGAAATTGGAGAAAAGCGGCTATAGCTAAAGCTTAAAGCAGAGCAAAGTAAGTCTCCGTTTTTGTTTATATTTTTTAACCTAATTTATACTAGGACATTTGCACGTACTGAGACATACTGGACATTAAATGTTGTGGCTCCCAAAGATGGTTTGATTTTTGTTGAAAGGACAAAATGGCTCTTCTTATCATTTGGACTGTGACTCCTGACCTGACCTGGCTTTTAATGCAGAGGGTGCCGGTCGGATTTCACGCTCATCCAGTTGTGTTTTTGTTGTGTGCCGCCACAGACTGTCCGGGCGCTGAGCTTACCCACTTCCAAGTTCCGCCTTTTGTGTTCCGTCAACATTACGTTATAAATTAAGTATTTAGAAAATCGATTTTTGACGTTCAGAATCGTTCACGTCCGCATCGCGATGCATCTAAGAATCGACTTTTTCCCGCACCCCTATTATGAGCTATCCCGTTCTTTTTTCAACCAATTAATTATGTCCTCTTTGTTTATAATGTCTCTGTTACAGTATTGTGGCTAGGTGTCTGTCATAGGCGACAAAGCATTAAAACAAATAAAGAATACAGGGAAAGAATAACTAATTAAAATAAAACTAAAACCTATAAAATCTTTAAAACACTAGCCTGCTATCTTGCTCATTAGTTATTGCTGAGGCTCAAATTAAGAGTTTACGGTTTATGTAAGGTGGGGGTCTGGCAGGGTTAGCAGACAGAAATTCTGATTGGTGAGAAAAAAAACTGATATCAGCTTCTCCCAGCATAGGCCCACCCACCTTGAGTCCAACAGAGAAACAAAAAAATGCAAGAATTTCTCCTCTGAAATTAGACCGAAGATTAAGACTCAACTTACAGTTTATCACTGTGTTTTATCCCTCGTCTGCTTCAGTGTGGGGGACCGTCGGAAAGTTACAGGACAAAATTGTAAAGCAAAGGAAAAAGAAAATAACCCCCAACTCTGTTTAATCGTTTACCATGGTTATTTTTTCAGTCACCTGTCTAAGTGGACTCTGTTATCGGCACAGGCCTGGAAATGTCCTATATTGTTCTGTATGTTCACCATTAAGTACTAAAGTCATGCAGGAATCTGTAGCTAACAGTAATAATGGATTAAGGCACTACACTGACAGCCCCTTTAAGGCTCTGTGTGCGCGCATGCATGCTCATACTCTCATGTGTGTCTTTGTACAGCTAGTCATTATTTGAATCATAAAGAGCAACCTCATTCTGTCTGTGAAACACACAGGCACACTCTCTCTGACATTTTCCTCCCCAGATTTCTTTCTGTCCATATATTCCATTCATCTGTATGTGTGTGTGTGTGTGTGTGTGTGTGGAGCTGAAGAGTATTAACTGTGCTCTTACTGTTCTCCGTCCACTTTTGCAGCCTCATGCTGCCTTTGGCCTGGCCTCTGACTACACACACACGCACTAATGGACTCTCTTCGGCCTTGCATTATAGATGATGTTTGTGTGAGAGAGTAGAAAAAAACTCCTACTGTAGCACTTGTATTAAACAGACCTTTGTTCTAATAGGATACGATACATAGTGTAATTTTTTGCGCAAACAATATGTTTTCAGTTTAGAATTAGAAGAGAGTGCTAACATAACTTCAATTATTTTTTTTTATTTTTATTTATTTTTTGCTATTTTTTTATTTATTTTATGATTTCCATCATAAATTGTTGATGGGAAATAATTTTCTTAGCAGACATAAATAAAAAAGAATATAAAATAAGTTCAGTACCTATATAAAAGTAAACAAACATGTAAAAGTAAACAAAAAGTACTACATTCCAATATTAAATGCATTACAAGTTTGTTTTTTTTTTTTACATTTACAATCTTGTGACACCTCTAGAGGCATGGACCTGCTTGGTACAAACGAACCCTTTCTCTCACTCACTCACGTTTAGCAGGCTGAAAATTCTCCTCTTCCCCCTCCGTACAGACTCAACCCAGCTGTCAGACGTCGCTGCTGGGAGAACCACCCAAAGAGGTGAAACTTCCCTCCAATCCCTACCTAAACCTGGCCAGTGTACTGCCTGGAGTGGTACTGCAAGGTATGTGTGCACACACACAGTATGCATGACAATGCATTGTTATAGCTAAAAATGTATGTGTTGTAATTTTGGTGTTAAACCAGATAAACATTTTTTTATTTTATTTTTCTCAGGTGCGTTCAACTGTAGCACAATACTGTACTGGGGTTTAAAATAATATTTTGTCAACAATTACAATACATTATACAGTGTATGTATTTAATGCAACAAATAGAGAATTTACATACAACAGTGTGTTTATTTAACTATTTGCAAACTTGTCCTTGTGGCAGCCCAGCATTATTTGTAGTTATCATCCAAATTCTGGTTTGGCTAATGAGTACTTATGTTAAATCAGGTGTGCTAGCTTACAGGAAATACACACACTCACATTTTCTAAGCCACTTATCCTACTGAGTCGTGGGGAGAGCTGGAGCCTATCCCAGCGGTCATTGGGTGGAAGGCATGAAACACCGTGGGCAGATCGCCAGTCCGTTGCAGGGCAGACAGACAGACATATACATCACAGGGCAGACAGACAGACACTCACACCTAGGGGCAATTTAGCATCTCCAGTTGGCATGACCGCATGTCTTTGGACTGTAGGAGGAAACTGGAGCACCTGGAGGAAACCCACACAGACACGGGGAGAACATGGCTGACAAGATATATGTTTTTTTAAAAAGAAGTGTTTTTTTATTGTATATATGTTTATTTGTGTTTATGCCATTTATACATACAAGCAAAAACACACTTACTACCAAGATAAATGGATCTAAGTATGTGCCTAAGACCTTTGCACAATGCAGCTTGTAAGTATGTATGTATTAATTAATAATTATTTTTAAAACCACATTTTTCCTCATGGCTACCAGAAAAACGTCCCTACACTGTTATAATGGGGGCCATTTTAGTTGGTCTCCATATAGTAAAACACATACACACTCACATAATTTGAATATGATGAATTCTCTGATGGTGCTGCTGTGGCCTCCCTGTGCTAGCTCAGTTTTTCACTCTCTTGTGTTTACAGTTCAGAACTGCCTTGTCTCAACTGTTCCCCGCTCAAGGCTACATTTACCGCCAGGGTGCCAACAGCTGGCAGACATAAGCGGCAAAGTGTGTGTGTGTTTGTGTGAGTGGGTGTGTGCGACAGGAATGTTGGATAGGCCTTGGTTTATTTCTCTCTGCCTCTCTCTCTCTCTCTCTCTCTCTCTCTCTCTCTCTCTCTCTCTCTCTCTCCATTTCTTCCTGTCTCTCTCTCACTGTGCAGCCCCCAGCAGCAGCAGCAGTGGTAAAGGTCAGGCAGTTCAGGCAGTCAGTGGAACCTACAGCTCAGTCCTGCCTCCAGCTTCACTCTCGAGCACTCAGTACAGCACTGAGAGCAACACATCAGAGTACACACACCAGTACACTCAGCAATACTCACAGGTAACCCACACACTGAAATCTACACATACAGATACTCTTTACACTAGAATTTGCAGTATTTGTCCAAACCTGACAGAAGTCCCTTCATGTTCAATCAGTTTCAGGCTTCATTTCTTTATTTGTTGGGTTCAGATCTTACACTCGGGGAACTCATAGACTGTCTCCCAGTTTTAATCAAAATCGTTCTACATTTACCCGTCTTTAGTTTTTTCTCCCTTCTTTATTCTTTTAATTTGGCACACTGGAGTAACTTGTTTGAAGCCATTAATTGACAAATTTCATAAAGTGGAAGTTTAATGTAATTATGGATAGCAGATAATTGATTGAGTAAGTGATTAATAAGTGATTAATATTTTTTTAATGCTGTTTGCCATTGACGATCTGATAACAGCTTTCATTGTCGTGGGGTGTATTCGGGTTCGGATCAAAAGTTCAAGTCCATTTAAAGCTCGCAAGCTTACACTTCAAAACGTACACAGTAGTGCATTCATTACACTGTAATACTGGACCACACTCTGTTCTGGACACAAAAGTATTCACCAGAAAACTGGCCATGCAAGGGATCTGTCAGAGATATCTCTGCAGTATGCCTTTAATTGTATAGAGAATAGTAACATATGTTCTGTTTACTGTAGTATTTTCTTAAGCTGATAATTTTCTTAAACACCAAGGCCAGAAACCGTCAGCTAAATACCAAGACCAACACAGAACATGAATTGCCGAGCAGTTCCTGTTTTTTTTTTCCTGTTTTTTATGGAGAGGGAACAGGGAACAGAACACTAGTGAGTTCTAATCAGATGGATTTTAGGGCTTTAGTAGGTGGGGGAGCCCTACTTCTGTCATAGATTTCAATAATCTGGAATAATATGAAGTATTCAGAGCTGATGTCATGGAAATGTGATTAAGATTAGTTTTCAATACTTATCTAACAATATTTTTATCCAGTTAGCTAGCTGCAAGTGTGCCTTTTTAGTGCATTTAGTAACAGAATATGTATATATGTAAATATAAAACTATACATATTTTTAAGTGACCCCAAACAACTAGTTTTCATTTAGAACCTTAGTTAAATTGAACATTAATTTGTAGAATGTCTGGTCTCATTAGGACATTTTAGCCAATCAGCCATGTTGTGAGGTGGATGTAGAAGTCCAATATCATAACAGTTCCATGTGTATTACTTTCTAATTTTGATCCTTACTATTATTGTAAAATGTGGGAAACAGTAAAAATGGAGAAAATTCTGCTATGGAGAGCTGTATCCAAACTTATGACTGGTACTGTATGTGCTGTAATTAAAGCAAAAAATATGTCATTAAAAGCAAACTGATCATAGCTTTCTGTTCTTTGCTGCCTAGTGAGTTGTTTTTCAGTGGGTGACGTTTAAGCTGAGTCACTGGATCATTTGCAGTGTCCATTTTGGCCTTCATAGGTGAAAAGAATCTTACAGAGAATTTGCCAGCTCTGAGAAAATGTGACAAAGGGCCATGTAGATTCCTCCGGTTTGATGTTTTCCAAAGTACTGCTTGTTAAAATAGTCAGAACACACACACACACTCTGTACAGAATATAAGGGACATTTCAGACCCAGCAGACAGACCACTGATGCTGAAATATTGGTAATAACATTCACTTTTCTCCCTAATTTAAGTGGCATTTCTCTCCATCTCTGTCTGATTCCACTACACATATTTCTGTTCAGTATCAAACATGACAGAAGGGGCTGCAGGGGGTTGGCAGATGCCTACAGTAAAATGAATAAAGGAGTGATGAAAACTCAATTGAGAAATTCAGAGGGATTGTGGCAGAATGGGGATGAGCTGGAGCAGTAGTGAGCAGCAATGATTGGTCTTTGGGAGGAAAATGAAGAAAGGAACTGAACTCTTCCCTTAGGCAGGTTGAGGATGGACAGAACAGTGGAGATTTCTCTCGCGCTCTCTCTCTGTGTTTGTCTCTGTCTCTCTCTTTTCCTTTTAAATTTAAATCAGGAAACCTTCATTGGAATGAACAGAGTTATTTCTACTGCCAGAGCTGCAATGTAATATTAAAGGAATGTTAATAAAATCAAATGTACGCAATTTCCTCTTACCCTAACAGTAGTGAATCAGCCAAGACATGTTTAGTTTGCCTCTTTAGTATGAGGCTAATGTAGCTATTAAGTAATGGATGCTTATATCCCAATAATTAGTATCATGTAAACTGCACACTTGAATTTTGTCTGTACTTTTGTCTATTTTTGTAGATAACAGTATGTCAAACGGTGTCTGAAACCACACAAGTTGGTCTGTTTGACATTACTTAATAAGCTTACGTTGTCTGTGGTGAGCATGTGATGATTTGGCCATGCGGTTTGCACAGTGTTAAGCTTCCATTGCTTGTTACCTACATGAGCCTCGTAGTTTCAGTGCAAAACTAAAGAAGCAAACTTCTGATACCAAACTGTCTGGACTGATCAGCTACATTTGGGGTAAGGAGGAAATTTTATTCCACTGTAAAGTTTCACAGCATTGGAGTAAAGGTGTTTTAAAAGGGAATAGATTATCAGTTACATACCTTTAAAACCAAATATACACCACAAGTGTATACAGACATAGTCATTTCTGTATTTATGCCTGTTTGATGCTTCTTCTGTTATATACATACATACATGTTAAAATGTTAATAAGATGTTCTGACAGCAGCAATAGCAATATGGTATTGTATATAATACATAATATATTATATATACTACCATATATATATAATAATAATATGTCCCATATGTATTACATATACACTACCATGCAAAAGTCAGAGACTACCTTTCATATGTTTCATGTCTAGTCAAAATGGATATTAAGTACAAGTTATTAATTTTTCTAGATATATTTGTGATAAGATGAGATATACTGTATAATAATCCATGTGTGTGAGGAAGGGAAAAAATTTATGAAAATAAGGGAAAAAATAAAAGTTTCCAGCAGTTTTATTAATTTTTAAAAAAATTAATAAAAGATGCAGAGAAAATGGGACTCCTAACAACCATGCAAGACCTGGTAGACCACCAAAAACTGTCATCATCAGATAAACAGTACTTTAAACTTTGATCTTTGAGAGAGAGGAAAAAATCACAGGTGTTTTGTCCATCCTTTCACTATGAGAAGATAACTCAACACTCTGAGTGTGAAAGGATGTGTAGCTGTCAAGAAGCTGTTGCTGAAAGAGAAAATAGACAAAAAAGACGAAAATTTACAAAACAAGCAAAGAAGCTGCTGGTGTTCTCAGAAATGTGGACTGACCACCTCAGAATTCAGACCTCAACATCACTGAGTGTATTTGGGATTAATTGCATCTAAGATTGAACTTTGGAAGTGTGAAAAATATCACTACAGATTTCTTTTAAAACCTGAAAGCAATTAAAAAAATAGAAGCAGGAATATAGGCAAAGTGTGGAGACGCTAAATGCCGTGCTTAGTTGTAGAGACTTCTGGGTACATTTCTCTAAATATGTTTTCTGCTTTTTTTCCTGATGTTTATGCTTGAAATTGTACTTAACCCTCAAATGACCAGGGCACCAAAGTTCTATTACACACTTCTATAACCTAAGAACAGTCCAACCAGTTTGCATTGAAGTCTTTGTAGTTACTGAATAATAAACCTTAGTATGTAATAAACCTTTGATTTTCAGGGGTTATTGGCCGTTTTGACTGGAAGTTTGAAAACAGAAAGGTGGTCTCTGACTGTTTAAGTATCTAAATACCTTTTCAGTTAAAAAATGTAATTAAACATGTAGCTTATGTAAAAGCAGGATTATTTGTGGGTCCTGCTGGTTAGCCTTGTATTTCTCTGGACACGTTTGTTCCAGAAATGTACAAAAACAATCACACACACATCCACACCCACATTCCCCTCTTGGCTTTCGTTTGGGAGGATGAAGACATTTGCTGGGAGTAAGTGGCATGAATATGGGTCTCCTCTCCTTCATATTACTGCAAGTGCACCTCTGAGAAAGCGAGAGAGAATGTAGGAGAGGGAGAGAGAAAAAGAGGAGGGGGTTGGCTGGGAGTAGTTTTGTCCCATCTGGTCCCTCACTCCCCCGCACTCCACAGCTCCAGAGAAATGAGACAACGAGCTTTCACGCTGGATAAAGACGGGTTGGAGAGGGGGGTGGTTGGGGTGTAGTGAGTGAGAGATAGGAAGAGAGAGAGAGGATGAGAGATAGAGAGAGAGTGAGAGAGAGCAGCAATCAGGGCATGACAGAAAGAGTGGTGAAAGCATGTAGAGATAAAGTATGCTGATGGAATAATAGAGAGAGGAGAGAAAGACAGGAGTGGATGAATGAATAAAATAGAGAGAGAGAGGCAGTAAGAGCTGAAATATAGAGGCCTGAAGGCCAGAGCTCACTGGCCAAGCAAACATCAGCAAACACAAACATTTGGTTGGGGTGCTGGAGAATGTTCTCCCCATTCACACAGTTCTAGAATACCCCGCAATTCACAATGTTCTAGAATGTTCTCTTCCATTCACACTGTTCTAAAATGTTCTCCCCCATAATCACTGTTCTAGATTGTTCCAACATTCATGCTGTTATTGAATGCCTTTGTTCTAGACTGTTCTCTCCATTCATATTGATCTAGAATGGTGTTCCAATTCGTACTGTTCTTTAATGTTCCCCTATGTCACACTGTTCTAGAATGTTCCTCCCCATTCACATTGTTCTGTTCTCGGCATATCTCACTGTTCTAGAATGTTCCCCATTCACACTGTTCTAGAATGTTCTCCTCCATCCACACTGTTCTAAAATGTTCTCCCCTATAATCACTGCTCTAGAATGTTCCAGCATTCATGCTGTTCTTGAATGCCTTCTCCTATTCATTGTTTTACACTTCTCTCCATTTGTGTCGTTCTAGAATGTTCTTCTTCCTTTAATGATGTCCTTTAATGTTCCACTACTTCACACCGTTCTAGAATGCTCTCCTCCCCATTCACATTGTTCTAGACTGTTCTCTCCATTCACGCTGTTCTATGTTCTCAGCATTTTTCTCTGTTCTAGAATGTTCCCCATTCACACTGTTCTGTAATGCTCTCCCCATTCACATTGTTCCAGACTGTTCTCTCTGTTAACACTGTTCTAGAATGTTCTCTCCATTCACACTGTTCTAGAATATACTCCCCCCCATTTCATACTGTTCTAGAATGTTCATCCCACTCACTAATTTTTAGTTTTGCTGGTTTTCATAGTTAACAAAACTTATTTAACTGCTGTGTACATCATTTGCGAGGTGCATGAAATTGTTCTGGAAGAAACGTTAAAGACTAAATAAGTAATGTGCTTCCTTTCTGGAAATATGGTTTCTGTCTAGTTCATGGTTACAGTGCTGTGTATGGTTTCCTTTGGTGTAATTTTAAGAAAGCAGAACAGTTTATAAATATCTGGTCAAAAGAAGCTACAGTACGTCAGCATCATTTTAGCCTAGAGAAGAAGTGCTGTATTGGTTCATGATGTTTATTAAAATTTTTTAGATATGATCTGATGCATATTATATTTAGAAATCATGATATTTCATTTTATAAATATCATCTAATACTAACCTGAGAGTAGGAAAGTATATGTGAAGCAGACCTCAGCAGGATTTCACAAACACACACACACACACGTTTTGATGAGCTCAGGTGGGACGGCACGCTGCTGCTGTGAGTGTGTGATGTGCATGACAGCTCTTATTAATGTGTGTGTTGTAGGAGGCCATGCAACAGTGGTACCAACAATACCAGACACAGAGCTACAACAACAGTGGCCAAGAGACTGCTACAGCCAGCGAATACAGCAAGGAACAACCTCAGGTGAGCACATGTCCCTTACAAGTTAGGCCTCAACTGATATGAACGTTGTTACTGATGCCAAGCTAAAAATTGTGATAACCGATAATGATGATGTTTCACATGGTCAAAAAATAAGCAGACTCCAATAATTTTTCTTAAACAGACAAGTCATTGTTTTTAAAGCACATTAGAGAGAAAAAGAAAGGAAAGTCTCAGAAAGTCTTGCTCTCTCTCTTTCTCTCCCTCTCCCAGGCTGTAGTAACGTCCTCATATGGAGACTACACTACCTATATGCAGGCTGTCAGTCAGTACTATTCTCAGACTCAGATGAATCAGGCTGCTGCACAAGCCTACCAGCAGAGAGACCTCAGCAAGGTACACGCAAATTCACACACAGTCACTCAACTCCCTGCATCTGCTGCAACTTCAGTATCCATCACTGACTAAACCTAAATACTTTTTCAGACTGAACATCCACACATCATATCATCACAGTTGCAACCAAACAAATCTCTAGACTGGTAACTTTTCAGGAGACTGAAACTTGAAACTTAATGTTACAATATTTTGTTTTATTTAGTATGTTCACGATAAAATGTTAATACAACGTAAAGACCAGCAGTCATCTTTACATGGCAAAATGGACCTATATGGTTTTAATAGCACCACAACAATACAATCATGGTCAAGCCTTGGGCCGATAATTGATATTATCAGATATTGTCTTTTATTCTCTTTCATGTGTCAAGTGCTTTGTCCAGCCATTCACTGTACAATCATTCTAATCTACATTTAGTCAAACAATGTATAGGAAAGATTGGACTAATCAATTACTCAGATACATACTTTGAATGTAACTTGAAAGGATTACAACATAGATTCTCAGTCTGACAGAGAAGTAAGGGGGCATGCAAATGAAGCTAAAACTCTCAAATAATATGAGATCTACACTCCTGTAGAAAGAAAAAAGGAAAAGCTTATCTAGAATAAGTGCCAGCGTGCCAGTTTGGCAATGTTTTGTTTTCCAACCAAAACAAACATGGAGAACCACTGGATGTTACAGTGTTATATGCCGTCTGTGCAGAATACAGTTATGATTATAAGTTATTATAAAGTAGAGTTAGGAGCTGACCTGGTTGGTAATAAAATGGTAATTATATTCAATGAAAATGGAAGCTATAGGGTAAGGCTCTGTTACCTTCACACTTGGGTACTTTGTAACTGAAACTGTTATGTTGTTTGTTGAGATAATTCTGCTGTTTTATTTATTTGTCTAAATTTACATTATCATAAGTTTATTATGGGCGCCTGTTAATTAGGCTATTCAGTGGCTGAATTATGGTTTGTGATTTTTTCTTCTCTTTGAACAAAATTGAAGCAAGCAGATTGAAGAATTATAAATCTCTGTTTTTAATACTCGTCAGTACAAAGTTGATAAAAATGGACAGAACTGGCTTGCGCTGAAGATTTTCAATACAGTGTTTCACATTTTAATTGATCAGAAATGGCATATCCACCAGCAGGACATGGAGCTGATTATTTTCTATATATATATATGAGTGAAACTGCATGTTCCTTTAAGAGACTCTGGCAGGCTATAGCTGAGAGCTGTCCTGTTGCTGGTGTTGTGGGACTTTAGGGCTACAGGGTGGTCCCACTCAGGTCCTGTGTGTCTCTCATGTTTAATGACATAATGTCATACAGGAACAGCTTTATTATTTCTCAGTCAGTAGCTGCCTAAACTGAGTGCTGGAGGATTGCCGGCAGGAACGTCTTTATGTGTGTACTTGCATGTGTACACTGTAAACTTTATTTTAATACCGCTGTTGTGAGTAATTAAATCTTTTTTTTTATATTTCTAGAGCGTTTTTAAAGCAAACAATGTTTAACCAAAGTGCTTTACAGCTTTAAAACTACATATCAAGGTTATTTGACCAATGGCTGTTCACACTCTAAAGTGTCTGTGTGTTGTAATGAGTAAAAATAGATTTTGAGTTTTGACTTAAAAAGGAAGTTTGGTGCTTTAATCCATCCTCTCTCTCTCTCTCTCTCTCTCTCTCTCTCTCTCTCTCTCTCTCTCTCTCATCTCACGTTCTTTCGCTGCCTCCATTTATTTTCTTTCTCTATGTCTCCCTCCTCCTCCTCTCTCTTCTTCTCTCTCTCTCTCTCTCTCTCCCTCTGTCAACCTGTCTTTCTCCTTCTCTATCTCACTCTTCCTCTTTCCTTCTCTCGCTCCTCTCACACATCTTTTTTTTTGTCTCTCTCTCTCACTCCATCTCCTTCCCCATATGTCTATCTATCTGTCAATCTCTCTATATATTTGTCTCTCTCTTTCGTCCTCTCTTTCTCTCCCTGTCTTTCTTGTCTCTTTCTGTTGCTTTCCCTCTCTTCCTCATTCTCTCTGTCTCTCTCTCTAGGAGCTGGAGGTAGTAAAGCCCCCCCTGGCTGCCCCTCTGTCTCTGAATGGCACTGCCCAAACCATGCTGCCCGCCTACAGTGCCCTGCCAATCATGCCTGGCTTCATCACCCCCACACATGCTCACACACACACGCCCAGCCCTGTCACGCACAGCGCACACACAGCGACAGACTGGAACCAGTATTACTATGTAAGTTTGTGCATGCGTGTGCTGGACCACACTTTGGCAACACAAGTGTATAATTAATTGTCATGCCAATAAAGCCAGTCCAGTTGGATTAGAGAGAGGAAGAAATAGTGGAGAGTCAACATGCTTCAGGGAGAAAGTGACTGAATTCTTGCGTTGAGGTGGACTCTCATAATTCTGTGTGTATATTTAGATATTTAGATTCAGATTTAGCTCTTTATTATCATATGCACATAGAAACAGGTTGCACCACAGATTAACTTAACATGGTAATCCTTGGTGTCATTAGAAAAATGTAAATTTGGTTAGAATTATATACACTACATGTCTAAAAGGCTCAGCCAACGGTTCTTCTGAAATCAAGGGTATTTATAGGGAGTTTTCACCCCTTTGCTGCATTAACAGCTGGGGGGGCGCTTTATACTCCTCTAGCCAACACCTGGAGACTTTAGGTTCATGTGTGGCTTCTCTAGAGCATGTCATAATATCAGCAGTGCTTTTCTGTGGAGATTAGACAAGCTGTGTTTGTGCAGTTTTGCGCCTGTGATTGCAAGGGGTGTATCTTAAAGTAGCAGCTCAGTTCACTAATGATTAGGGGTATCTGGACACCTTTCGAGTGTAGTGTACATACAAACAATTATAGATATTATAATAGAACAGAACAGAATGAGGGGGGGAGCTTTTCCCTCTTGGCTTAGAATTGTTCATCTTATTGAAGGGCAGGACTTTGCCATGTAGAGAATTATGAGCTTTCCCCTTTCAACTAGTGAACTGTTTCCTCCTCTCTGGTCTGGTTGTGTTTGTTGCGGTTGTGTTTCCCATCAGAGACAACACATTGTATGGAAGACACACAGATATGCAGATAGCTGACAAAATCCTGATAGTTGTGGCCAACTTAACATGCAAAAGATATCTGATGTTCCATCTGTGTGTGGCTGGAGCATCTAAGGCTGAGACTAGAACGTAGATTGTCATATTAATATTTTTTGTTAGATTATTCAGTTATAACAGTGTAGATGCTATAACAGTGTAGATAAAATGCTATAAGCTAGACTCCAGGAGATACTTTAAGATGTTTTAATTAAAATTTCTAGGATTTTGTCCCCTAGAATTAAATCGGCTGTTTTTGTTACTGTGCCCTTAAGACTGATTTATGCAAATGAGGTGTGTTCTCATTGGCTGCCCTGGTTTGTGTCTCATTCACAAGCAGTTCAGAGTGAAACAGTTCTTATAACTTCACTGGCAGGTAGCGGAGCTAAACTACTGTAGGCAAATATATGTAAAAAACGAAAGGGTCACAAAAACAATGATTACAAAATGAGAAGTTTTTGCAGCTTATTTTCCAAATATGAATTGCATATATGAAGGGAATGGTACATTTGGAAACATTAATAATGTCTATACAGTACATCAAACTAAACATCAAAACAAAAATTGAGGAAATTTAAAATATAAGTGATAAATAATATATGATAATTGTCTGCAGTAAGTCCACAGTAAGTTATCTGCCTTAAAATTTGACAACACATTTCAAATATGAGGCATTCTGGGTGTTAATTTAATTATAACCTCATCCAGAATGTTTTCTCAATCAGTATTGAATAATCTAAAGCACTATTTATCATCTAAAATTTCTTCATTTTTTACAGCTTTCTGCAAATGAGTTGATACTTCTGAAGCTTCAGAGAAGGAGCATCATAATAGAATTATTTTATACATGAACCTGCATCAAAGTTGTTTTTTTATTTTCTTGAAAACAGTGATTGCAAACTTTTGAATATTAGCATATAGATCTTATAACAGAGGTAGATATATCTTGTATGTCATCTAAAGTGCAGTTATTGTATTGCAGTCAGCTTACAGACTGGAAGGGAGGAATGTTGAGTGTCTGTATGCCCATGTTTTTGTTTTTGTCCTGTCTTTGGGTTTGGTGTGCAGGCAGCCCAGTAGGAGTCTGGCGTTTGTTAGTGTGAAGTGTGTTTATCAGATGGAGCGAGAGAAAAGACAGTGAGAGGGAGAAAGAGAGAGAGAAAGAGACTAAGATGTGCACGTCTGTGTGGTGCTGCTGATGTAGCCAGGACAGCTCAGGCTTCAGAGAGTGCTGAGATAACCGGGAGTGTGTGTGTATGTGGGCTAAGAGAGTGGCATTCTCTCGCACACTGTGTAATACATGGACTTTTTACTGATCATTTAACTTCTGTGTCACATCTATCACCACCAATTGGCAATTTTTGGCAATTTTTTTGTCTAGAAATTAATCACCCTTAGCTGATTAATCGTTAAAAAATTAAGGACTGTTGAAAAACGCTGAAAAATCAAGGACTCGTCAAAATATCAATTCTAAAACATTCTAAAACTGGTTCTGACATAAGATTGAGTGAGCTATGTTCAAAGCCATTGTAAAATATGTGATATATGCACCCTTAGGCGTGCCCACATTGGCTGAATTCTGTATTACTGCACCAAGTAATAGTGATACTTGAGGGGCTGAACCTACACTCACCAAGCACTTTATTAGAACCATTATAGTAATACTGGGTATGGCCACCCTTTGCTCTCAAAACAGCCTCAGTTCTTCGTGGCATGGATTCCACAAGATGTTTGTAACATTCCTTTAAGATTCTGGTACATGTTGACATGATCGCATCATGCATTTCTGCTGATGTTTCAAGTGCACTCTCTTGCTGCGAATCTCCCGTTCTACCACCATCTCAAAGATGTTCTATTGGATTCAGATCCAGAGATTGGGATGGCCACTGAAGAACATTGAAACCAGTTCGTCACAAATTTTGTTTTGTGATATGGTGCATTGTCATACTGGAAGTAGCCATTTGAAGATTGGTAAATTGTGACCTTGAAGTAATGCACGTGGTCAACAGTAATACTTAAATAGGCTGTGGCAAGCAATAATCAATTGGTATTAACAGACCCAAAATGTGGCAGAAAACATTCCCCACACAATTACACCACCTCTACCAGCCTTGACTGTTGACACAAGGCAGGTTGGGTCCATAGATTCATGCTGTTGATGCCAGATTCTGACCTTACCATCTGTGTGTCTCAGCAGAAATTGAGATTCATCAGACCAAGCTATGTTTTTCCAATTTCAGCTGTCCGGTTTTGGTGAGCCTATGCCCATTACAGCCTCAGCTTTCTGTTCTTGGCTTACAGTATTGGAAGCTGCCATGGTCTTTTGCTGTTGTAGCCCATCCACCTCAAGGTTCGACATGTTGTGCATTCAAAGTAGTTATCTGAATTACCAAAGCCTTTCAGTCGGCTCAAACCTGGCCATTCTCAAATGATTTCTCTCAGCAACAAGGCATTTCCGTCCGCAGAACAAACTGCTGCTCACTGAATGTTTTTTTTATTGCACCTTTCTGAGTAAACTCTAGAAATTGTGTGTGTAAAAGTTCCAGGAGACTAGTACTTCTAAAAATACTCAAACCATGATTTTATGCACTGTGCTGCTGCAGCACAGTTGGAAGATTAGATAATTGCATGAGTGAGAAGTTGTACAGGTGTTCCTAATAAAGTGCTTAAAGTGTGTTCATCATTTGTATGACAGAAAGTTGATGAAATAACTGGAATATATGATGATAGGCTACTGGAAGTTCTATGTTCTAAAGTTATATTTATGACTCATTACTAGCCCAAGTTAAAACAAGCGTAAATGGCACGTCCTTCTACGTAACTCTGCACACCCATATGTGATTTCCTCACACTATCGTGCATCACACTTTCTCAGAAAACACGGACGAAATAGTTGTGTGTCACTTTGCTTTCAGTGTTACATCATTGTTGTCATGCTATTGTCCTCTCGAAAAGTGGTCCTGAACACCACTATTTTTAGCTGTGTGTTTTATATTTTGGTAGGTCTGTCTAGCAGTTTCCTGTTGCACCCTCATGCGAACAGTTAAAAAATGTTTCTCAAATTGATAAGCGCACCAGATACCTGTTCAGATAGGAACTGCGGTTTATTGAAAATGAAATGTTTTTTTTAAAGCTGCACTATTTTGCACCTATTTTGTTAAAATAAAAAAATAGCTAAAAATACAATTATGCATCGCTGTGAGTCATCCTGTAAAGACTGAAATAGTAATTTAAAAGTCAGAGGTGTCAGATCAGGAGTTTTTCAGACCACGTCATACGACTTTATGTATTAAAATAAAAGGCACAGACTCAAAAAGAAGGTCCAGCTTGATGTTTATATCTTGAATGCAAAATCATCACATGCCCCTTACCAAGTTTTGATAGAGTTCGCTTTAAATACTCTTTCAGTGTGCTCGCAATAAACAGATTCATCTGCTCAGGAAAGGAAACCGAAGCACAGCCAACATTACGAAGTGTTCTTCCACATATCATGTGCAGTTCCACATTTCCACCAGAGAGGTCTCCAAGTCCCTAAAAACAGTTGTTTGTCAGTTAACGGTTAGACGGTTAACCATTTACATCCCTACAGGCAGTAATAAAAGCATGTCATTTTTATTTAAATAAGGACACATTTTGGTATAAACTTGAATTAAACTTCGTTTCCCTCCTTTTCTCTCTTTCTTTCTTTCTCTCTCTCTCGCTGTATCTCTCACTCATTTTTCTTGCTCTCAGAGTCAGGCGCGAGGACAGAAGCGAGAATACCCTGCACTGCCCGTACAGGAGGTGACATCGGAGGGGCCGTACATTGGCCAGCATTCTCAGGGCCTTGGTGGCCAGTATGCCGACTACTTCAAAAAGAAAAGAATTTAGAGAATATACACACAGTCGCACTCTCACACTCATGGAAGCACACAATTTTCTTGACTACATTGTCGTTGTCATGTCCAAGCCTTAAGTCTAAACTCTGCCCTCGATAGCTGAGACTGATTATGTTTAGTGTGTGAAGGTTTGTGTTCTCTCTGCAAGGTCTGAATGTGCTCAGGCCTCTTTATTCCTGGCTTTAAAGCCCGGCTGTTTCTCTGAATGTGGCACACTTTGTGCTGTGTAATGGAAGGCACTGTGCTTTTGACATTCTTCTCTCCTGCCATTACTTCTGATTGCCTCTGTGTCCTTCTCGCTCTCTCTCTCCCAGGCAGGGTACTTTTCCACTCCAGGGGAATATGTGTGTGTGTGTGTGTGTGTGTGTATGTGTTTTCTTTGTAAGTGGTCAAGGGCTGTAAAAAAAAAAAACAGAACTATACTCAGAGAATTATAATCATTTTTAAATAGATTTTGCTTTAAAGAGTTGGACCTTACTAACACATTTGGTTTAGTGTAGAATAATCTGTAACAATCTGTAGTGTACAAATATTCTGTAAATACATAAACTTCACTCTGAGTGGTTTCATTAAAGACATTTTCCAGCATGTTTCAGTTAACCTCTGTCTGCAGTATCTGTCATGCAGTCGACTAGCACAGACAAAAGTTTTGCCTGTGGCCATTGACGGTTAACCAAGTTACCGCAGTAACAGCCTTCTATAACAGTAAAAACTCATTTACCACTCTTTTATCTTTTAATGAGATGTGATATCCTACATTAACGCCACATGTATTATACAATATGAGATTGTTCTAGAAACACAGCTGTTGAGCTGCGCTGGTTAAACACTCTCTGTGCTGCAGCCTGATGTCATGCCTGTACAAACATTGCCTGTGTGTTTTAGGAACACACACCACAGCATCAGGTTTCAGACAAAACAGATGTTTGTAATTCCGTTCTTCATTACTAGATTACTAAATTAAAAGTTTTGTGACCAAATTAAAATGAAAAACATTCATAACTTGTAATGTAAGTTAAAGTTAAGAGATTATATTCCAAGCAGTTTTGGAGTGTTTCAATTGGCCCATTCAAGATGATATTTTCACACAATGTAGAGGACAGCTGGAGTTCTCAAATTGTATCAAAAAATGAAACACAACAAAAATGGTGATGGGTTTTGTTTCGACAGTGAAAAAATACTACAACCACAACTTTTATTGAAGTGCACTTTTTATGTTAATTTATTTCACAAAGATCACATTAAATTATAATCAAAATTACCAGATGAAAAGGTGTTATCTTATTATGTCAGCTGTAATATTTTATATGCTGTTGTTTTTGATATTCTTATTGCTGTGCATGTAAAATAACCTTTGTGGAAATTAAGCCAAAAAACTCAATGTTCATACAAACCCCCCTCCCCACCCAGCCAGTTTAACACTTTTCCTTGTGCTTGAAAAAGAACAGAAAAGTATTGACTCAATACAATTATAATACAAGCCAGTGGGCAGCTGCTTTTCTGTTCTTTTACTAAGCACAGGTAAACACATCAAATTGACTGCCTGTGGTAGTCGACTGTATGCTATAGGAGCAGCAGATAACTTGAAACATGCTGGAGTCTTCCTTTAACACAAGGGCCAAATAGACAACCCTGTTTACACACAGATGTATACACAAGGCCCTGTTAACTTACAAAGATGTGTAAATGTACATTTTGTATGTATGTGTGTGTGAGTGTGTATCTATAGCTCTGTACATAGTGCTGTAACTGTAGGAAAGATCAGCCATTCTACTGCAGGAGCCTTAAGGCAGAATGAGTCTGTTAACTAATGCACTTAGCCACTCAGACTGGCCATAGCAAAGGCTAAAGGCAATAATGTGTAATGGGTCGTCTTCTCTCTGCTGATGGACACACTCTGTGGTCACTCTTTTCAGGCACGAGTGGGTGTGTACGCCACTCGTCTCTCTGAAAACTTATTCTAGGGAAGATAACATTTTTCATCTCTTTGAGGTGGAAATCTGAAAATCTTTTGGAAGATTTACTCAGTGCAACTCGTCTGCCATTCTTTTACTCAGCAATAGTAATATTGCTCGTTGTACCAATTGACCAGCCTGTGCACCACCCACAAATACCTTCTTTTATAGCAACAGTTAACAAGATTTACTGAATGTTGGCAAAAATGCCATTCAACCTAATGTAGAGTTGTAGTGGAGAGTGAATGAAGCAAAATATACAAATTTTACTAAAATGTTGTCAAAATTTGTAAATGTAAAGAGTGTTATTGATTTCAAACAGTAGTTATTTTTTACAGCACTGTGCAAAAGTCAGAGACCACACCCTTCATTTACCTCATTTCCAGTCAAAACGTCTGAGGAGATTAGATACAAGATAATCCACTTGCATAGAGAAAGCAGAGGAAAATAAGGGGAAAAACAGTGGTTAAAAAGTATTTAAATTTGTAGAGAAAATGACAATCCTAACCAAAGACCTGGTGGACCACTGAAACTGACCAATAGATAAACAGTACTTAAAGTGTTCATCAAGCTCCACTCTTGCTTCATATCTGAAAACATCCACAGGTGTTTCTTAACAAGTCTGGAAGAATGTGCAGCTGTCAAGAAGCCTTTACTGAAAAAAAAAGGAAATAAACAAAAAAATGTGCAAATCAGACACTGCTGGTGTTTTCAGAACAATATACTGACCACCCCGGAGTCCAGAATCTCAACATCACTGGATGTGTTTGGGTATATTTGGAGTGTAAAAGGCAGAAAATGCAACCATCTTCTAAGACTGAACTTCGGAGGTGTGGAAAATGTTGCTGAAAGCTGAATCTCCTCAAAAGAAATGAGTCTGTAATGAAGGCAAAGAGTGGACGCACTAATTACTGAAAAAATATATTTAGTTGTTGAGGCTTCTGTGTAATTTCTTTTTAAACTTGTACTTAAGGTCCATTTTGACTGGAAATGAAATAATTGAAGGTGGTTTTTGACTTGTGAAAGATTGCACTTAGGATGGACCGGATGTTGTTTTTTTATCATGTAATTTCCAGTCTAACTAGATGCCTTTAGCTACTACACTGTCCAGTTCGGTAGCGTAGCATGATAAACTCTAAACTCAGTGTTAAGTATCCATTCTAAACAAAGATGGATTGAATGTGATTTTTCAGCATTGTGTAAAGCTCATTCTTGCACCAGTGGCTATGAAAGGGGGCCATTTGTGGGTAAAGCATTGACCGGTCAATTCTAATAACAGTGCAATGCTGCTGGAAGGATGTAATGTGTGTAATGGGTCAGTGTGGCCCTGCAGATTAACAGTAATCTGTGGAGCTGGAATGCTGGAAAGCAGTTTTCATTTGAACACCCTGCCAGTAATAATCTCAGCACAATGCCGCTATATGGCTATTAGTGCTCTGTTATTGTGTACTTTACTTGCTCTCCCTCTAATCCCTTAATGGTCTGTTTAAGGCAGTATTTGTGTGGCATTACTGTATCATATGACTGTACTAATAATACGCAGAATGGGACTAAGTGCTTATTATATTTACAGTTGCTTCTTTAGTGGGAGCATTCTAATCAAAGTGTTTTTTTGTTTGTATTTTTTTGTAAATGATATTTAACCGTGTGTTTGAACGGCTCAAAGCCATAGCTCTTCTCGTGTGTATAGCTTACTGGCTGGACACAGTCCACCAGTAGACCAGTAGATTGTCTTCGGAAGGCGACGCTCAGAAGCGTCTGTGGTTTCTGTTTCCGAGGCGGGAGCGCGTTTTTGTCATTGTACAGCGTGTACAGGCTGTGTTTCTTGCTTTATTCAGCCACTTATAAATAATAAGGCTGTGTGCGCGTGTGCATGTACGTGTGTGCGTTTTGCTTTCTACTCTACTCAGTGATTGTATCAGACTAGCTCAGCTTCCTTTGCCCACTCTGAAAGCCATTCTCTTTGGTATGTGTGAGAGAAGCAGTGCAGTTCAGATCACTGTAATCTTGCACCATTGCGAGTTCTACGAGCCAGGCTGAAGGATTATAGCAGTGCTGAGGCCTGCCAGGGATGATTACACACACACTCTCTACTCATTATGGACATTAGGAGAGCTCCAAGAAGAGTGTGTGTGTACGTGTGTGTTTCTAATGTGTGTCAAAGTGACTGTCACAGCTAACCAGGGATCACTTCTTTTCAGGGGTGTATAGGGGTATACTGAATTAGTATGTAGCTCTTTACACCCTTATGACAAAATACCATGAGTGTCACTCCACGCCAGCTCACTTAGGGACCATCACGGGTTTCCATGACAATCAAGCAGTAACTTTTAACTCATGCAACCAGACAGGATTTTAAATCTGTGCTCCTTTTGGTTACTTAGTTACGATTTTTTAAAGTTCAGGCTCTGAACTGTCTCTGAAATACCGAGTTTAACTGCTTATAGAATGACTGAAGTGAAATAATAACTGGGTATACATGAAGGGTTTCATTCCAAAATGCATTATAGACCACTTAGAAAATGTTCTCTTTTTATGGGAGTGAACTTTACACATACAAGAAATGTTAATGCAATATTATAATTAATACCATCTTTATTAGAGTAATACAAACGTAATTTTCTATTATACACCAGCTGCAATATACAGGATTTTGGAATGGAACACTTCAAATACAACACATAGAATAATATTTTACTTTAAATAATACATTTCAGCAGGTTCATTTATTGGATGATGTGCTTTTTATGTGCAGTATTTCATCTTTGGAATTGGCCTTTTTGGCTCTTTATTTTCACAAAAGGTACTAATTCTATTCATAGTCTTATTTTATTCTAACTTTTTCCTAAGTAAGAACAGTTATGTCTGATTAACATATAAAAATACAGATGGTCCTGCTTTTTGAGCATTATGTATTTGACCATAAACAGTTAGTAAAACTGTAAATAGAAAACACTCAATTTCCAAATGAACCTTCATAATCAGAAGATCTGTAATCCTTTTCTGATAGGTAAGATATTTGTTTCTTGCAGTCCTGTTGTTGCATCCTGTCTTGCCAATAAAATGCCAATTTTTAATTGTGAGGCCATTTTAAACTCAATGTAGCTACATGCAGAAATAAATCATTCATATGTTTAGTAGAAATATGGAAATATCACATAAAACCTCAATTTTACAAAAAATGTAAAAATATAAAACTTCAGAAATGAAATACTGCAAAATCGGAAATACAAAAGTACTTCTTCCAATAAATTAGCCTGTTATGGAAACCAGTTGATTTAAAATGAAATTATTATTCTCAGTCTTGTATTCATACCCAGTTAATATTTCAATTTAGTCATTCTGTAAGCAGTGGAAATTCAACATGAGATGTAATTTACAGTGATGGAGTAAACTTAAAAAATCATAACTAAAAAAGTAAGAGTTGGATTACAGCATTGAATTTTTTCATGGTTTCATGAGTTAAATTGAACTTTTCGCTTGAATATTTTTCATGGAAACCCGTGATGTCACCAGACAAACCCTGACGTCCCGTAGGAAAGGAAAAACAAAATAGAGATCTTTATGTCCCTAACATCTCTGTAGTTTCTTCTAGGAGACTCTTGCTGAAGTCTGCTGTGCCTCAGATATTTCTCCTGAACAAAAGACCTCCGTAATCTCACAAGTCTCCTCTTCAGTTTTAGTAGAGACAATAAAGTCTCACATTGTGCTCAGATTTGCCAAGATAACGCCCGTCTTTATCTGCAGCTCTAATCTCACCTTTATCTCTCCTGTGTCTCATGTCTACTTCTTGTCTATTTCTCCTTAGGAGAATCTGTTAAGTCTCCTGAGCCATAAAAGAGCAGCATTTAAGCAATAAAAAATGTCCTCTTGGTGAGCTGGCATGGAATGATTAGTTATATTGCTAGATACTGCAATATAATGCATGTCGTCACTGTCGTGATAAAACCTCATATCTCCAAAATGGTAACTTCACAGAAGGAAAAAAACATTCTTAATTTTGAATTGAAGTTAATGGAACAGTTTTTGTGATTGGTCTGCATTATTTTGACCAAAATTAGTAGTCTTGGCTTGTATTGAATGCCATAATTGATCCAAAACACCCACTGAAACTCATCTGGAACATTAGGCGAGTCAGGATTCTCTGAATAGACAGATTAGACGGGTTAGAGTCTCATTTGTATATTGCAGGCTTCTGTGATATCAGTACTGGAATGGCCGATATTGGAATAACAATCAGCAAACAGTATGTTGTACAGCTCTGCTGTTAAGAAGTCTAGCCTGATGTACTGTACGGCTTTTGGCTGCTCATCTTCTGCTTCCCCATGTTCAGCTCAGTGTTTTTCCTCCACGTCTCCAGTGGTCAGACAGGTTTCCAACACTAACACTGCTGATCTCCCCTCGGCAGGGATTACTAAAGCACAGTTACAGTTACCTCTGTCCAGCCTTGCCAACTTACCTGTTGCTGTTACCGTTCTCTAACAGTGCGTCCATAAACGGCACTTATAATGGGTCACTATTATTAGCACAAGGCTGAGTGATTCACGTTTTGTCTCCCATCTTAATTATTCCAGTTGAGTGATTTGAGTTTGTTGATTAGTGGGCGAGGGCAGTTCTGCTGTGCCTCTTCTCTTTGTTGCTATCATGGTAACATGTTTTGTTGATCGTTAACATTATCCTGCCCTCATCATTTTGAAACTGAGTCAGAGAAAACGAAAATACCTAATTCAGTAAGTGCACAGATCATTGAGAAGAGTGAGTTAAGAACAGGATGACCGCCTTGACCTCTGAATGCCGTTATAACGTGTGTAAATGCTTGTATCGCGATGCTTTGCAATACTGAAGTGTTTCTTCATGACTTAGAAAGCACATGTTCACCTGTCTGAAGGTGCAGGGGAATCAACGCTTTTTTTGCTCTGTAGACATTTTTGCTACTTGTTTTTAATTTTAAAGTTTGTACATTTTTTTCTGACCTGGAATTCAGATTTTGCAATATTTTATATCCAAACTATATTGATATTGCTTTCTGTGAATAAGCTATTTTAGGTACAGTGGAATTTAAGCATGCCTTTACCCTTGTGTAAAAAAAAAAAAAAAATCACTTTGGTAGGTCTTGTTTCAGAGCTCCAGGCTTTTTGAGTTTTAAATTGTAGTAAAGAAAAGAAGTAATTGTATTTATTTGTCTATTTATGTACATTTTTTCCTTATTGGATACAATTTCTGTCTTATTCTTCTGAGGAAAAAAATAGTTTGGAGTTTTCATTTTGAGCAGAAAGAAATGGTTTTACATTCCGCAATAAAGAAAAAGAGCTGTGCTGCCCACTGTGTCTCCTCACTGCTTCTAATCACTCTGTATACAACTGTTAAATCAGTTCCTCTAGTGAACAGACTGAATATTAATACACCATTGTGTAGTGAACAACCCTAATTAGCCTGTTGATGTGGTTTTACTCAGTGATTGGAAACCCAGGACCCTGAAATTTTACCCAGAAACGAACAAAATAGTTGAGTAACAATAATAATACATAGTACAAGCATTCCTGTAACAGTACATACCATCCCCAGTGTGATACATTGCTTTTAATTTCTGAAGATAAAAATGATAAAATATTTAGGCTCAGCTATTCCCACACTTCTAATGGTATTTCAGGTTTATGCCAGACTTGAGCAAGAATACATGTCTTATTAGATATAACAGCTTTCATTTTATAATCTCTACTGTCCTCTAGTGCCTATTGTAGGCATTTAATGTCTCTCACATTGCATATCTATATCACACACTTCCACATCCCATAGTACATGTCCATTTCAGTCTTTCATGGTCAATGGGTGGAAGAGGAATAAAACAAGTTGAGGGCACAGCGATGTCATGAGCGAGGCAGAATTCTGTCCTCAAAGTGGCGTTAAAGTCTGTAATTCAGTACATCTGCAGTTGTCCACGGTGTTCCAGACTGTTCTGTGAAGGGGCACCTGGTCAGCTCAGTGTCCCTTTCCATCAGTGTTCTCACACATACACACACACACACAGCTTGTCCCAATACTCTCGGTGCAGACACATCGTCCATTCACTCACATAACTGCTCAAGGTTCCATCATCTCCTGGTACATCTGGCAAATGTCTTTTCTTAAAGGGGAATTAAATAGTTAAGATGTAAACAAAGTCATTCAGAGTTTGATGTGAAATGCTCTGTTCTGGAGAAACTTAGCGACTTCTCTACAATGAACCATTCTGAATGACTGTTTACATCGCAACTGTTAAACTGCGCAGAAACTTTGAAAAATCCCCTTTAAGCGAGTAAAAAGATGGACTGAATTTAGCTGATTGAAGTTTGTGCATAATTTGCACACAAATAAAATTTATCAACACATTTTTGTCTTTCAGGTTACGTACATTTGGCAATATTTGTGCTGATGTAATATATTTTATTCATGTGGAAATGATGGAGGCATTTGAATCAGCTCAGTTTAACGCTTCACTTTTTTCAGCTGTGAAGTCACACTCTTCTGAGTGGCAACACATTTCCAGAAGTTGATCTGCTGCATTACACTACAGATGAAATGACCAATCACCCAAACTTACACCACTGAAACAAATAATGTCCTTGTGATAGCTCTGTAACTGCTCACTGAAAGAAACGCCTCCACAGACTTTCTCTTTGAGTAGTTGTGCGGTAAAATGAGTTGGTATTAGAACACATCAAGAGCAGTCACCATCTTTTTAGGTTTACAGAGGACATTCAGGCTTACAAGAGAAACAGATTAATGAACATTTAATGAATGAAGTGGTAGTTCTCCATTTGCATACTTGGAGAGCAAGAAGACTCTCTGCTGCCTCCTTCAGTGCAGTCCAGTGACTATTTAACCACTCAGCTATTCAGCTGCAGGCTGTCTGTTCACCAGAATCAGGAGTGAGGTCTCTCTATGTGGTAATAAGGTGAAATACAGTGGATGAATACAAGAATATAAGAAGACATCATGTGACCGTTCCTGCTGAACCAAGCGGTGGAAAATGTTTCATGAATTCTTTTTTCCTTTTCTCTTTATAAAAAGTTCATTGCGCCGACCTCTCGCATTGTCTCTAGTAAGGCAGGTGGAGTATGCAGCACAGTGGATTTCCATGGTTACAGGCTGTCGCCAAGCATCTGCTGAAAGGCAGTGATCAGGCCTTTGAAGTCTATCCTTTTGTCAGGTGTGCTCTCCCAGCACTTCTTCATTAAAGTGTACACCTGAAAGGACAGACAGAGCGGTCACACGCAGCTCAAGGAGACGGCACCCTAGACAGTGAACTAGCATCCCAGCCTCGAGGCAATTTACAATCACCTGAGAGGTTTTTTTGTGTCTATTTCAACAACTCTGCATTTCAGCACGGTGTTATGTCAGTTCTGTGTTTGCTAAATGTTTTACCTTCTCTGGACAGCCCTCTGGCCTGGGCAGCCTCTTTCCCTCCTCCAAAACTCTGACCAATCGGGTGACAGTCATCTGGCCATGGGTCGGGCCAATCATCTTAAGGAACACCTGGTGGGGGTGGAGCAGAAGTTTAACAGTCTGCTAAACAGGGCCTCTATGCTACTGCCTCTACCAAAACTGCTTTCACTTTTCTACCTCACACAGAGAGACATTTAATACAAAGCTGCACTGAAAAAGGCGAATTAAATGTGTACATCGTTCCCACATAAATAAAACATACAGTACTGTGGAAAAGTCAGAGACCTTTATTTTTTTTAAAATTCCAGTCAAAAACTGTCATTAAGTACAAGGTATTCATTTTTCCACTTCAGGAAAAAAGCAGGACTGGAATAAGTGGCCAGTTCATTGTTCTGAGAACGACAGCAACTCCTTGCTTTGAATTTGTTTTCTTTTTCTTCTTTTTTCTCTAGTTCCTTTTCTCAACAACAGCTTCTTGAAAGCTACACATCCTTTCAGACTCATAGTGCTAAGTTGTCTTCTCACAGTTGGATGGACAGAAACAGATTTGAAGAAAGAATGGAATCTTGATTTTCTGCTCTCTCTCAAAGATGAAAGTACTGTTTATCTGATGCTAACAGTTTTGGTGGTCTATTAGGTATTGATTGGTTGTTAATTCCATTTTCTCTGTATCTTTTAATAGTATTTTAAACTTCAGTTTTGGAAACTTTCAGTTTTGTTTTTTCACTGGTTTTCTTTTGACCTTCCCCTCCCCATCCTTATGCAAGTGGATTATCTTACAACCTCCTCAGAAATCTCAAGAATAATCAATAACTCATATTTAATTGCCATTTTGACTGGAAATTAAAAAAATGAAGGGTGGTCTCTGACGTTTGCCTAGCCCTGTATTGCAAGTACTGTAATGCTACCAACAAGACAAACTATTCCAGATGTTTTATTCATGTGGTAATGAGGCACACATTTTAAGAAAGTTAATCCGAAGTATACACAGAATGTTTGAGGTGTACTCCCTCAGTTCTTCAGTTCTACTCCGTATTCATTTGAGAAATCCCATAATACCCTCAATAGTCCCTCCAGTCGGGGCACAGAGGATAGTGTGGGACTAGTGTATACTGATCTGGCACCAGTGCCCACAGCCTTTGGGCAAGGCATCTGCCACCATGGGCACAGACTGACACCATCTGCCAGAGAGAGACTGAGCCTCTATCACAGCCTGTCTGAACAAAGAGCTCTTTCATTAGCCGAGCAGAGTACAGCACTGTTCTACTCAATGAAAGGCCAAGTTCAATCAAATCTCTATATAACTCTTACACCTACCATTCTACCAAAGCCTGAAAACACCATTTACTGAACACATAACTACTGAGGGGAGGAACTCCAACATGGGTCAGCTTTAGCTCTTGTCTAGTCTGCTAAGCAAAGGCAAAGTGCCAGGGCCTGTGTTTTAAATGACTGGCATGAGGCTTAATTTTAGCTCATACAGTCATTTAAGGACAGTTCGTTTGAATAAAAAGAAAAAGGAGCAGAATGCTGGCAGCGGTGATTCACTCAGAATGTACTGCCAGCACATACTGGGGTAAGTGGGGTTTCATAGGCTACTCACCGACATGGGGCTGCATGAGCCATCACAGTAGGTCAGGAGCTCATACATGGTGACTCCAAATGACCAGACGTCCGACGCCCTGTAGAACTTACAGTGGACTAAGCATTCTGGAGCGTACCTAAGCCATGCAGAGAGAGAGAGGGACAACATATTAGTGAGAAACACAAACAAATGGCTCACACAGCACGAGCCAAACTGTCATCTAATCAATGATATGTCTATAGAATTGTAAAAAAAAGAAACTGTGGACTATTTTCTACATATATTTACTAATGTAATTATATTACATTATAAATGCATTAATCACAATGAAGATGTCACAACAACTGCACTAATTTTGGGATACTATAGTAGATTTTAGTAACGGTCAGTGAAGTATGTGCTTATTTTACAAGCTATTTTTCAATGTAAAAATTGCAACAGTTTGAATTGTCCCAAAACAATCATGTAAGCAGGAGAACTCCAAAGGGAGTGCGTTATCATGAATCACAGTTGCAGGTACGAGCCAAAGGTGCGTCATCACAACCGAGACGTTATCTGCAATAAACATGAGCTCGAGTGCTTTATAGTTAAAACATCTTTTTATTTATTTTTGTTTTATTTTTTTAATAGTTCTACAAAACAAAGAAAAAAGCAAAGCAAAGAAGCCAAGAGCACTGCATCAATGTGCTTTAATACTGACAAATCTTCCTGTCAAAAACTAGTAGCCTTTTGCTTTACAGATGGATCCATAAAACTGTCGAAATGTCAGGTTCAGCTCAGCTTTTTCAATACTTGCCAGGTTAACCTGAATGTTGTTTTGTTCCAGCCAGTCTGTAGCTTTCACAGCTCATCTTGTTTGGTGAACTGTATTCTATTTGTTTCTGGCTAATTTTAGTTCGTTTTTATTTGTTCTGCCATCACAGCCACCAAATGACAAGCTTGCTTAGGGGCAACAACAGGTTTGGGATTTGATGTAGTCCAGCTGCTCTATTCTTCAAAATGTGACCAAATGGGCTACAGGTCAAATATTATGTTCTAGAAGTTCTAATGTGTCCATTTTGGTTTTTTTTGTGTGTGCTGTAAAAACAGTAACTGTTATCTGTGGCATGAAGCAAGTCATTACTCAGCAACTGGTGCACAGCTGATACAATTGTTGTGAAAAAAAAAACAGTCTGGTGTTTGTGATAACAGCACCGATAGAACACTTCAGTAATGCAGCGATCGTTTCCTAAAGAAATCAGAATCAAAACGAGTTCACTAGCTTTATATGAAAACCTAAAAGTACAGCTTTGTAAATGGACAGGAATTAAAGTGGCTACTGTTATGTGTAAACTGCTATCAAATTTTAGCATTGCTGTTTACAACTATGAAACCACTGGGGCGTCACCAAAATGCTCACATCTTTCTGAGAGAACGCAGAAGTGTATATCCGGGGTGCACTGGTCTGCAGCATCACTGATGAGTTCTCATCACAGTGAGTCTAACAGATCATCTGACATTTTTCTATTTCAATGTATTTCCAGTGTATTGCTCCTATTTTGCAGCACAGTTTTGAAATCAATGACAGTGATTTGAACACAGACACTCGTTCAGTAAATTTACAGATTATTGCACAGCAGTGCTACGTGAGCCTGAATGCAAATGCGGTGTCCCACCCAAAGAGCTCTTTCATACGTGAGGAAGTTCTTTCAAAAGCTGTGGCTGCCCTGATCACCCAAGCTTACTGTCCTTTCATTCGAATCAGGTTATTCGATGTTCTTGTTCACAAAGCATTCTGTAAATTGCACTCATCTGATCCTTCACTGGTGAACCCTGTACTGTTGCTATGACTAAAACTGCTAAAAAAGTGCAAAAAGCACGCTGTAATTAATGTTTTGTAATTCAACATTGTCACCATCATACCTTTTCATCATTTTCAGATTTTTCTTCTTGAATTATTTTTGGATTAATAATGCTTCGGATTAGTAATACATTTGGTCAAAGTACTGGCTAAACTGCAAGGCGAGATTGTTATGTTTATATTTTGTGCACAGAAATTTACTTCAGAAATCTTCCATTTATACTGTGCACATCTATTAGGTTCAACTCTTAATCCTCATATTGATAAAATGCTAATTTAGACGTTTGCCATAACTGGTCTGGGTTTGCAGGTTTTTATCTTACATTAAACATTAAATTAAGTAGTTATTGTAAGAATGGATTTGTGAATGTAGAATGAGGTCCAAAAGTCTGAGACCACATTAAAAATCTGGGTAAAAATTTAAAACAAAGAAAAGTTATGAGAAGTAAACTAAAATATATATATTCAGAACTAGCACTACTTTTAGTACATTTGTGATGGTGATCATGTTAAGGCCTTTGTACCAAAAGGTCTGATTTTTTTTAGTCTTATTCCTTCCACTGAAACTTGTTCAGATGACTCTCAGGTGAATCTGATCTACTCATCAGAGGTTTCTGCACAAACTTACAGGGTTTATGGCAGCTCAAGTGCACTCTGTTCATTAAAGCAAAACAGGGACATACTAAATACTAAGAAATTCCGAATTTAATGTTTCAAGAATTCTATTTTTCACTAAAATTGTTTGCTGATAATATAGTTTGTGATGAAAAACTTGCACAGCAATAAAAGAACCTATCTGCCTTTGTCTGTCTGCCTCCCTGCCTTTCTATTTATATTGAATTAGATTTAATCTCTCAATCAATACATTTTATTTTTCAGACAGCGTAATTTATTAAGTTTGCTTTTTTAATTCAGTTTTACTTTCTTTGGTAACACAAGCGAGCTGACAATTCCTACATGCCATAAGTGCCACTAAATAAATACTTCAGTTTGACTGAGGCACGAGTTCCTGCCCTTTAACTCAGTCTGAATAAGAATTCCAGTATGTATGTTCATGTGGCAGTGAGAACAATATTTCAATATATCTAGCCAATGTCTACATTTATATTTATATATGTCTATATTTATATCTATATCTAGCTAGTCTTATGAGTGCATTTGGCAACAGCCAGTTGGCAAAATAGTAAACATATTAATTACACTATTTAGTTGCTAATAAGTTTAATATAAAATCCATTCTCATAAAAAAGGTCTAGTGTATGAAGATTAGCTGTCTCAGTGGTGAGACAATTTTACAAGGTTATGCAAATTCATCTAACTACCTATGCGATAGAATGCTTTGGAACGACTTCAGATGTAACGTTAGATTGGAGGGGCAGATGGCGTGTAGTGTCTAGGGGTTTATATTGCACAGTTTATCACACCACATATTTAAATTGACTGCACAAAGATTAGATAAGAAATTAGTTATCATCATAATGTTATATGACTGGAGCCTAGCTCTGCCGGCCCTTCACATAAACCACAGGTGCCAGAGCGACGCTCTCGTGTGCTCTGGCCTAATTTAACCCTTGCCTAGAGTGTGTTTCTGCATGTCTCCATGCCTTCTCCTTAAAATCAGAGGAACCCACCAGAAAACAGGGCTGTCCAGGTCATCCTTTACTGTATAGTAACCTTTGTTATCTTTAATGCTTTTAGTCAAGCCGAAGTCTCCAATCTTCACTGTGTTCTCGTTCTCCACCAGAACATTCCTGGCAGCAAGGTCTCGGTGGATGTAATTCCGAGAGCCCAAGTAATCCATGCCCTGCAGCAGAAAGAGCAAAACAAAAGAAACAAATTAAAAAGCTGTTACGTTATACTATTAGAACGAAATACAATCTATAGTACTACCTACTTGGTCTCCAATATAACTGACTATTGTGGTAAAACATATTGACACTGGAAATTTCCATAAGACATATGTAGAGGCTTACCTGGCAGATCTGTACAGCATAGGTGAGCAATGTCTTTAGATCCATCTGGGCTTTGTTTCTGGGGAGATATTCCTTCAGGCTGCCTGCAGGCAAATACTCCATGATGAGTTTGATGGATCTGCCACCTGAAACAAAGATAAAGAGAGAATCCATTGAAGTCTTTACGTTAGCCAAATGTCAATTTGTTAGGCTAATTTTAACCGAAGGTTACTCTTGTGGAGGGCATTTTTACATAGCTGATACGAAATCGCAGGATTCCAGCCAAAGGGAATTATAGCCTAGGAACACAGTGAACTACACAGAGTTCATAATGTTATAGAAGAATAATCATTATGTTTATCATTAAGAAATGTACCGACAACAGTATATTTTATCTACATTATGAATAAAATGAACATCAAATCATAGGACACACCCTATTTTTTCCAAAATAGCAACTTCATTTTCACACAACCTCCTTTCTTTTCCAAATGTCACATATGATTAAGTCAAATTAATGTGTTCTCTGTTTATGTTTAAGTTTATGCAAGAGGTGTGTGTACATGTGGTTTGTATTTATTACCCTCCTCCTGGCAGATGCCCTTGTATTTGACAATATTCTCATGGTAAAGCTCTCTCAGGATGTCGATTTCACACCACAGGTTACTGCTCTGCTCCTCTCTGCTCTCCGGTTTCAGGGACTTCACCGCCACCAGCTCCCCTGTCCGGTCCCCACGAGGGTCATATCGACACAGCTCCACCTTTCCGAAATGTCCCTGTCACATACACACACATACAATAACTCACAATGTTTTTACCTGGCAGAAGCAATTGCCTGGTGTTAACAATCAATCAATATCAATCAACAGGGCAGGTTATGGTGGTTTGCCTATAACATTCTATGGTTTCTGTAGGAATGCAAGTATTGTACTGTTGTATTGTGACTAGCACATTAACTTGAAGCTACAGCAGTAGATTAGGACAGTATAAAGCACAACTTTTCTTCCAAATAGTGTACTTTTATAATGTGCAATACTCTAATAAACAGAACATGGAAACATTAACTTATGGTGTAAGGCACATTTTCAGCATATATCTATCTATTCCTATCCTATGTGTAAAAAAATCCTGTATCACAGAAAAAGAGATAAAGATGAGAAATTACCTCTCCCAGGTCTCTGATCTTCTTGAGGAATCTCTTTTCAAACACTGTGGGGTCCACTTCTAGAGTGGGCACAGGCTTAATGGAGGGGTCTGCAGTGGAAACACACTGCATTAATCCTCTGAATCACATAGGACTCATCTTGTATTTTACACAATATAACATACATAACAAAAGAAAAAGAATGGTGCTTTAACATTAACCCTATTAGACCTGCAGAACTGTTCTGTCTGGAAACTACTTCCCTAGCCTGCATGTCCTAGTTCAAGCCACAAAGGGTCAGTGTTTTGAGCACTGCTACAGAGTTATGAGGGGCTCAGCCAGGAACACCAGGAACTCCTCTGTCGTTTACATGAATTTTCAGAACACTCCCCCTCTTGTACTGTGCTTTCAAAACTGAAACTAACATGACTTAACACCTTAACCCTAAAGACTCATACGTGGGCAGACTTTTCAGTTCCTCACTCTCATATCTATACATATATTTCATTTCACTTACTTTCATAGTAATTACTAAATAATAAGTTTTAATTTTGATAACTGAATAATAAGCCTGAGGTTCAAGGGGTTAAGTTAGCTAAGTGAACTAAGAGAGGTCTCTGTTTTGCCCTGTCACTGTTTTCTTTACCCATATGATTACAGGTATGAAGTCAAAATAGTTCAAAATAGTACCCTTTAAGGTTGCTATGTTTACATGTATGTGGTCCAAATCTGCATCAAAGGGCCTGTTCCACTAATTAAAAGGCCATGCTTGACAAGAAAGAGAGCTGATTAGAGTGTTCATGTGGTCTAGAAATTCCTGTCTGGATCAAATTCTTCACTGGCAGGATTCCTAAAGTTAGGCATTTGCCATAATATTGGTCAGGTTTGTAACAACATTCTGCAGTCAGGCAGGCCCTCACCATGGCAGGGCACTTTAGCCCAGTCAATCCTACCAAGCACTCTGCAGGCATACTGCCGACAAGTTGTCTATGATGCATCTATGCAGTCAGTAATGGCTCAGCGTGATCTATGGCTTCAAACTCAAGATATAAGAGACACTTACACATACACAATCACTAAGCTGTCTATGAGCGCTGAATTTTCTTTGTTGTCAGCCATAACATACCGCCACATATACAGCTTCTGTGTGAATACTGTATCAGCATAGGCATCACAAGAGCTGAAGACCAACATATTGTCATGATTTTCTCCCTGGCCCCAAATATGGTCAATCAGCAAACAGATGTTTGGTGCCCAAAGTTTGCTTCTGTAATGTTATACTAGAGTTAATTTAATATGATATAATATAATAATATAATTTGCCTTTTACACAGTGTGATGAAGACAGGAAGTATTACAAATCATGGAGCTTAATGCTTTTATTCATGTCTCAACACACAAGTTTTATAAAAAAGAACTAGAGTTTACGAATGAATAGTTTGGTCAAAATGCTAATGTTGAATTTACTTTATAAGTCCTCAGTATCTTTAATGTTCTGGGCTAACAGCCTCTGTTCACTATAACATAATTATTGTAAGGGGTGATTCAGCCAAGGAAAGAGTAGCATCAGCTAAGCTATCAGCAGCATAGTAAAATAACAGACAGTTAGGTAGCTAAGTAAACTGGCTAGCAACAATCATTAGCTGGAAGAACAAAACTGACAGTCCAGCATACCCAAGCTAATTTTACTTCATGAAAATATGATAGTATTTTAAGCCATGACCCTCACTTACAGTAAATTACTTAGGCTAAATCTAATGCTACTGCAAATGTTTTTTTCACAGATAAGCTGGTAAAAAGCCATTACTCATTACTCTACACTGATAAATGACCCAACATGACACGTGAGAAAGTACCAGACTTTGTGTTTTTGTTGTTTTTCTGTGCTGCTTTTTAAAGCCCCACCTAAACCACATAAAATTTGTCAAACACTAACTTAATGAATTTTACAAAACAGACTTACATAACAAAAAAAAAAAAGAGGTTTCAACATCAACGCTGACAGAAACTACACAACTTCTCTGCAATTCTTAGATCAAGCCACAAGGGGTCGTTATTTTTAGGACTGCAATAGACTAATGTGGGGCTTCGTCAGGGAGACTGATGTCGTTTACAGGAATTTTCAAAACATTCCCCATCCTGTACTTAGTGCCTAAGGGAACTACTCAATTTTGAGTCCTTTCAAAACTGAAACTTGAGAGGATTCAGCTTACAACAGGATTCAGCGTTCAATCCCTCAACCCTAAAGAACCATCACAGTAACTACTGAATAATAATCTTAAGTAATATCCAGACGGGATTAGTTTTCCATGAGGAGGTGGGGTAGCCACTGTGCCAGTTTACCACAGGATGTCTGTGACGTTTATGACCAGATTGCACAGGGTAAGAAATTTCGGTATAAATGACAGAGTCTTAACTCCAGAAGAGTAGAAAACATTAAACCATTACCTTTTTTTCATTTACCTTAACCATCTGTCTTGCTGTCTTAAGTGAATTCACTGTGTCATTAGCATTTTCGTTAGCATGAAAAATTCACAGCCAACTGTCAACATCACCACATAAAGTCAAAGTTTTTCCTGTAATTCAATTAAATTTAATTGCCTTGATGAGGACAGTACATATTGGCTTGATGTTAGCCACAGAGAACACAAGTACACTTCTTCAAGTGCCTCCATACTTAAGAAACACCTTCTCTCCAAGATACGACAGCCAACATTTCGATTCGCACCAGATCTCGTGTTATTTCTGTAGTTTAATAGAAGGTAAAAGGTGCTGGAATCTTTGCTTATGCAGGAATACACAGTCGGCAAAAATAACTAACATTCAGACGGGACCAAAATCACATTGAAATGCCAGTAAAAATTGCATTACCCTACTTCATCATGTACAACTAATCCTGTCTGAACAGTGCTATATTTTTATCAACTGAATCATAAGCCTGAGGTTCAAAGAGTTAAGAAAACTATGTGAGCTAAGAGTGTTCTCATTTCTTAAGTCGTTGCTTAGTGTGTTTTGCTTTGTACCATCTCTTTAGATTTTCCTTACTCTGTTTTTCCACCATGTCGATGTCTCGGACGATGGCTCTGAAGAATGGTCTCTGATGAGGATCATACGTCATGCAGTGGGTCATGAGCTTGGCTAGCTCCTGACAATCCGGTGTGGCCAACTGACACTGAGCTGCATAAAACCTCTCCTTCTGCTCAGAGAGAGAGCGATAGAGAGAAAGTACAACAGGAATAGAAATGGAAAAGTGATATTCCCATTCCCCAAGTTTACTGACCTTTGGCCAGTTTTGGGGATTTTGTTCAGTATGAGACAATGTGTGTAGTGTATTTGTTTACCTCTGTGAGTTTCTTGTCTTTGAGCGGGATCTCTCCGTTATAGCATATCTCCCACAGAGTTGTGCCAAAGCCCCACTTATCTGCTGCTACGCTCAGGTTAGCTGTGTCCTGCACACACTCAGGTGCAATCCATGGAATCCGGTCCACACATTCTGTGTGAAAATAACCGTACAAATACATTGTTAGACATAGACATTGTTATATTCACAATTGTACATTTAGGTCTTCCAAAGCTGAGCTGAAGCAGTAGTTTGTAAAAAAGACAAATTTACATCATTTATCCATCTATACTTATAATCTTGAACGTAAGTTCAAAAACATTTCACTTTAAAAACCATCAGGTTCAGTCCCCAGCAGGTTCACTCAAGCAGAACAGAAATGAGTGTGGAAGCCAAGCTGTAAATCCTGCACCACTGCCATTTCCCGAAGATAGTGTTCGGGAAATATGAGAGCTGGTTCTACTCCTGTTTAGGGTGAAAGTTATGCTGTTAAATATGTAATATGATCTCCTGGATACATCCCAAAGCACTGCGCCTTTTTTTGTTTCGCTGCACCCACCTCTTACATACACACATGTAAGCACACACACAAAACCAGTCTTTCCATTCAGAGCCCTGATACACAGTAAATAAAAAAGTCATCCTGGGCACTGTAGGTCTTCCCAAAGTTAAACAGTACAGTAGAGCCGGATGAGGGTCAGCAGAATTCCTGTTGGTTACATTATCTGTTAACACTTTACTGTAGGGTACTGTTCATAATGATACATGGCACCTACATAAGCTTGTCATGACAACTGACGTAACCCTACATAAATGTTCATAAATGCTTATTCCAACAGGCGTCATTCACTTTAAAGGTTACATTTGCCAATTTCGATCAAAGTTAGCTAAAGTGTGCCAAAAGATGACGCCTATTGGAATAAGCATTTATAAACATTTATGTAGGGTTATTTCAGTTTTAATGACAAGCTTATGCAGGTGTCATGTAGCCTTACGAACAGTACCCTACAGTAAAGTTCTACCCATCATCTAATCTCATTCCACAGCACCACAACTTTGTCTTACACACTACAGGAAGCATCGCACATGAGCCTCCTTCAGAATTTTTCAAAACACAAGCTGGCATTATGTTTGTGTTTTACTGCTGTGAATTTAAAGGAGTAAAAGTATTACATTAACCAGCATTTAGATTATAACGCCTGAATGAAGGCTTTGAAAGAACAGCATGCACTTGCCATCCTTTCTTAATGATACTTCTAGGCCTGTCACGATTTTGAAATGTAGGCTGATCACTAATTGCTGATCACTAATAAAGTCGCCAGTTTTCTTCTTAGCTGTTGACTAAGTTGATGGCAAAAACAGCTGAAGCTCAGATAAACAAACCTTACTCTTTGCTGCCCTCTAAAGGTGGTATAGCACCAGTCAGAATTTAGAACTTTTCTCGTGTTTAGTTAGACGCATGACGTGCCTTAATAAGTGCATCTTCTGCTTTCCTTTATTTACATGTATTTGTCTCAACCCAACTGTAGAAAATCACCTAATTCACCTTCTGTTCGCTGAAACGTAAACAAATCATTGTGAACAGTAACAACTATGGAAAATAATTGTGGTCAACTTAAATAACTGGAATCAGGCAATTATGTAATAATTGTGACAGGCCTAGTTACTTCTCAGAAAGAACAAAACACTGAGAAATTGCACTCTCTGCCTGCAATGGCTGATGGCTGTTACATGAAACAGATAAATAAACAAGTCATCTGATGCTATTACTCCATACTGCAGCAGTGAACATCCCTACAGTCTTAATCTTCGCACTGACCGTGATTAGGTTGTTTCATATAAGATATTAACATCTACTTTTTCAGCCTATATCAGTTTAGCTCTGTCCTTGCACATTAAAGTTATAAGAAGTGTTTCAGCCCTAACTGCTTTTTGAATGAGGCACAATACACAGCAGCCAATGAGAACAGAGCTCAATTACATATCTCAGTCTTAAAGACACAGTAACAAAAACAACTCGTTTCATTCTAAAGGGTAAAAAAGTGTGAAGAAGTGTCACATGGCTGTTAATGGTATTTAAATCCACACACATCATAAAAGAACCTCAGAGAAAAGGTTAAAGTACAAGAAAAATGTAGGGTATGTGTTCTGATTTCTGATTTACATTGACTTAAGCAGTCTTCTGGGTACAGGCTCTAGACAACTGCCAGTGTAATGCTCATATTAGCAGAGTAAGGCTCTTACCCTCTCTGGTGAGGACGGTGATGGGGATGCCAGGGTCACTCAGCTTGATAAAGGGACCACTCTCGCTTTCCAAACCATCCCGAGCCAAGAGAATGTTCTTAGCACACACATATCCATGTACAAGCTTCTTATCCTCCTACAGGACACACACACGAACAGATGATTACTGAACTAACACAGAGAACACAGACACAGAGTTATAGAGAATTAGGTAAGTGACAGCAGTCCAGACTGAAACATTTCAAAAATCACATGCCAAACACAGATGTACTGCGAAAACAAAGATAAGCTCAAAAGATAGTTAGGTCAACCACAAAAAATCACCTCCAAACTTACCACAGAATTTGATTAGCATCTATGAGCTTCAAACAGCTGTAATAAATGGTAATATTGGTGTACAGTAACTGGATACATATAAGGCCAATAGGGCTGCATGATTTCTTGATACATCTATTGTGATTGCAATATGAGTTTCTGTGATAAAGACATTGCAAAGGAATGGTCTTGTCCACTCCTACACTGCTTCTTACAATGCAGTAACAAATACGCAGCTAAACAACTATGCCATTCTTATGCACTGTAGCCCCTTTCTGCAGGACCCTTAGTGATCCTTCCACTGGCTTGGATATTTTTCAATTAATATAATTAAACAAATTTTATTCAATAAATAAGTAAATTAATATTTTCCTTGTAATCCTACTATCAGATTAACTGGGACACTTTTGGCTCTGTGTGTGTGTGTGCATTGTTGTGGCTGTGTTCAGTTGCTAGCAAGCAATGAGGGATGAAAGAGGAGAGATGAGGACCCCTTTCTGTAAAAACAATCCACACCTCTCCACAAAGATGGCTGTGCTGAGATAAGTGGACAGCCAACGAACTGCCACCAGAAACAAAAAGCACTTAAACACCAATAAGACACTTTCATAAAACAGGCAAAAATGTATGTCCATGAGTGAAGGGGTTAATTGAAATAAGTTCTCAAATGTCTCAAATGTGTTAAGCAATGCGCAACAAGCCATGCACTGCTTTAAGATTTTTGTCCTGTGATAAACAAGTTTTCTTTCAGTCCATGTCTTAAACCAGTCGTGATATGTATATATGGCTTCAGAACATTCTGTAGGGTTTTTAAAAACCCATGGTTGTGCTAGTTAAACTTACAAAGCCATGCAGCAGCATTCCACAAACTAAAAGCATTTCCTCACAAATCATCAACAGGGACTTTCTACGTTGTGAGTACATCAGTTATTAAAAACAACAGAGACAACATATAGCTACAATATCCGTAGCCTTAAGGTTACTACACATGCTAAAGTAACATGAATTTATAAAAACTTACGTTCTGACAAAAAATGAGGTTTCTGGCCTGAAAGCTTATTTATTTTTGACACACAAGTCATAAGTCTTGTAGGCAGCTTTTTAGATTTGTTTTGCATTTCAGTAGGACTACACAGAAAACGCTATTTAGGGAATGCGGACTGTTTTTCTAAAAGCCTTAAAATAAAAAAAATATGCCTGCATTTGTGCTGCTGTAAGTATTTTATTATATTTATTGCCGAATAATGAATAGTAATTTTGTAAATTGGTATTTGCTTAAAGGAGAGACTACATTGAAACTCTTTAAATCAAGAAGCAGCAGGAAAATACATACTGGATAGGCAGAATAAAGACCAAAAGCAAAAAAAGATGGTGCACAAACCACAGAACAGGACTCCCAAGCTCTTCCAAGAGCAAAGATGGGCCATTCTCTTTATGAGGCACATGTTGATATATAGGTCAGTGTTTCTGTTTCTGTAATGCTCTATCTCTGTATCTCTTTTTTTACCTAACACCAGGTCCTAACACCTGGTTTTCTTGTGGTTTCGTTTCCGCACACAATACAAATTCATTCAAATTTTACCAACAGTTAAGGTTCGGTTCGGAAGCCAAGGAGTCTCCTTCTTCTGGTTTTCTTCCACAGTCCACTTAGCAACTACTGCCATAACCATGACAACACTGACCAACTTATGGTAGACCGTGTTTGCTTTGCATATTTTAGACACATATGGTAAACAAATAATTCAGTGTATGTAGTGTGTATGTATTTACCAGATAACTGAGGGCGCTTGCCAGCTGTTTGGCCACCTGGAACTTCCATGAAGTGCTGAGAGGAGTCGTCTGTCTGCGCATGAACAGATCCAGCGGACCAAACTGCACAAACTCCTCCACCATGATATCTACAAACAAAGCAGACAGAATAACATTCATACAGTCTGCCTTGGTTTGTATGTGGACCTACATTTTAATCCCTCACTCTCATAACTGCAGAACTTACACAATAGTGTTGTAGATATTACCAAAAAATGTTACAGCAGTTATTGAACAATAAGCAGCCTTAATCTTAATCAGCCTGTGGTTTAACAGCATGTCCTTGTATATAAGCTTAAATAACTTTACAATCATTCAAGATTTTAATGAATTCTAACTCAAACAAGAGTACTAGAGTTTTCCGACAATATGTCATGTGTGCACTATGTGTCATAATTCCCTGTGAAACAACAGGACAGATATAACTACATATACAGCCAACTGTATTGCCACTCCATTGCATCAGTGCATATAGATCAATCAACATTGGCCATTTTTTCTACATGTTTTTGTTTAGTCATTGCTTGGTAGCCAATGTGAAAATAAAATACACCGTCCAGCAGATTTAAGTAAAGCAGAGCTCCAGCTTTTAAGACCCACCCATGTTGTGTTTTAAAATGTAACTGCTGACATAGAATTAGTGCAACTTCTAAGGAGCTTGAAAACATTTGACTTCAGACTTTCAAAAAACAAGATTTTCTTCGAGATGGGTGTAACCTACAAATGCTTGTCAATGGCAGTGATGAGGAGGCTGAAGATGCTTGAGAAATATCAGGAATGTAGCAATACACATCACCAGTAAGACCACAGATCTGCAAGTGATCTTTTTAAGTTGATAAACATGTTCACTGTTCAGATTATTCGTTCAAATAGTTTAGTTCTGTATATTTTTGTTGTTTGTTTCAGTAAAAATCAGGATCTAACTGAAATTTCGGCCTGTGTTAGCAATATTATGTGATAATTAGCACATTTTTGATCATTTTCAGACGTAGCGCTGGCCGGATTTGAACTCACAAACTCCCAATAATAATGCAAAATCTTACACACTTGTGCCACTGAGCTGCTCAGTATAAAGCACTCGCAGTTTAACTACATGGCAGCCATAAAGACTGACCCAGTGAATCTCAATGCAAAATACAATCATGGTAACACAGAAAAATATAAGACAATGTATAACGTTACAACCACAACAAAAAATATGAAGTGAACTAACGAATGCCTTACTAAAGTTTGCCTATTTTCATCAGCAACACATTTTTGCATACAATAACTGCTATTGCAGAAAACCTGAGTTTGTGCTGAATCAGATGATGGAAATAAAGGGTGATTCGAAAAAATTCATCCGATTTCAAAGCGCCATATTTTTACAACTGTGAGGCACATAGGAACCAATCACATACCAGTTGAAAGAGGGGGTCATAGAGTTTCACTGACTGTCACTGAAAGATGGCTCCTTTCAGTCTGCGAGGAGATGGCAACTTCTGAGCAGAAAGCATTTTGCGTTCTCCACTTCAATAAGAGTGAATCAGTCATAACTGGGCAACGTGATTTTAATGAGCAGTGAACCTCCAACAGCTCAGAGCATTCGTTGTTGATTCCACAACACTGGATGACCTCCGAAATCGCATTGAAAGAGCCTTGAGTACAGTGACACCTGATACGCTCAATCGAGTATGGGATGAATTTGACTATCATGTTGATGTTGTCAGCTGGAGGACGTCATATTGAGCACTTGTAAAATTACATAAACTTTATGCTCACTTAAACCATTTATAATTGACTTCATTGTTCTGAAATGATTTACAAGTGAAATAGATCATTTTGAAATTGGATGAATCTGTTGTATCACTACTTTACAGTTAAAAATAATGAGATATGCCCAGGTAGCCGCTTCTAGGCTTAGTCCTCAAAGGGTTCAAGGGTTAATCTCAACTGAACAAAAGCGCAAACAAGCTTTCCACTGCTCACTCATATATGCATGTATGCATGCACACAGACTTGTTTTGTCTACTGCCTGCTTGTTTTTCAGATCACCATGTTGATTGATTATATTCCACCAGAGGGTTAATGTAAACAGGTGTGTTTCCACTGGCCTAAGTTAAAGGTAACAATACATATATCTGTCACTATACACTTACCAAAAAAAAAAAAAAGTTCAGCTGTCAGTTACGGACATAAACCAGCACCTTTACCATCCTTTAATGTGTGTATGATTAAAATAGCTGACAAGAATAAAAAATAACAATAATATTGCGACATCTTTTAAATTAACTGATTTTTCATGCCACTCTTCCTCACCACACGCACTTCAGGTAAAAATGTGGATGTCACTTACTTTCCTGGTGACGCACACATACTCCATACAGCAGGGCAATGTGTTTGTGTGAGACCTGCCGCATCATGCTGGCTGTCTCAAAGAAGGCCTAGGCAAAAAAGGGTAAGAGAGAAACTCGTCATCCTTTGTGTTTTGCATGACCATGTGGTAATTTCTGACCATAACATTAAGCATTATACATCCCCATATACAGCACAACCTCAAGTAACGAGATATGCCACTGAAGAAACTAGTATAAGATAATGCACACCTTTACAATGTAACATATATTTATCATACACTGTATCATACACTATAAACCTATAACTTGGCTTATTACTTTTTATTCATACAAAAAATATCTTCTTGTAAAAAAAGGAAATGGTCCACACTGACAAACTGGGGCTTGCCAGGTAGCCCAGTATCTCTAGTTTCATGGGAACAGAGAAATTAAAGCATCGAGAGAGAAAGAAAGAGAGATGGTCTCACCAAAGATATATCCCTGTGTCCAGATCCCAGCACTTTCAGCACCACCCTCACCTCCTGAGAAGAGCCCCCAAAATCATCATCATCCTCGCTCTTCATCTTCAGCACACCTGCATAGATGTTGGTCCTGGTACCCCGGCCCAAGTGCTCCCCCTGAACACCAATGGCAAAAACATCCTATCAGTTCTGTACAGAACAGGGCGGAGCAGAACCTGATAGATTCTTTCAGCGAATCAGCGTACAGTATTTGGGAGAGCTGGCAGAATCTCAAATGACTCTCTTTTCCCTAAAAAGTGCAGTACGCAAGTCTTAAAACAATGAATACTCTATCCAGTGTACAGTGTGTCTAACAAAGAACTACTTTGGATTCAGCAAAGTGTGCACAACTGCATACTCAACAAAAAAAAATTCATAACTCACATAGTGCACTACACTGTAAAAAATGGCTCGTCAGATCTGCCTAAAAAAATTACTTCATGTAGTAACAAGCAATTGAACTGGTTTTATTCAACTCAAAACATTACTTTGATTGAAAGAATCGCACATTCAAAGTATTTATTTAGGTTGAATAAAACTAGTTAATTTACTTGTTACTACATGAAGTATTTTTTTTAGGTAGATGTGACAAGCCATTTTTTACATTCATTTCATTTTTTTTGTGTACATAGGAAGCAGTGAACTATCTGAGAATCAGCCTTAGGATTTTCAGAGGTATGATCTTATAGATGTTTAACCAATGGGCTGTTCTTGTTGCAATTTTTAGCACTTTACCTGCTTGTTTATGTTAAAAAATGTTAAATGCTGCACTTAAAAGAAACTTGTATTCATTACATGGCTTTGTTTAAATCTGAAACATGAAATGACCATTAGTTTTACCTCTTTTTGCCAAAAAAACAAAAACAAACAAAAAAAAACAAAACAGAACAATTTTTCAATAAAATTTAGTTTTGAAGTTACTTTTGTTGAGTCATTTTTACTTAATCAAAGCAATCCCAATACAATTTGATTGATATTACCCGGAATGCACAATTAAAAAAACATGATTTATGAAAAAGAAATTCACTAAAATGGAGACTTTTCTCAAATGAACTCATTTTCATTACATGTCTATTCATAACATGTATCTTTTGGGTTACTCAAGTTACTCAGTGGAACTCAATTGATGTAAAGCAATCAATCAGTTACCATAAAATACTGGGTAATAATTACTACTGAAACTACAAACTAAAAGTTTTAATTACATCAACATAATTACATTGAGTGGTGGAAATGAATATTTTGAGTTGCATCAACTGACAATATTTGTGTTGCCTATCTAACAAATTAAGGTATTATCCTATTTAAATATATGTGTGTAGCTGGTATTAAACCTATAAGTTCTACAACATTTGACTTTTGATTCCATGATTGTATTATAAAATTATAAGGCGACTGACTGTGTTCAATATTTTGAGTTCTGCTAACTTGCAGGTTTACAGTGTGTGTATTCTGAGGTGGGGGAGCCCTGATTCATGAAAATGTGTTTAACACTAATAGCCTATCTGTTTGTGTAGCGAATTCATATACTTTTAAGGCATTTAATTTAATGTAATTATTTTTAATTTAATTTAATTCAGTTTTTGCATAATTATATCAAGATCATTTCTGATTCTTTTTTGATAGAGACAGAAGTCAAACTAAAGCCTTTAAACTAGAAAACTGAACTGTTTTAAACAATGATGACACCCATCTCACATCAATACAGACTTGTGGTAGAGACAATACCATTTGCCAGATTATCCAGAAAACGCCACTTTTCAAGTGTTCAGCTCTATCTGCCAATCACACTGTGGCCCAGTTTAACCTCTGGTTGTGGGTTTCTTGAGTACATGTGTGCGGTGGTGAAAGATAAAAAAAATAACATACAAAAAATCTATTTTTTTTTTTTAATCGTAGTCGGACTTGGTCAAAACCGACGTCTGAAACCAAGATAAGTCTGAGTAAAATTACTCTCAAGTCTAAACTGAGTCTGAGACAATAAAAAATGTCAGGTCTGGATTCGAATTTGGCACTAGTACAGAATGCTCAGTTATAAGGATGAAAGGATTCTCCAAATCCACGGTTCAGTTCAGACCTCAATTTTTGAGACATTCGTTTTGGTTCATATCTCAGTTTTTTGTTTTGTTTTTTTTTGGAAGGGGGGATGGTGGGTGGGGGACAAATGAGAAAAAATGTGGAAAAATTTCTTGGTCTTATTAAATCAGCAACAATTTGGAACACTAAAAAGAATAAGAACTAAAAAATATGGTATACACCTTGCCCTAACTTTAAATAGAACAACACTTTGATGATTTTCATGTGTTATAGTGTTAACTGTGAAATGAAAAATTAGTTTTGTTACATTAATAACGCAATGAGAGCTCGACAGGCTACACCAGCAGCAGTGGCAGTGGATTGGGGTTGGGGGTAGGGAGGCTGTAGACGTTTGCATCGTGTTTTCGGTCTCGATTTCAGAATCATTACACCCCTACTCAGAAATCAGTCAAATCAATGAAATTGATCGATTTTTTTTGGGGGGGATTTTCACCCAATTCCACCCTCTAGTTAGGACTCCCCCAGTCACATGACACTAGCAGCGCTAGGAGGGTGAAGCCTAGCACAGAATGATGGGAGGAGAGGGGGGGGCTATTCTATCCACCCAGAGAGCGAGGCCGATTGTGCTCTCTTGGACTCCCGGCCACAGATGGCTGTAGCATCACCAGGGATCGAACTCGCGATCTCCTGATGATAGGGCCAATGTTAGACAGTTGCCCCACTCAGGAGCCCCAAATTGATCGAATTTTGAACTCAAGAGCAGGCTACATTTATGCACAACCAGAATGTTCGCACCACTATGCATTAGTATTTCACACTAGTTAGGTTACTTATACAGTATGGCAGAAAGTGGTGTTGGATTTTACCTGGGCAATCTCCTCTTTAAGGATGCGGTGGAAACTTAGCTGGCTGACTTGAGGTTGTTTCTGAGGGGCGGGCTCTCTGTCTGTGGTCATCACCAAAAGGTTGGAAATCTCTGAAAGATAGAGGAGAATGGCCATTGATTAGAAGAGAAGCACTGACACAGGTGGGCACCTGACACAGTCTCTGTGTCGTCCTTTTGCTTAGGAAAGAACGTAACTAATACAGCCTGGATCAAATTACAAGATTGTATATGTGCATATGAAGAAATTATAAGACAAATAAATGCCCTAATTTAAATGTATACTACATTATGTTATACCTAATCAAGTATAAAAGTCAAAAATGCATGTAAACAAGACAAGTGAGTGTATTTATATAATGTGTCTGCTTGTGGTTAACTTGCTGCATGTGTGGGTGTCTCAATTCTGCACTGCTGTTATGTGTGTGTGTGTTCTTCAGATGCTGTCTGAGGAAGGAGGAAGTTGCACGGTGTCACACAGAAAACCATGGTAAAAACATGCTGTAAAGTTGTTCTGAGACAGAAAGATAGCTTTCTTAGACAGTTTTGTGTTTTGCTTGTAGGTGTCTTGCAACATCATCTTGATTTTGTCTTGATTTACTTAACAGCTTGTTAAAAACACATCCTACACACACCCATGTTTAGTACCTGAAGGCAAAACAAAAGTGTTTCACAACATGACCTGCTGAGATCTTGAAGTGCTTGAAACGAACAAGATCTGAGATCTTAAAGTGAACAGCAACGGAAAACCACATTTACTACACTTCCTGCCTAACACCAATGCCTCAGCATGTACTCATACAGCATGTGGATGTAAACAAAACAGTGTGGCTGCCATTTACGTGGGGGTGTGTGCATTTCATTTGTTTTCCAGGCTCCTCAAATTGTCTCCAGAATTGTTATTTCTCTAGTTTCATTTTTATCTTACAATCAACAGACATCTCTGTATTTTGTCCACTATACAGTACAGTGAAAAAAGTCAAAGACCACCCTTGATTTATTTCCTGTCAAAACGGCTGTCAGGCACAAGCTATTCATTTTTCACTGTCAAGTGAAAAAGAGGAAACATATCGTCGCTGTCCAAAGAAAAACAAAATCTCTTTAATAGTAACTTTACAGGAGAGGGCAAAAACACTCTTACCTTTCAATGTAAGTTAATGTATAGAGCTTTTATTTCAAGTGATTTTAGAGCATTTCTATTGGTCCACTCATCATGAAATTTACAAACAACATAAAGGACAGCTGATGTATTAAAAATGATGTAGAAAAATAAAAATTGACAAAAATGGAGATACATGGTTTTCTTTGGACAGCGACGATACATTTCACAGACAATATATATATATATATAGGATATTAGTAACATTATCCATATATCATCTGCCCACTCTTTAGATTTGTGCACGCTTCTGCCATTTTTAACTCTTCCATCCTTACAGACTCACAACCAACCAGTTACAGCTGTGCCTTCTCAACAAAAGCTTTCCAACAAGAAACTACCCAAACACAACTTAGCTGCCTTGCAAACTGCGAAAGAACACCAAAAATGAACATCTCAAATGTGGAGTAAGGTTTCATGGACTGAGAAGTCTAAATCTGAGATCTGTGTAAGAAACAGATGGCAGTATGTATTCCCCTGAAGCAACTGAAGACTCTTCGAAACAAGTCTACAACCATCAGAAGCAGAAAATGCAACCAAATGTAATAAAGGCAAAGAGCAGACACACTAAATACTATAAATAGTGAATTTATATTTAGTTGTTGAGGCTTCTGTGTGTTGTTTTGTTAAATAGATTTTTCTTTTTTCCTGACACTGAAAAATTAATAACTTATACTTTATGGCAGTTCTGACTGACTGTATATGTGTATATATACATAGTAGGACAGGTATGGTAACGTGGGTAACAGAATCAGAAACTAAAATACCATTACTGCAGTTTAGTCAAACACGTTCAGTGTTTCCCCTATATAGGTTATAATCTGGTGGTGTGGCATATAGACACCTGGCAAATTCTGTTTATTCACAAGGTAAAAGACCTGAAACCATAGCAAACATTAAATAGTTTTGTTAAACTACTTAGAGGACTGCTAACAGGCTAAAATGCAAACTTACTTTACTGATTTTAACGATTTAGGTTAAAACGTATGAAGAATAGTTCACTGTAAACTGCACCATACAATGTGTATGTTACCAGAATGCCTGTTACAAGCTTCATATCCCTGTGTGACTGTGTGTAGGCTTGAGCTGTGTAGTATTAAACCAGTTAGCTTGATGCTAACATAATATATGAAAAGCCATTGACAGGCTAACAGAAATCAGCGTTAGTAACAAAAGCTAATCATAAAGTACAGGCTTCCACAATAAGCATGGTTAAGCACTATCAAATGAAACATACTCAAAATCTATACTGTTATCGATGCAGTAACAAAGTAGCTGGCACAATACTGCATATGTTATGGGACTGCCCTGCTAACTCCAAGCTCTGGTCTCAGGTGGCCTCAGATTTATCTGATGCACTGGGTTTAGATATTAGGGCTCCCTGTTTCTCTTAAATGATGACTAGTGTGGTTCTCACTTCCACACTGGAGATTTTTCCCTGCCACACTCACATCTGCCAAAAAACTAAAAAAAAATCCTACTTCCCTTATTTAATATTTAAACGTTCAATCTTTTGTACATTGCAATACATGACAGATCATGCACCTATAGGCAAAACTAATGATTTATGGTCTAAAGTCATTGATTCTGTCACAGAACATATACTTGTTTCTTTTTATCACCATTAATGATACTGATTGCAATAATATTACAGTCATTATCACTGTCATTCTTTGTGACAGCTATTATTTGTATTATGACTATATTCCAGAGGTGTGGCCTCGAATCATATGACTTGGACTTGAGTCTGACTTGAGTCATGAATTTGACTGAGAAAGACTTGTGACTCGACTTTGACTTGGACTTAAGCCTTAACACTTAGAAAGACTCAAGACCCAAAGTGGAAGAAACACAAGAGGCATCTGACTGCAGATGAGACTCTACAGTCGGTCACGTGTCATGAGAATGGATTTTTTACTGGTGTTAGGCATGCCAGAACTGTATCACATGTAAATTTGATATTCAGCAACATTATCAAATGTCTGTTGCTATGTTGTTATTTTGGAAGAAAAGCGAGACAAGCCAAAGATTTCATGTTTTCCTCCATAAGCCAGAACCAAATCAGCATTAATAGCACCAATATGCTGTTGGTCAGCATTTAAACACTAGTCTTACTGGAGAAACTTACCAGGCTAACTTATCATTTTACTCGGGGCAGGCCTGAGCCGATTGACGATAGTATCTCCAGTTGCTAATGTTTCCGTCTATCCCAATGGTCAATCAAGTTGGATGATTTAAATGTCCACAAACAGTCTGTCCATGGCTTTAAGATGCATAAAAGTAATTACATTTGTTTCACCATCTGTTTTTTTCTACAGTTTCTTTTTAATGTTAGTCAGCACTGATATTTTGCCATTGTCATGCATGTTAAACCCCCAAATTAATTAGAATCATTTAAAAGAGAAAATCATTGTTCTAATCTTTGATGAAAAAAATACATCATGGAAATTAGAATGTATGTTTACTCCTTAACATGATGTAGTGCAACTCAGGCAGGAAATAACTGTGGGTGGGACATGATATTTTTCTTCAGGATTTGATATATTCATAAAAAATGAAGTACTACAATATTCTGATCTATATTTTCTGTAGTCTCTGAAGCACGATACATTAATCGAAATGATTTTAATGTTTTATTTCTTTTTTTTTACTTTTTAAGACATAGATGAGGCAAAGTGCCAGTTGGCATGTGAGCCTGTCAGCTTCTGCACTGCTCTCGCTTTTCTTACACTTTCACAGCAAAAAAAAAAACAAGAAAAAAAGACTTCAGTAAAAAAAGTCACGCTAAATAAATCTGCGTACAAGTGTAATCACCTAATGTTTGAGCAAGACATGAACTACGTGTATGTGTCTGTGCATCTGCACATTGCTCCATCATCAGGTAAACCCCCTCATAGCCTCTCAGCCTTGCAGCGCAGCAGAAAACTGGCCAAATGCTACCAGATATATGAAATACCTCACTCTTGTTAACAAGAACACAAGTTTTCAGTATGAACAAGAAGAAATAACTCACAAGCAATTATTTTACAACCAGTCTAAAAACTGAAACTGAGAGAATAAAGTGAGGAGAAGAAAGGAGGCTGTCTACCAACATACATGCATGTGCAGCCGAGATGATGACGGATGATAATGTTGATGACTGGTCAGGGTGAGGTGCGAGGAGGGAAAACATGCTAAGATATTCTTGTTTTTTCTAGCCACTGGCACATGGTTACGCAACTGAACGTCAGACGACATTTAGAGATGGACAGAAATCACCATTTTGATTTCAGGTTGACTTTAATACACCTCAACTAACAACAAGAAATCTATATCTGAAAGGTTGGTCAAGACTTCACCTATAAAAACTGAGTGTACCTTTAAAGACTACTGCAGCAGTATCAGTTTGCCTTCAGTACATGGAGGCTTGCCCATCTTGGGTAGGAACAATTTGTCTGGTTGACTTCAGTCCCTCATGAGGTTTGGACCTTAGACAAGGACGCTAGCTCATGAAATCTGAACTTGCGCCAACACTGAACGGCCACTGCAGCTGCTTAAGGTCAAGCTGCACTATTTGTGTCAACATGCAAGTTTGTGTGAGTGAAAGAAAGTGTGTATGTGAGCAATGTGACATTAAGAGACACAAAAACCTCAAAAGGAACTGGCTTTTTACAAGCACTTAAGTTCCTCATTCAACAACAACACTTTGTGAGATGATCCCCCAGTGAGCCTAAAGAAGGATAAAGCTCTTTCAGTGTCAGCAGTCAGCTAGCCAGCTAGTGTGTCAGTGGCTTGAGATCTGAACATGTAAATGAAAGAAGGATACAGATACAGAAATGTTTCAGTGGGTATGTAACAGCTTTCTAATAGAGTTTAGTAGCTTTACAGTAAGAACACAATCTGAGAGCTTTTGTCATCAGTGATGAAAATGCTGACTTAAGGGAAAAAAGGCCCTACAATAAGAGTTCTGAGTGACATTTCAGAGTATGTGAACTTGTCAGGGACAAGTTCTGTGTGTGGGTGAATAACGTTGTGAAACGTAAGGCTTCTGTTGAAGGCACCACTAAGACATGTTTCACCATACGATCCTTATCTTACTGTTGTAACAAAAGCAACAGACCATTCTCGTGTGACTTTAAACATTAAGCAATGCTGCAACTATGCTGTATAATCCTCCAGGATAAACAAGTGTCAGTGTGTGTTTTGATTAAGGATGCTGTTTTTTAAATGTTTCTGGCCGATCAGAGTTACTGCAGAGTGGATCAGATGCATGCTGACCCTACCTCTGGGCTGCGGTGGGCAGCAGCGGCGCAGCTGGAAGCGCAGGTTCTCTGTCCGCAGGCTCTGGCCCTGCAAGTGATCCAGCAACTCCTTTAGACTTGGTCTGAACGTCTCCGTCCCAACCAGCCTGTAGCCCTGTGTGCATACTTCGATCTGGAAGTTCTTGTATTGAGGGACAGATCTGGACTCGCACAGGTCCAACTGGAAAAGAGAGAAAAACAGATTCTAAGCAAACACACCTAAGGGTATACCTGACAGAATGTTAGACCTTTGCCCTACGGCAGGTATACAGGTTCCAGACTCTTGGGCTGTGCCTGTACAGCTTGTACAGGAACCTGCTGAAAATCAGTTCTGACTGGCATGACTCAACAAACATTACTTTAGGATCACTTTATTGTTGTACTAAATCTCAAACACATAAACCTCAAAACACATTTTCCCACACACACTATGTAACACTGTTGCATTTAGTAATTACCATAAAACTAAGTTGTGAGGTGAAGTGAGGAACTGAAGCATGGACCAACATAAAATTAAAGGGATTAAGATGTATAATTATTAGGGGTGCTATACTGATACCAAAAGTGCCGCTTACTTTCGATGTGGCACTTTATTTGGTTTCATTTTCATTTCATTAACCCTTTGAAGCTAACAAAAAGGTGTCTGTTGAAAAGTGCCTATTTCTAAGTCTCTGTTAATAACGCAGCTTCTGAATGCCGTTACTGCATTTATTGGATATGTAAAAAATGTGATCTAACTAAAGCAACTAATTCGTAGATTATTATTTAGTTTGTCACAAACTACCTTTTTGAACAAGCAAACACATTAACAAGAATATAAATCACGTGTTTTATCAGTACTCTAAACAAATCAAACAGCACTCAAATGTGCTTTCGCACTCTGTCTGAAAAAATTGTGTTGTGCATCTTTCATATAGTGGTAGAAAACATGGTAGCTCAGTTTCGACATGCTGGTACATGTTTTTTTAGAAGTGCTGTAACACCTCTGGTGGGAGACTAAAACACGTTCATAGGACAACAAAATCTTTGAATTGGGCTGTAAAGCAATCAGAATCAACCACAAAAATTCACAAATGATGCACAGATACAGACTGTGTGTAGTACCTCCATGCAGACAACAGTCATGATAATATAGTCATAGTCTGTACAGCTCCAGCGCAGGACATAGGAGCCCTCTTCATTGCCCTCTTGCCGGAGTTTGTGAATTGCATACTCTGTGCTGTGGACAGAACACACAGGAGGCGAAAACTATTGAAAGACGCTCATGCTGACACTGCTGACACTGACAATGAATTAGAGACACACGCTGACACTGACGATGCATTAGAGACATTTACAGATATATTTATTGAAGCACTTACAGACAAGAAGAAGAGAGTGTTAGGAGAATAAGTTTTACTGTACCAGATGGGTCCGTGGCAGCCATTCTGCAGATTCTGGACTACAGAAGAGGGAGCTACCTCAGTGCAGAGGTAGTGATGGGCATCTACGGTCAATCTGAAATATCCATCCACCAGAGCAGCAAAGGCCAGAGCCTCTCCACGATATGCCAACTCCAGCTCCTGCACCAAAACAGACAGTTGGATGTTTTCCTTACAGACAATCATTTAATCAATTCACTATAAAATTACTGACAGCCGGTAAATAAAAAAAACATTTAGCATTTTTAAACACTACAACTAAAACACTAAAAGTCCTAAAAGACCACCATTAAAGTAGGCAGGGTGGACGTACCATGGTCTTGTTGTCTTGTCTGTAGATGGTGACACCGGACTCTTTTGTGACAATGTGGGTAATTTCATGAAAATCTGAAAAGAGTATCCATCCACTGCTGGCATCTTTCTTTTTGTCATTTTTCAGTTTGCTGTCTGTCTTGTTCTTCCGCGATTTACTTCTTTCTTTGATCGCCAGGACATTCTGCTCAGGAAGAAACAGAAAAAGAAAGGAATGCTAAAAGGACAAAAGTAAAGGCAAAATGATAGTGCACATCAGGCAAAAGAAAAATATAGAGCAATTAATCCTGAAAATAAAGCAAACACACAAGTAAAATTAAAATTTGATTAAATTAAAACTTATTACAGTATACAATATTACAGATCAGATCTGACTCATGTAACTGACTCTACTACCACCTGACTTGATCTAATTCAAGATACCTGTGTCCTGTAGGTGGGATTGCAGTTTTAATATAATTTGCTTTGTTGAACATAGCTGGCCATGTCCTCAGCAGGAGGCAAAAAGCAGATTCCTTCTCTCTCCCACTGCCATAGAACAAGCAAACTGGGCATCTACAATCACCAGTCACTTTATTAGGCACATCTACCTTGTATCTGCACTTACTCTACCATTTTATCAGGTCCACCTGCCTTATAGGTGCAAGTTGTAGTTCTACGATTACAGATTATAGTCCATCTGTTTCTCCACTTACTTTGACAGCCCACTTTACCTCATTCATCAAGTGTTACTGAACAGCTCAGTGTCACTACTAGACTGAGAAGAGTCCACCAACCAAAAATATCCAGTCAGCAGTGTGCTGTGGCCAGAAACTGACCACTGATGAAGGACTTCAGGATGACTAACACAAACTGTGCAGCAACAGACGAGCTTTCATCTCTATTTTTACATCTACACAACGGTAGGTAGGTATGTCTAATAGAGTGGATAGTAACTGGACACAGTGTTCCTTGCAACTCGAGGGGTGCTCCTGAGGGGTTTCTGACCATTGATGAACGAGATAAAAATAGGCTAACAGATGATGCAGGGAACAGATGGACTACAAACTGTGATTGTAAACTAGAAAGTGCACCTATAAGAAGTAAGTGGACCTGATAAAACAGATAATGAGTGTAGATACAAGGTAGATGTACCCAAAAAAGTGATCAGTGAATGTATATTATTAACACTTCACGCTTGTTAAAATTATCAATGACACTACAGCCAATTATGTTGGCAAGACTGTAATCACAGTACTGGAGGAAACATATGTGGATGTTCACCCACTCATAGTAGTACTGCTATACTACATCTCAAGAAACTAGCCATGACTAAACTGAAAAAGAATAGAGGAAAATAATCATGACAATAAAAACACACAGCATGAAAATAAAATACATACAATAGTATGTTGCATTAGTCTTATTAAAGCAACAGTTTGTCAAAAAATCTAATTTGCTATATTTCCCACATACCCCACTTGTAGTTAACCCGCTAAGACAGAGGTTTATATGACATACTGTTAACTAGAAAAATGATAACACTATGTCATATAAACTAACAGATTTATTTTTTTAAATAATTATGTCATTAAATCATGTCTACTATATCAGTGTTGCGTTTCAGCCCTCTATTAATCTGAAATGCTCATTCACCTGCTGAGGCTTCTTCCTCCAGGATATCCCAATTGTACCAGACACCCGCACCTCATGGATTACTCCCTCCTCTCCCATACTGGATGTGTGGGCTGGTGAGCCCTCCCCCTCCCCGGACACATGCAGGCTTCTGGTCTCCACCACCTCTCGGCCCAGACCCCACGTCAGAGTCTCCAGGGTGGAAAGGTATTTCACCTTCAGGTCGTACAGGGTAATGTTGCTGTCCTTGATGGTCTTGCTGTTGAACTCATTGAGGAAGTTCTTAAAAACATTGCTGATGCGCATGCGGGTCAGGAAGTTGCGCTGCTTGATGGTGCGGTTGAGGCTCTCAGGGATGAAGCGCTTGTAGCTGCGAGTGAATAAGAAGAACAGGATGAAGGGCACAAATAAGATAAAAAGGAAAACAGAAAAGAGGCAAGTGAGATGTCAATTCTGAATGGAACAATTTCAATTTAAACATTGATTGGATTGTAAAACTTTGAACGTAATTTTCAAGTACAGGTGTCAAAGGTGAGCACCAGAATTTTTTGAAGGGCAAAACAGGAAAAGAATGAAACATACAGACAGCTCAATATAAATTCACTTTTTGATTTATCATACTAATGTAAAACGTTTAAAATGTTTTGTATAAAGATCTTATTAAAACACATTAGTACTATACTTCAATATGATGCACCAGATTCACAAAACTATATGGTAACTGTACTACACCACACAATGTGTGGCATGGTAATGAAGGTAATACATATAAACTACCAATGCTCAGTGTGGATGCTGAAACGGACATACTATATCAAAGAAAATCTTAAAATCTCAGAATCAGAGCTATGAACTCCAAAAAAGGAAGCACTGTTCAGTAAAAATGTAACAATGGAAATATACGTTTGGTCAACAAATGCAATAGCAATTCTAAACTCTAAATTCTAAATATTTGGTAAAAAACCGCCACATTCAAAAATGTTGTAGAAAACTACATATATATGACTGCGCTAATCATTTGAATTCTGTATTTATGCACCATGTTATTAAACAGCATTGTGCTGCTCATGAAATAATATTTGACTGTTACATAGATTGGCCACCAAAGGCTACTGTTATCGAACTACACTGTTTGGCCAAATAATTGTTTATTATAATTATTTTAGCCCTGTGATGGACTGGGGACCTGTCCAGGGTGTTTCCTACTTTCCACCCAGTGAGCACTGGGATAGGCTCCAGACGCAGGAGGGCAAGCAGCTTAGATTATAAAAGAATGAATGAGTGATTATTTTAAGTGTTTATTTATTTAATAATTATATTTCTTAAGTGTTTAAATTATTCACAGAGCATTGGTGTAGCCTTCCCATGAGTTACGGCTTTAACAGTGTGCTCTTTCATTTGTATTGCTTACAGAATTTCTTTTTTTAATGTTCAATCTTAATCAAGTCACCTTCCTCATCAGGTACTCTAACAATTGCTGTTGCATTGTATATGTGTACGATTGTACATGCATAATTTGCTGCATAACTCTGCCCAAAAATGGAGTATAGCAACATCAGTAAGTTTAAGTATTTTGAAAAATTAAAATAGCGATATAGCAGACAGTAGTTGTTTACAAGTGCAGATGCACACCGAAAAAGAAGGTGGCAAACAGAGAAGAAAAGCTGTCACTAAAATCAACAACAACTCCACTGTGCACAAAGGACCTACTGACTGATATCACTGAAAGAACGGCAATCGTAACATCAAAAAAACATCCTTCCAAAACTATCAGGTCACATTACAATATGCTACAGAGCCTGCATTGTTCTCAGTTTTTTACAGAGAGATGACAAAAAAGTTTGAAACAATCTAAGTACAGTTGTATGCCAAAGTTTGGCCACCCCTGGTCAAATTACAAATTCTGCTGATTTTCAAAAAACATTAACATCACCTCTGCAAGAAAAAAAATTAAATATGCTATTTCTCTGCACCTTTTACTGCACATTCATCATTTATTTGCTGAATTTAACATATTGGAACAACAAAACATAAAATGGCATGGGCACCCTTTCAGCCAGTACTCCCTCTTTGGCTGATATCACAGACTCCAAGTGCTTCTTAAAGCCAGCTAACAGTCTTCACATTCTTGATTTTTTATTTTTTAGGATTTCATTTTTCCTTGGCTGTCTTGTGTGCACACCATGTTTGAGATCCACCAACAGATTTCCAAGCCTGGGGACAGTGAAGGCCAAGTAGTTCAAAGGTAGATTTTCATGTATGTTTTGGATCATTGTCTTCTTGTAATAGCCAAAGTATTTTCTTCTGCAGATTCTTCCCTGACTGTGGGAAACCAAGATTTGGTAATATTTAGTGGAATCCGTTTTTTCATTCTTCCATCAATCCTTTCTCACGACATTTCCTGTTGAAGTCTTTGTTTCATCAGATCACAGCACTTGATTTCAAAATGCATCTAGTTTATCTAAGTGTTCTGTTGCATAATTCAGACATTGACTTTTGTGATGAAATCATGGGTTAAGATAATATTTTATGCATCACTATTCCCATGCCAGCCAAATTTTCCTGTCAGTCCCTGGTAGTGACGTGGGGGTTTTGCTTTGCATACCAGGTCAGCCTAAAAGCACTTTTCTTGGTCTTCCAGATTGTGTTTTGACCTCAGCAGTTCTTCTTAACTTACATTTCTTAATGACATTTAAGGGAGTGATCATTACAAGCAGAAAATATTTAGGTATCTTTCATAGTCTTGCAATGTAACTGTCAATTATCTTTAGTTTCAGATCCTCAGTCAACTGCTTAGATACCCATGGCTGTTGAGTGTTACCATGACACCGTGAGAGGTTTACACTCTGAAACTGTCTACACCTTGGATTAGCATCTAATGTTCTGAGACTTTAAACATTTTAATGTTAGTGGACCAACGGGCCAAACATACGCATGGTATTTGTGAATTAAAATTGTAGAAATGCGTCATATTTAGGTTTGCTCTATGCAGGTGTTAACTTCTTTTTACTTAAAAAAACAGGAAAACATAATTTGTAAGAGTGTCCAAAACTTTCACACACAACTCAACACTTCCTCACCACTGAAGCAAAGTAAGACAGTATTTTGTAAGATAATAAGATAGTATATAGTGATTTAGGAATGCATTACATAACCTAGAATTGACTCATTCCTCTTTCTTTATTGTGTCTTTAAATAGAACAACAGTACAGTGACTTCAGAAAAGAGCAGTGCATCTCTATTCAGAAAAGACAATGACCCAAACACAAAGCCAAAGCAATCAAAAGTTCATCAAAGTCTGTCTGTCTTCTGATTCATATCCAAACAAACATGTATCTCGACAGCACAAAGGGAAGTGAAAATGAAAGGAACTATGAACCTCTCATCGTAAGTAAGAACTGGAAATGGCAGGAACAGAAAGACTTGGCAAATATTATCAGGCAAGACATTGATATTAGAAGTCATTCACAACTCATTCAACAAAATATAGAAGTATGAGTTTACTAGCATTCTAAAATCATACACTCTTAAAAATAAAGGTTCCTAAACATCTCTACTGTACTGTCCTTCTGTAATGAACCTTTCATTGGTGTAGAACCTTTGCACTTTGTGGAGGATTCTTTAGAAATTAAAAAGGTTCATGGCACTCATGCATCTTAATACCCAAAACTGAAAGGTTCTTTCAAAAGCCAAAGGTGTTTTATTATGGCAGTGGTTCTCAAACTGGTCGTACCTAAGGCACCCAAGGTGGTATACTAGATGACTCTGGAAAATGAGCACTTAAAAAAGTAACAAGTGAAATCTATAAAAAGTTATTATCTGTAATTTACAAAACTCATTTCAGAAGCCTGATAAAGGTGTCATTTCTGTGTTTAGTGCTTGATAAATAAAATCTTAATAATAAAATATACATTTTCATATGCCCTTGGTAAAGGCCAATCAAATTTGACATGTTAATGAGGTAACACATATTAATGACCAATAGTCAATGTGTGGGTGCCAAAAGGGACATGCTACATCAAAGAAATGTCAATATCAGACACAGAAAAACTAGTATGACTACTGTTTGGCAAAAATGCAACAAAGAAAATTTTTGGTAAACAATTGCATAAACAATTCTTAAACATATCTTAAAAAATGATTAAAGATAAGGCACCACTATGTGAGATTTTTGTTAAAATAAAAAGAAGTAACAGCTCAGGAGACATGCTACAATGTGGTGTCTGTGCATCACATGTCTTTGCATATTGATGCCACAGACACAGGCTCAAAAAGGTCCGGGGTCGATGTTTATGTCTCAAATGCAAAACCAACATACTGATGAAGATATAATGATAATAGTAGATAATTCACCTTCGGAATTCACTTCGGAAGACACCGCATTCACCATGTTTTGACTAAGTTCTCTTTCAATACTCTTTCAATGTGTTCGCAATCATCAAATTCACCCACAAAGTTCAATCGACATTACCACACATCACATTTTGTCATGATTTCTGAGTGAACTGCACCTTACCTAAATACTCATGCTGAATTTTGTAACCATTCTCTACCGTGTCAAGCCAGAACTTATGAGCGGAGCTAGTAATGGTGCAAACCACTGATCTGTTTGAAATGCAGTTGTCACAGAATCATCAATCTATCACTACAACCAGATGACCGTTTTTAAAACTGCATTCATGGTCCTGTTTACGACTGCAAACAGACACAGGTACTTGACCAGGGTATGGACAGTTCTCGGTTTGGATTTATGATTGCACCATGCTGTACTGCTATACTGCCCATTGGAAATACGCTATTAGTAAGCCTACTATTTTTGCCCAAACCAAAAAAAAAATGAACACCTCACTAAGAATGAGTATTATTTCATGGGTGAAGGAAATGGATGCCAGGAGAAACAATGCCAGTTCTGATAAATCAGAGATACCTGGTTAGTAAGACATGGATGATACATGGGCCGCCCATGCAACGGCTGATGCTAATTCTGACACAGGCAGCAACGTTAGCGTAGGAAACATCGAAATGCGGCTACAAGATGGTACAAAGCAAGTTATCTTATTTCAAAGTTTACCTATACTGGGACGAGCTGTGGCATGAATCCAGCACATCTGAGGTGGCACTTAAACATGCACATCTGAAGAATAAACCTTTAGATTTTTTTTCAAAAGAAACTAACGTGCTAGCTTGCGGACTGCAAAAGCAGGTAAGCCCCACAGAATTAGTCAAGAGTTTCGTTTAATCCTGGTCCACGACACGGATTACCAACGATATTACAAAAAACAGTTGAGATAGTATGCGAAATGTTAATAAAAAACAGAAAACCATGATTAATAAATTCTGTTTGATTTGTGTTAAATTGAAAATGGTACAAAACCACAATATTTTATAATTTACCTTATGAACTTCATTGTTTTTTTTTTGTAAATATATGGTTATTCTAAATACAATGCCTGCAAAACATTCCAAAAAAGCTGTGAGAGGAGCATGTTTACCACTGTGTTACATCACCTTTCTTTTTAACAACACTGAATAAACGCTTGGGGACTGTAGAAACAAATTGATCCAGTTTTGAAAGTGGATTTTTTACAAGTTTTTAGCTTTGCAACCATACACAGCCTGTGTTGTCATGTTTTGAGCTTAATAAGACACAGGTTTTTAATGAGATGCAGATAGGACAGTCTACCACCTGCACTCTGATTACGCAGCCATGCTGTTGTAATGTGCAGAATGTGGCTTGGCGCTGTCATGTTGAAATAAGCATGGGTGTCTTAGACAAACACAATGTCTAAAAGGCAGCAAATGTTGCTCCCTTTTTGTTGTTGTGTTCAGCGTTAATGGTGCTTCCACACGTGCAGGTTAGCCATTAATAACATAACAGACAGGTTTTGGAACTTCATGCTGGTATCAATCTGGACGGTTCTTTATTTCTTCAGTCCAGGGAGCATGACGTCCATTATTTCCACTAACAATCTGAAAGGTTGACTTGTCAGACCCAAAACCAGTTTCCACTGTGCATCAGTCCATTTCAGATGGCCAGCCAAAGCCAAGCCCAGAGAAGTTGGCAGCATTTCTGGACGTTGTTGACATATGACTTCCACTGAGCATAGTGCAGTCTTAACTTGCATTTGTGGATGCGGCAATGGACATTTTTTGTTGGCAATGGTTTGTCATTATGCACTGATGATATTATGCACTGTAGAGAGTGAAATACCTAAACTCCTTGCAATCCCTGGCTGAGGAATATCATTTTTAAGCTGTTGGATTTTTGGCATTTTTGGCAAAGTGGTGAGCCTTGACCCACCCTTGCATATAAAGGATTCTGCCTTTCCTGGATGCTCCTTTTATACCCAAACATGACTGCATCACCTGTTTAAGATGTTTTTGAACATTTCAATGTTCCTAGTCTTAAATCGCCCCTGTCCAAACTTTTTTGGAGCGTATTGCAAGCATCAATTTCAGAATGCATATATATTTACAAAAAACAGTGATGCTGATATGATAAAACATTACATATCTTGTCTTTGAACTGTTCTGGCCCAGTACATTATTTATTTGCATCTTACTTACTTACTGTGCCAATTTTTCTGTAATTGGGTATGTGTGGAGAAAATGCTGCTAAATTGCTCGATCTTGTGCCTCTTCCCAATAGATACAGTACTCGCAAAATGATGTCAAAAGCAAAGTGACAGAACAAATTAAAATAAGTATATGCTTTTCACCAGTCAGATGTGTCCGCATATTAAGGCTTTATAAGTATGTGTGGAATGTGCTCCTCTGAGATGATTTACAGGTGGCACTTACAGATGGCAGAATACCACTTTTTCCTTTATGATACCAATACCAATATTGAAATCTTGAGTGTCAGCCGATACTGTTCCAATATTTTTATTTATAAACTACTAAGCTTTAGTTTTAACTACTTTTTAATTTATGCACTTCACTAAAGGTGAACATCTAAAAGTACAATATCATGCTCAAACAACACACAATGTGAGTGAGTGCTATTACAGGCTAGATTTCTTAAAGGATTGCATTGCATCTTTTTTCCTCCAGTATCTGATCCAGCATTTTCTGCTGATATTGGCGCAATACTGATACCCATCTATACCAATATGCCATCTCTATTTTAATCTCTACTGTCTGAGTAGGTTGCATGAGAGCTCACCTGGTCTCAGCACTGGCTCCAGAAAGGGGCAGGTTGTTGCTCTTGGCGTGGTGAGTGATGGCCAAGACAGCCATTCCCAGACACTCATTCTCTATCTCATGCAGCTCTGCCTCACTTTGGGGACTACGCACTGGTGCCAGCCCCCTCAGGAAGTCATACTGGCCCTACAGCACACAAACACAAAAGTCTATTCAGTCTTACTGGTAGGTATTTATACTTAATAATGTTTCCACTTTAACCTATGTTTAAAGGAATACAGTGGTGTGAGTGTGTTTGTGTTTGCCCCGATTTCTTATTCTTTTGCATGTTTGTCACACTTCAATGTTTCAGATCACCAAACAAATTTAAATATTAGACAAAGATAACACAAGTAAACACAAAATGCAGTTTATAAATGAAGATCTTCATTATTAAGGAAAAAAAAAATCCAAACCTACAGGGCCCTGTGTGAAAAAGTGATTGCCCCCTAAGCCTAATAACTGGTTGGGCCACCCTTAGCAGCAACAACTGCAATCAAGCATTTGCGGTATCTGGCAATGAGCCTTTTACAGCACTGTGGAGGAATTTTGGCCCACTCATCTTTGCAGAATTGTTGTAATTCAGCCACACTGAAGGGGTTCCCAAGCATAAACCGCCTTTTTAAGGTCGTGCCACAGCATCTCAATCGGATTCAGGTCAGGACTTTGACTAGGCCACTCCAAAGTCTTAATTTTGTTTTTCTTAAGCCATTCAGAGGTGGACTTGCTGGTGTGTTTTGGATCATTATCCTGCTGCAGAACCCAAGTGCGTTTCAGCTTGAGGTCACGAACAGATGGCCGGACATTCTCCTTCAGGATTTTTTGGCAGACAGCAGAATTCATGGTTCCATTTACCACAGCAAGTCCTCCAGGTCCTGAAGCAGCAACAGCCCCAGACCATCACACTACCACCACCATATTTTACTGTTGGTATGATGTTCCTTTTCTGAAATGCTTACTTCTACGCCAGATGTAATGGGACATACACCTTCCAAAAAGTTAAACTTTTGTCTCGTCAGTCCACAGAGTATTCTCCCAAAAGTCTTGGGGATCATCAAGATGTTTTCTGGCAAAACTGAGACGAGCCTTTATGTTCTTTTTGCTCAGCAGTGGTTTTCTTCTTGGAACTCTGCCATGCAGGCCATTTTTGCCCAGTGTCTTTCTTATGGTGGAGTCATGAACACTGACCTTAACTGAGACAAGTGAGGCCTGCAGTTCTTTGGATGTTGTTGTGGGGTCTTTTGTGACCTCTTGGATGAGTCGTCGCTGCGCTTTTGGGGTAATTTTGGTCGGCCAGCCACTCCTGGGAAGGTTCACCACTGTTCCATGTTTTCGCCATTTGTGGATAATGGCTCTCACTGTGGTTCGCTGGAGTCCCAAAGCTTTAGAAATGGCTTTATAACCTTTTCCAGACTGATAGATCTCAAGTACTTTGTTTCTTATTTGTTCCTGAATTTCTTTGGATCGCAGCATGATGTCTAGTTTTTATTGATGTCTAGATCTTTTGGTCTACTTAACTTTGTCAGGCAGGTCCTATTTAAGTGATTACTTGATTGAGAACAGGTGTGGCAGTAATCAGGCCTGGGTGTGCCTAGGGAAATTGAACTGAGCTTTCCAAAGATGTGATGAACCACAGTTAATTTATGTTTTAAAGGGGGGGGGGGCAATCACTTTTTCACACGGGCCCTGTAGGTTTGGATTTCTTTTTCCCTTAATAATAAAGATCTTCATTTATAAACTGCGTTTTGTGTTTACTTGTGTACACAATGTTCCCAGTACTCCAGATTTAATCAGCCAGCCAAAAGATGCATGGTGTCTGAAGTTTGCTCCTTTAGTTTTGTACTGAAGCTAAAAAGCTAATGTAGCTAACATATGACAGAAGCTTCATACACTTGCCTCAAACTGCCTCAAACATCTAAAAATAAACAAAAGTGCACTGCATAGCTAAAAAGAGTAGAAGCAGACATGTTAAAGCCTGAAGTTTATCTGTCCATTGTCCTTTCATGGAACAGTGCTAACTGGTGGAAACCAAGTAAACATTAAACACCAAACATGTCTTGGTTTAATCAATTACATAGAAGTAATGGGGAACCTGTGGACATTTTATTATTTTTTTTTTACCAAACTATTCTTTTAAACACAGATAATTCACAATTAAACACAAATCACACATAGTGAAATAAGAGATACGGTATGATGCAAAAGTTAGAGACCAACTTTATTTATCTTCCAGTCCAAATGGCCAATAAGTACAAGCAATTCAACTTTCAGGGGATATTTCTGGAGAGGTGGTACATAAGGCAATCCACTATCATAAGGAAGGGGAAAGTCAAAGCAAATTAAGGAAAAAAGAGGAGTTAAAAAATTACATGAAAAAAAGTTATATATTATAAAACTAAGGAAAATGGGACTTCAAAAACTGTGCAAGACCTGGCAGACCACCAAAACTGTCACCATCAGATAAACAGCACTTAAAGCTTTCATTTCTGGGAGAAAATCAAGCTTCACTTTTGCTTTAGATCTGAAAACCCCACAGGTGTTTCTGTTCATCCTTCCACTGTGAGAAGACAACTCAACACTATGAGTCTTTAAGGATGTGTAGCCGTCAAGAAGTTGTTACTGAGAAAAGGAAAAAGGCAATTTGCACCAGAACGCTAAAACTGGACATCTGAAATGCGGATTAAGATTTTATGGACTGATGAGTCTAAATTCGTAATTGAGATTTCTTGTATTGTGAGAAGCAGAAAATGCAACTAACTTATAAAACTGAACTTTGGAGATGCGGAAAAATATCCCTGCTGATTTCTTTGAAAAGCTGAGAGCAAATCTCCTGAAAAGAGTGCAAGCTGTACCAAAAGCAAAGAGTGGACATACTGAACACTAAAAATTTTGATGTTACATTTAGCCGTCTCTGCTTCTGTGTAATTTCCTGTTAAAACATTTATGTTTTCTGCCTTTTTTTTCTGACACCGAAAAAATAATAACTTGGGTCATTTTGAGTAGAAATTAAATAAAAGAAGGATGGTTTCTGAATTTTGCACAGCATTGTACATAAAATAAACAAATATATGCTAGATAACCCAACTACTGATATGGAAACAAGCAGATGACAGGTGATTTGAATAACCACCCGGCCACAATTCTTTCATTGGCTCTATATAAGATATCAAAGTCTCGTTTACATTAACGCTTTCTTCTACTCCCAGACAGGTGACTCTGTGGGTTTTTCCCATGCACCCACCTGGGCAAACAGGTAGTCGAGTGAGGCAGCGTCCAGCAGGGGCGTCCCGTCGGGGCCTTTCAGAGGGCTTAAACCCCCCTTCTGTTTGCTCAAAGAATGCCGCCACACTGGAGACTCACTTTCAGACGTGCCATGCCAGTTTGTGAAATAGAACCTGTGGGAAGAAGGAGCTTTAGTAGTAGGCTTTGGTAGGCTTTAGTAGTGCATGTGTGCACTTGTATGCAAAAAAGAAGTAAATAGAGAGAAAAGTAAGCTCAGTATAGTTGCACATATAACGTCAGCACGTACTACTCAAAACCATGACAGAAATAGAAACATATTATGACGAGAGGTGACATGAGTTACGTATTCACAAACCCTGTGGTAAAAATAAAAACTAATACTAACAAACAACTGCTTTAAACACATATGTTTGTACAGTGGATTTGGCTGCCGTACGTAAACAGTGGGACTTCTTTTGTATTGTATGTAAATAATCAGGGTGCGTGCAGCAGAGAGGTGCCACATGAGCAGAGAATCATCGTAAACAGGAAGTAAAACAGGTAAAAAAAAAAGAGCTGTGTAGTGTGTACCACAGCGGAAGAGAGTGAGTGCAAAGGTTGACCATAACCTGTTTGTGTGCACAACAGGTATACTACATGGTTCCAAACCCAATACTAATTCTGAATTCTCCAGCTGACTCTTATCTAAGTTTCAGTAGTAAAAGGGGAACTTAAGGGGAGGATTTGAAGTGTTTCTGCTTGCATGCAATGCTTTTACTTTCTTCATGCTGCAGGAGGTTTCTCTTGTAATATCTATAATCTCAGTGAGCATGATAATCTGCCTTGAACAGTTCTCCTTTTAGTTTCCAGCAAATATTTTTTAGGGAACATGAGCAGTTCTTCTTTGGTCCAAGAAGAAAAATAAAATAATTGAGTGCAGGCAAAGTCTTTGTTCTGCACACAATGGGAAAGCTCTGATGAAAAGGCAGGAAGGCAGTGGGCAGAAAACATGTCAGATAAATTCATGTCCCAAAGTAGAATTTCCACTAGAAGCCTGCAAACAAATATCAACAAATACCTACTTATATAAACTGTATGAATACACCAGTACTAAGCATTTGGCTTTCCTTTTGTATAAAAAGCAGCTTCCGTTTATCTTGAAGTGCATTTATACATGCTTTATTTACATTTTCAAAAGGAAACCTGGGACAATATTCAAATAAAAAAAGACTCACTCTAAACAGCTGGCAACAGGCCATAAAGGTCAAAGCTTCATTTAATTTTCTCAAAAGAGAATTACTAACCAAATGTTATCTTTCTCCACTGCTCTTAGGTCACAGTTACACAGGTTGTTTTTGAATATTACCTCTGAATATAAATGACTCCCAAATAACAGCTCCTATGATGAAAGGAAAGCTGCTATTGCCTTTTTTGGTATTTTTATTTCTTTCGATGAAGCAGGAGACATAATCAAAGCTGCAATGTACTTAAGAAAAGGGGTCTTTTTTCTCCTACTTACATGAGAATATTAACTGTGTATATGAAGTGTGCATTGAAGAATGATATTAAGTGTACATTAAAATGCAGAATGACTTGTTTGTAATCTAACCTACTTATGTTCCGATTAAAAAGCTATTTGTAAGTCATTATAGGGAATAACATATTAATATATTTAAAAGATAAAAATTGGTGCTCATACATTTAATCTAAAGTCATTTTTCTGCTCACACATCTCACAAAGAGGTGCATTAAGCGCAAAAAGGTCCCACAATAGTACACCTTCTTTTACAGCTACACCCACTCAAGCCAGATGCATTTCACTCAGCAGAACTAAAATGGAGATGATGAGTTTTTGCATGAAGAGAGCAGAGGTAACAGTAAGCAAACATTTCATGACCATGTTTACATTCTTTTACTGAAAAGGGTACTGGCTCTCATTGCTGTGCACTGTGTTGCAAAAGGCTCTCAGGCATGTTTGCTCCCGTTTGATCGGCACTTCAGTTATGTCACAAGCAGTAGGTATCCTTTATGCTCTGTAGCCATTATGACTAGGAACACTTAGAACCCATACTGTGTAATTTCTGCAGGAATGGAAGATCTTAACATTTTACGCATGAGGTTTCTATTCATGTGGTTCCTTTAAATGCTTATCATTGAAATTATTAACAAACTAAATAAAGCCCTATTCAAACTAGATTAGCTTTACTTGAGGCCGTGCTGTATTTTAAGTCACTGAAGTGATTTTAATCCAGTATAAATCTGTAACATCTGTAGTTATCAGTGACCCTCTATAATATGCTAAACCTAGAACTCACTCAGTATTAGCAGTCCTGCTCTCTAATTATAGCAAAATCTGCTGACAGACGCGTCCATGCAGTGCGTTGTTACTGTCGTTGAGTGTCATTATGGCTGATGTATAGATCAATCAGGTAAAGCTAGTCCAGCTTGAATAGTTCAAGACAAAATCCATCAATGACTACTTACAAAGCAGACAATGTCATCTTAAAATTAAAAGAGTGCTTGTAACATTTCCCATTAAGGCTATAAAGCCTAACAACTCATCGGCTATACACTCAGAGACTTAAAATAACGAAATAACAAAACAAAATAAATGCAATGGAAGCTTTGAGACATCACATTATTAATACCATAGAGCACATTAAATTGCAGAAACAGCAGTTTTTTACCTTAAAGGGTAAGCACTTCAGTACCACAAATATCAGCTCTAGTGGAAATGTGTTACATTATAAAATGCCTGAGAACATTCCTCTGAGGTTAGCTGGTTTCAAGTGGTAATGTGGGCAAACTGTAAATACAATAATAATACACACATACAGGAAAGTCTGGTCTGGGGGCCACAAGGCAAAAAGAACTTGCTAAAGAACTTGAGTGAACATGTATGGTGATGAGACTGAGAAGCTAAGGCAGAAAGGAGAGACAGTACTATGTATAACTTGCAGTGTTATGAGGAGAAGTCTAAATGCTTCTACATGTCAAAGATAAGGAAGGTGAAAGCTACAGGCTAAGCCAAAACCTAATAATTCTTCCTTCCTCATAATCATATAGAACTGATCCAAAGCTCATAAGCTCTTACAGTCATAAAAACTGCAATGATCATAAACCATCTTGGAATGCCAACATGAATATATTTTCCAGCAAAGACATTTGTCTGAGAAGGGTAAAATCTGTTGGTTTGTTAAGTTTTTGTTATTAACTATGTAGTTTCTTACCTCATGCGGTAGTGAAGCTTAATACTGGTGTCTTCAGTGATGTTGAAAACATGATTTGGTGCATACCAGAGGTTCTGACTCTCTTCATACAGAGCAAACAAATTGTGGCACAGGGGTGAAATGCCTGAAAAAGTGACATACATGACAATGAGGAAGAGATACCAATTTCCCTAATTTATATACACATGGGCATCTCTAATGTAATAAAGAAGCTCCAACAAAATACCACAGTCAAAATTTACATTGTGTTAACATAGCATTATAGAAAAAATCCAAGATTTAAAGGCATGGTGTTTTTATTAAACTCTTAAATTAAGCGGTCCCTGTCATGATGAACATGCTAGTTTATGTTGTTCAGCAACAATCTACAGCTGGACGTGAAGTCAGAGGTCATGAGGAAGAACAGATTGTGGGGTATTATCAAATTATCAGTAAACTGTACTGTTCATTTAAAAACATGACAGTTAGGACAAAATAAATACTGATTTATCTGAACGTTGCTTCAATTTCTCCTCTATAATTCAACATAATCCAACTTGCCATTTACACCCTTTTATTAATGGCAAGTTGAATTATGTTGAACTATAGATTTTGTTTATATTAACAGGATCAAAACACAAAAACAAGGCCAAAACTCTCTAAATAACTAGAGAATAACCCAAAGAACCCAGTGGTATTTTGCCTATAAAAATCAACATTTAATTTGTCTGTGTCAGGTGTATGGTATACTGAGATAAATGTTCATGCAACATCCGCATATTAACAACAGTAAGGGCCCCATTTATAATACATGAGTGCAGTGATGACTGCTGGATGAGTAAAGACTTCAGAGTGCTCACATGAGATCTCTCTCTAATGACCTTTTGCTAATTTAGTACTGTATTCTCTAGAGAGTATGGCTGTATCTAATAAGAAGTGGCAGACGGCCTCCCATCCATCGAAAGCATTTTTCTGAATTCTAGTCTTGCATAAACTTCCCTTTCCTCTCTCACTGCCCAGGCAAACTCGTGGTCTTGGCCACAACACAGCTCAGAGGAAACTCTGGGCCTGACTTCACAACACGGCAGCCATTTTGTGTCTAAGAATTGATTGGGAGCCAAAAGCACAAACATTCCTTTGCAGTTGGAGACTAAGGGATGGGGGAAGGGAAAGGGAGGGTTGGGCACTGTGCAGTTTTACATGCCAAACAGCAAACAGGAACAATAATATACTTTAACCTCTTTTCCACTCTCTACTTTGTATGCAATTATTTTGTTCTCACATAACTAGTATGACTACAGTTCATTGTATGGTTTCTAGATCGCAATTTGCATTGTGCCATTTCCCTATGCAAAACTGCTTCTGCTCTAAGACAGTGTAGCCTGTTGTCCTGTTAGACAAACACTCAATAAAAGACAAGGCTAAGTCAGTGCAGAAAAAAAGTACTCGTAATGAAAATAGATCTCTGGCAAGCGAGATTTAACCATATAAACAGTGCCTAAACAGCAGGCCTGTTAATGTCTAAAGAGCAGAGATAATTAGTTCTCCCTTACTCGTTTGAGAGTATGATGCAAGGTACTAATAAGCTCTAACACCCTACTTGGCTGAGCCGTGTTCAAAGTCACTGTAAAATACTCCATATATGCACACTTATGACTGCCTCACAACAACTGAGTTCTGTATTAATGTGCAAAGTCACTAAAACCATTGTGCAGTGAAACGACTGTTGTGTTGCTGACATGAACCACCAGTTCTGTTTAAACTGAAGGACTGACAACGTATTTTAACAACTATGCTAAAATGCAGCTAGCAAGCTAAACTGCTCCTCCAAGATTCTATATTAAATATAATACACAACATAAATAGCATTAGTAAACCCAAGTGTTTACTGACTGACTTACTGTAAAACTGCAAAATTAAAAGTAAAAAATATGTTACTTGAATGTTACTTGAACATATAAAATGCCTGTGTTTCTGGTCATTTGCCTTAAGTAGTACTAAACCCAATGTGGTAAAACGACTGTGTGGCACCGATAGCTTGATGCTAACACAACACACAAAATCACTTTAAGGCACAAGTGCAAATAAGCATCTTTGCTGTGGTAACGAGCAAAAACTACTTAGAAAGTGAAGCTGTCTGCATTTAAACTGCTATATTATGATATTTTCCTTATTAGATGCCAGAAAATTTAAAAAGATCATGAAGTGACTGCAGTATACAATGATGACCAACTGGAAGTTCTTGTCTTCTTTTAGCAGGCCAGCTGCTGGCAACCACAGTATACTCTAAACTAACTACATTTCTTAGTGGAAAACTTGTTTATTGTGATTATTATTAATTGCAACTTAAATATTTTATTGAAAATGTGTGTATTTTATCATATTTTATAGCAATAAGCATTTGAGGCTGAGTATTACTCTGCTTCACATGCCCAAGAACACCCCTTACATGTGGGTGAGGGCCTATTGTGGCTTAATGTTTTAAAGCGCCCATACCCTACATTGTTCTTGTATTTTATTTTCCCTGCAGAGATTCACTCATCGCGTTTTAGGTACCAAAATCAGTTATAATTTATTTTTACATGATCATTTTATGACCTCTCTTTATTGATTAGAATTAAACATGCTTTTTTTGTTACTGTGCCTTTAAGACTGATATATGTAAATGAGCTCTGTTCTGAATGGCTGTCCTATATCGTGCCTCATTTGAAAAGCAGACCCAGTTCTTATAACTTCAGTGTGAATGGTCGGGAGTAAACTGGAGCAGGCTGAAGAGGTGGATACATGTTAAAAAATTTGGGTTCTCTGTGACAGCACAAAAGCAAAACACTCAAACCAGGCATACTACACAAACTTCTAAAAAAAATTACATTTAGCAAAAATCAAATATATGTGCACTTAATAGTTCTGAAACAAACGGAGCAGTCCTGCAGAGGCCACATCAGAACAGTGGCACCAATGGTATTAGCATAACTCTGCTTTCGAGCCAGTGTAGGAAAAACTCGCTATAGGATTCTACATAAATAATGCCTGTAAACCCAAGACATACTGCTCTTTGAATATTTTTACCTATCCTCTCACTAATTTTGGTAATGTTTTTGTTTGCAAAGTTACCTGAACAAAATCAGGCACAGTAACATCTACATTTTTCTATCAAAAGATCATGACCATTTTTCCTAGAAGAAACATTCTAATATAAACCCTCCTGAAGTTGCTAATGTTAATACTAAGTTTGATACTAAACTCGGTTATGCGGCACTTTCATCTACTGCTTAGATTTTCAGACTTTCTTGTGGGATAGTACACCGTGCAGCCTTTAGCATTATTATACATCCCTATTTTCCTAAACTCAAAAGTTTCTAAAACCAGCCAGTGGCCTGAAATATTTAAACGGAGAGGCGTAAAAAAAACACAAATAAAGAACTTCACTAAAAAAGCTTCCGCAAATCAAACAATTCTACAGGTACAAACAGAATCAATCTGCTCCACGATTTTGGCTGCAGCTGGAAAAACACTCACTCTACCAAGAAATTAGATTTAAAGTTATTTGAAAGTTAAGTCCTTTTCTTTCATTCTTTCAAGCTTGGCACAAAATCAGTGAAGCCATTCAGCACAATTACAGAGGAAATGGGTGTCTAAAATGAAAGAACGTAGCACATATATCAGACAAACCCACTGCACTCAGAGAAAGCTATATTGTGACAGACGATCACTGATTCAGAGCATTGAATAAACACCTGCCAGTTACGTAATGCAAGTTCAAAATATCAAAATATCATCAGGCTACAGTTTGAAAAGAGTAGAATATGGGTCATTTCATATCATTATTTATCTATATTAAAAGATTAAGAGGTAGATTTGCTAACGTTTTGTGATGATTCAAACCCTACTTTGGTGTTAAAAAGTGGCTGCAGCGATTTACTAAAATATGTGCAAAGGCCCTTTAGCATCCACAATAAGTTTTAAGAGATCACTACATATCATCACTGTCCAAAAAAACAAGTATCTCAATTTTTTTAACGTTTATTTTTCTTCATAATTTGAGCACAGCAGGTACCCTTAACATTGTGTGAACATTTCATGATGAATAGATCAATAGTATTGCTGCAAAACTGCTTAGAATAACATCTCTTTACATTCACTTATCTCAGAACATTTTGCCTTCTCCTGTAAAGCTGCCATTTTGAAGATGCAATGATATGCATTTACGTGATGATATGAATTTAAAGTTTCCCTTTCAAAGCACAAAACACTGTGATGGTAATGAACCACCTATTCTGATTTACCAAGGCTGACAGTAAATAGTGACTGTGTGCTGGTTAACGCATGTCTTAGCTTGTCTTACTTTTGGCACTAACATAGCTGCCACTGTTTGTCCTCAGGGAGAAAAGAGAGAGTCTTTTATTTGTTTTGGATAAAAAAAAAAATATTTGTGAAGGCCTGCCGTGTCACATTATCATGTCACATTTTTTAAACTGCTATTCCTTAATACTTTGGGTATATTTAACAACATTTATCACAGTGTCTTAAAAGTATGTTCTGCCTAAATAATGGTGCGACAGGTTTCTTTTCCAAATTATTGATAAAAGCATGTACTGAAACCTTTGGCTGTGCAATCGCTGCATTACTAAAGCTACTGGTTACGTTCTTACTTCGTGAACATTGTGGCTTCTGTTGCAGAATTGTTGCAGTCTTTGATGCACTACATGTAGCTAAGAGGTTACCATGGTCACCAGTTCAGAATCATACATTTCCCGAACAATGATATGCTCAGTGAAATTAAACAGAGATTTTATAGTATTGCACCAAACACACTCAGCATGGAACTCAAGTTCAGTTTATCCCTCCAGTTGAAAATAAACATGTTTTGAAACAGAAAGCCAAATTAATTTCTCACTTTTCTGATATATTACATCAAAATAATGTCTTGTTTTCTCAAAATAATGACTTCTTATGTCAAAATAATTGCATACTTTCTCAAAGAACAATAACTTGTTTTTAGGACTTATTTACCAAACTCAAGGATTAAGTCATTATTTTGAACTAATGGGTTACAACTGGAATCCGAAAAAATGAAAAAAACCTGCTACAAGCTTTCACACAAAAAGCACATGAGCCAAACAGGGGTTTATATTGTGCAGTTTATATGTTAATAATGAAGTTGTGCCTGTGTTCATTTGCATGGAAGTTTTTTGTAGATAACCTGCTAAGCCCGCCAACTGCACCAGCAGAGTAGACTGTGAATAATTAAAGCCTATTTTATTAAATCTGCCTCTAAAAGTGGTCGTAGGTGCTGTCTGAAATGTTTGTATGGATGTGAAAGAAGTTATTTCATTACCATTATTTTGATTTGAGCTAACTGTCTTTAAAACTGTTGAATGTTCCTGGGTCAGAAAATGCATGCTTGGTTTTGGGGACTAAAAAACACCATTGCTCTTATCCATCTAAGTTGCATAAAATCAATTCTGATTGTAAAATGAGCACACCCAAATTCCACCAACAGCTTTCTGAGTCAAATGCAAATGCCTTACCAAAACTATTATCAACATTATCTGTAATACCAACAATAAGAATAAGAATAGAAAATAACAATTACACTTATAATTTTTGCACAGAGCAATCCAGTAAAATTTGGATGTAAATGGCTGTAATTTATATGTACATTGATATAAACAAATATACCACATTCCATTTAAAGACACACTATATGTCCAAAAGTATGTTTCAGTGACACCCTTTGCTAGCAAGTGTATAAAATCAAGCATGTAGCCATGTAATCTCCACCAATACTGATAGCAGAATGAGTTGAACTGTAGAGTTCAGTGACTTTAAATGTGGCATTTTCAAAGGATGCCACCTTTGTCACAAGCCAGTTAGTGAAATTTCTTCCCTGCTAGACTGCCCTGGTCAACTGTAAGTGCTGTTATCGTGAAATGGCAGACACTGAGTGGGGCTACCAAGTGCTGAAGCATGTAGCATGTAAAAGCTGCCTGTCCTCTGTTCACGCACTACAGAGTTACAAACTCCAGGAGCAATATCAGCACAAGAACTGTGCATTGGGAGCCTCATGAAATGGGTTTCCATGGCAAGCAGCTGCACATAAGCCTAAGATCACTACGCTCAACGACAAGCATCATCCGGGTTGGTGTAAAGCACTCTGCTACTGGACTACGGAGCAGTGGAAACGTGTCCTCTGAGGTGATGAGTCATGCTTCACTATCGGGCAGTCTGGTGGACAAATATAGGTTTGGCAGATGCCAGGACAACATTACTTACCGGAATGTATAAAGTTTGGTGGAGAAGAGATAAGAGTCCGGGGCTGTTTTTCAGGTTTTGGGATGGGCCCATTAGTTTCAGTGAAGGGTAATGTTAATGTTACAGCATACAATGACATTTTAGACAATTATACGCATCGAACTTTGTGCATTGCTGTGCCCGTGCGTGCAAAGTGAGGATGAACTGGAACTTCAATTGTGAGCCAGGCCATCTCATCCACCTGAGATGAGTTCCTGACCTCACAAATGCTTTATTTTAATTGAACTGACTCCAATAGAGACCATCCAAAGTCTTGTGGTAAGCCTTACCAGAGCAGTGGAGAATGTTACAGCTGCAAAGAGGGGACCAATTTCATACTAATGTCCATGGTTTTGAAAAAAGTACATCAAACAAGGTCATGTGGTCAGGTGTCCACAAACTTTTGCTCATATAGTGTATTACACTGTGCTTTTGTTTGATACTACTGACACTGCCCAAAAAATAATAAATACAAAACAAAACACAAAAATTTAATCTAACATACCTAAAAGATATTTTGTTTAATCCACAATTTATTCTTTCCAGTCGCTGTAATTTAAGCACGATAAAGTTTGGAAAGTAGGGAAGCAGCGCACTTACTGCTCAACCTCAAACTCCGTCTTTGAGCACAGCCATTGGCTCACGAGCCACTACATGCTGACATTTTATTGGCTCCCTATCAAGACATCTGCATGAATTAGGGCATGTTTAACGTAAATTATATGCAAAGGTAGGCAGCTTGATTTTACGCACTGAAGCTGAGTGGTTGTTTGCACTAAGATCTCATTTGTTTCCACATTGTAAAAAAGTTTCAGTGAATCAGATGCAGAATGTTTTTAACATTCATTAAAGGCAGTCAAAATTGTGATCTTTTTCACGCAGCTTTAATGAATAATGGCCAATGTGCTCTGAATGATGTAGAATTTTGCTACGTAGTGTACAATTATCCAAATGCAATGAATAATTTAGAACCTTAACATGTCCATCTGTGTTAAGAATGATATGTTAACGATAAATATTTTGCTATAAATGCTATAGATATTGACAATACAGGTCTTCACTGGCACACTAAATGCAAATAAAAGACAGCAACAGAGAACGGATCTCTTTACTTATCAGGATTAAGAGTGGTGAAAAACAATCAATGCTTAGATTCTGATTCTCTCTAGAAAGATTCTGCATCGAGGCATGAAACATAATCTGACGTTTAAGTTTATGCCTCATTGTTTTACTTACTAAATAAAAATGTTTTTACTGGAAAATGTCAACAGCGATTCAAAAATAAAAAACTATAGGCACACCACACACACTATATTTCACACACAGATGCAAAGTAAAAAAAACAAAAATAAAAAACAGAAATGTAGTTCATTTTTTGGTTTAAACTTAAAAATGGCAAAGATGTAAGCCTGTAGGCGTAACAACTGTGGGCTACATTCAAAATTGAGCAATGCTAGTCCTGAAGATGGACAAAAATTCATAGTGTTGGCTGCAGAAATAACAAATCGAAATGTATATAGAATTGTTTTATCATCACATCTGGGCAACCTACATTGTAATGAAATTTAATCATGAGGTGCTAAGAGATTCACAGCTCAAAAACGGGGGCCCATATACAGAGCCAGTCTTACACTTGTCACTGGCAGAGCTTCTAAGAGTTTGTGAGTGTTTTCTCTGAGTGCATTATGGATTTGTTTGACATCTACTTATCCTGTACACATTCAGATAAGGCTGATGTGCATGTGTGTCGCTCAGTCTGTATAAGTGTGTACATACGACATCTCTTGGCAGCTTCTACACAAAGGTCCTCAGCTGTGTGGCAATCTTTAAAATACTCGAGCTGGTTGGTGTCGGGCAGGTAAAAGTGAATCTCCAGGCCTCTCATGACAGCGGGCACTGTCGGCTCAGCCTTCTTCTGCTTCTTCATCTTCCCACACAGTTGCCTGCCCAGCTCCATGACTCCTAGCTTTGGCATCCAGACACTGCAACAAAGAGAGAGAGAGAGAGAGAGAGTGAGAGTGAGCACAGCATTTTACAGATGCATCCATGAGTCATGAGGCCTGGAGCTGATGATGCTAGAGGCCTGAGGCCTTACAGGCCCATGAGTGATGATAATGTATATTTAATAAGGCTTAAATTATGAGAGCTATTTGATCCACTTTCTTTAAGCAATAAATAACGGCCTTTTCCACAATGTATATAACGCATGTGACATGTTTAAAGGTTTCTAAGGAAAAGAAAGAATGTGTTCTTAGGGATTTATAGGCCCAAATAATGGGATCAATATTAATTGTCTTTAAAACATGAATTGATTGTACCATCATTAATAGCACTGTGCTAAATAATCTTGTACAACAATTTGGAGCATAGCCAGTTGGCATTTTTTCTCAGGGATGGTAGACATACCCACATGCCAGTTACAGACTAGCAACAGAGGAAAAACCTGAAAACAGCACAAACCAGTCAGTAAACTGGCAATTAGGGCTCATTGCTATTGTTGGCTAAATTCATCAAATGATGCATCTACAGGTTTCTAAAAACTAAGCATACAATGAAAAGCACTACAAAAGCAGCTGATTTGTTTTAGAGGTATACGATTGGAGTCGGCTGAGATCAGAATCAACCAATTTTAGCTCTAAAACTTGCAATCAGTCAATTTATAATTTTTATTTTGGCTGATCTATGCTGTAGTTCTATTACATAATCAATGTAAGCAAGATTGGCCTGCTGAAGAGCAAATGCTGTTATTTATATTTCAACTCTCCATAATAAAATTCACTGGAAATTAGAATATGCCATAAAAATTCATCATCAGTGCACCTTGTTTATATGATAGTCTAAAAAAAAAAACAAAGAGCACTTCTCTGCACACCAATGGCAGCAAAACACAGCAAAATATTGTGTTTACATAAAAAATATTTTGCAACTGCTGCGAACTGCTAGCTTACATCTGCAACTATGTTAATCTAGTCTTTAAACTTCCTTCTTATTCAACAGTGTTTTAAAACTTGGAAGTTGCCGTTACTGCATATGTTGTTTTGTTGAAAGTGGGAATACAAACATTCAGCTATAAATAATGTGATGTTGACTGGAGTTGTCTGATACAGACGTTTATCTGGTTATTTATTTAATAAAACAGCCAAAAACTGAGAGGTGCAATTTATGTTAGAAACCCAAAGCAGCTGAAATGAATTAACTGCATTGCAGGCTTAAATGCATGCAAATGTACATTATTTGTCACAGAAGACATTGAAATATATGATGTGCATTTAGAAAGGAAAATTATTAAAAAAAAACACACACACAAACGTATATGTTCTAAATATGCCTCAAGAAACATATAGCGTGACATACAGCTGTATGCAAAAGTTTAGGCACTCTGGCCAAATCACATAATTTGTCAATTTCTGTAAACATGAGGCAAACACAGCCTCTGCAGCCGAGTGCTTTAAAACCTTATTGAAACGATCCAAGAATTCTTCTTTAAGGTTCAAAATGAGCCTTTTTATTTAATTAAAGCACTTTACTTAAGATGAACATCTAAAGGAAGGATATCATTCTCAAACTACTCAAACATTCTACACCTAGGACGAACTACACAGCTAACAACATCATATCACACAACGTGACTGTGTACTATTTCAGGATAGATTTGTTACAGGATTGGACTCATTCTTTTATTTTCCCCCTTCAATTACCAATACAGCATTTTCTGCTGACACTAACCTGATACCAATTATACCACCTAGTACGAGATCAGAGCCATCTCTAATTGCAGCCAATAAGCCATGTCCTTTAAAAGTGTCCTTTGAAATGCACTTACTGTTCCAAATTAAAACTGATGGTGGAAAAACACACCTCACTTTGCAAACACATTTGCATTTGTTCTTTGCATGACCAGTGATTCTCTATTCATGTAGCCTTCAACAGCAGGTTAACAGTGAACAGTCATGACACACAAGAGACTGCTGACAAGTGAGGGACTGATTATGTATGCCTCGATAAATGCTTTATGTATGCAGCGTAATCCCCATAGGCTCCTTATGTCTGAAAGGGCATCATTACAAATAATGTTACTTGTATTGCAACTCTAGATAATATAAGTCACTGGAAATTAGAATATGCAACAAAAGTTCATCATCACCATCATCATCATCACCAGCAGCAGCAGCAGCAGCAGCATCAAGAACATAAGAAAGTGGCAAAATGACCATATGAGAAGCATCATAACATAGAAAACAGATAATAAACACAAAAAAGACATGATCTGCAGTTCTGTGTATGACAATGGACATGTAATAAAACTCAAGAAGGTGTGGGAAAACCTCCAAACATACATGAATCAAGAACACTCACTAGACTCTTTCTACATCAAATTTGTTTGTGGTAAAATTGTACAATCCAATGTTTGATAAGCGTTATCAATATTAGCATTTTTAATACTCATACACAGAAGGTTGTAATATGCAAATAAGCAATCTGACAAATTACATTTATATACAGTGTGAATATCCTGATTAATCTCAGACATTCTCAAACGTTATCATAATGTTTTGCCTGTATCACGCAGTCTTAATATGCGCAAGTTCACCAACTCACAGAAAAAATCAGCCTACATGTACTTGTTGACATTAATTCTGCTTTTTTATGGAACGTTTTGAAACCTTTATGCCTTATAGATTACTTAGACATACTGGGTACCACAACTGCCATTCTCATACTCTACAAGCCCTCTTGTTCAGTGTTGCACATTTTAACCCTTAGAATCTGCAGTTATAACATGTTTTTGACAATAAAAAACGGTAGACTTTTTAATGATTTTTTTTCCTCACTTGCAGCTCAAACAAGCTAAGAAATTGTTTTGAAAGTGCAGATTCTAAACTTTCAATCAATATATTTAAGTTTGTAAGTACAGTAAAAAAAAATGGTTCATGAGTTTACTGAGTCAAGATTTTGAACACAAAAAAATCAACACAATTTCTTTCTTCATTTTATTCATTTTCAACCAAGTCACATTAATTCAAAACACTTGATTTAAGTGTAGAAGAGCAGATATTTTATTTTGGGTTGAATTTGATTGAAGTTGTTGTTGTATATACAGTTGTGTTCCACAGAAACAAAAGCATCTTTTACATTTTTGCAATTTTAACACTGTGACAAACGGAAAAAAGTACAAACTACAGACTCTACATATAATCAATCAGGTAACTAATTATGTAAAGGAGTATGTAACTATGTAATTACACAAAACATTTATGTCACTGAAAGTTATGTTAATGACACACTGACAGTCTTTGGCTACATCTGCAAAAAGAAACAAAACGTTCTTTACTCCTTTTCCTGACAACTATGGGCATGATATTCCGCTGGAGTCCACAGTCTTCTTGAGTACCATTTATGTCACCATTGTTCTACAAAGCCTCATTTCCTGTCTGTGTCGAAACACAGCCCCGCCGCGATCATCTTTTCAGTGTTCTCAACCTCTAACTGTTCTTTTGGTTGACAAGTGGTACCCGAGTGATTCACACGTCTGCATGTACGTCAAGCAAACTTAAAGGTCATCCTGTTTGCAAGGTCTTAATAATGATGATTAAACTCCTTCAAATATTGATTCATTTTTCAGATTTTGCAGTGGTTCATGGCCCTGAAAGCAATTCATCATATCCAGAGCTGTTAAATGATGTCACTCATCACTTACTGGTTTGTTTGTTTAATTTCTTATGAAGGGTTACTGCCTTTTTTGCATGGAAGACCTGACCAAACGCACGTACATGACACACTATATAATCCAAATAGCCAAAAGACCCAATCCAGAGGGTGAGAGCTTATCTTATCAGGTTATTACAATATAATAAGACTTTCTTTTAAATAAATAACAGTATTAAAAATATTACCTATTCTAAAGGATGAGAACAGGCTTAGTTTGAACACTGCCTTTGATACACCAATTTTCAGTGTACACACTGGCTACAATCTTTCTAAAACAATTTTTTATCAAGCAGGCTGATAATCAATGAACCTAGTTGAAAGGGTAATATTTACTCTCCTGCCAGAATACAGTTACCATGTTAGCTTTCTGAAATGACTAAGCGCTTAGAAGCGTGCCACCCTCTGCTGCCTTAGAGCGGACCTCTTCAGGTCCTTTCTTAAACCTTCTCCATCATCTATTTCTCTGTAATCAAGGTGAAAAATTCAAAAAGAAAAGTATAATGTCTGATCATCTGATTATTTTGTTTGCAGTGAAAACCTCAATTTTTAAACATGTATTTCACTTCAACACTTTACTTTTGGAAATTATTATTATTTTTTATGTAATATTATTAGCTAATAAATTGGGCATGAGGACAAAACACTTAGATACCTAAAATGAAGGTGTGCCATTCATATAAACAATTAAATACTTCTAAGTGAATCTAACACAAAAAAAAAATGATGACATACGTCAGTCTATGTCGGAAAAGGAAGAACAGTGTCTGCTAGCTAAAGTCCACTGACAGGGATAAACAGACTGTCATTTGAAATCCAGTGTCAACCAAAGTCAACAATTAAAGCCATTTAACGCGTTTTAATGAGCTCAAACATTTTAACACAAAGGAAAAAATGGTTTCTCCCCCATACATCTGTGTGGTGTTTTCAGAGGTCAGAGGAACACTGTGTTCACATTCTCTGCTCCTCAGCATGTTCTCATTAAAGAATGGTCCAGTTTGGCAATAAAAAGTCTTTTTAAAGCTCTAACACAGCATAAAGCTGCTCTCAAAACAAAACAGTCCATATTAACTGACTGGTGATGACCAGTGGATTTTCCTCACTTTATTCCGCCTCATTCATAACATTAAAGCGCAGAAGTGAAAAAAACGTTAACTCTTTATTAAAACAATTACTTAATTAAAGCAATTAATAGCCATTTGTTAGAGCCCTGAGTTTAGTGACATGGTAAAACAAATCAATCTGTATTTTTTAGGACAAGCTGAAGGGCTTTCCAACTCCAAGTTACCAGCAAAACTCGGTGCGAATTCATTTCAAAACAAAAAGTAACCCAGCTAGCAGGCTAAAAGTAAGCAGCAAGAAGCCCATACGAAAGTGAGTTAAAACAACGTGGCTAAGATATCTCGTAATTCGTAATACTCGACACTCAGTCGAAAAAGAAAAAAATATAATGTATTTACAAACCTTCAGCTGCAGTGGAGGACCGAAAACCAGTCAACTAGGTTAGCTAAGCTAGGTTAAACTGGCTACCACTGGATTTGTCATCAGGCTAACGTTAGGTTAGCTAGCGAGCTTTAAGTCTGCCCAACAGCTTGAAAGTCAGAAATTCTGCTGGGTGGCCAAACAAGATCAAATCTGCCATCCTCACGACTGATAAAGCATCCGCCTTCACAACAACAGATTTACAGCCAGAGTCCCGATCTATCTTAGTCAAGCGGGGCGAAAGAAAGAGAGCGAAAGCGTTTCTTCTTCTTACCTCGCAAGGCAAGCTGAGTTACTTCCGTTGGTTTTCGATCATCACAGACGTTTGGAGTAAAAAACTCCTCCGAGCGCTTTACTTTGTATCAACACGATGTTAATTTCGCTCCAAAGCAGCGTTTGTAGTTACCTAATATGTCTGTATGTTTTCCAATGTGAATGTTTTCATATCCGAGCTCGCCTTACAGAGACATAACGTTAGCTACAGGCTCGAAGTTCATAATCTAGCTATAGCTAACCTTCCTGTCAAGCGTCTAAAGATTCCCGAAAATAGGGGGCTCTAGAGGCCCGGCGCCTAATGGCTGCTCGGCCTGTCAATCAACTGTGGCGCCAATCGTGTCAACCCTCAGGCGGGGACCGCAGAGCTGTAGTCTCGCTCGTTTTAAAGAGCCTTGATAGCGAAAAGAAGCGTTCTGCGTGGTCACGAATGGATGGTAGTCGTAGCTTCTATTTTCTGTTTTCAAATCGGGAAGGGCAATAAACTGGTCTAATCGCCTCTATTTTAATCCGATCAATCTGTTGACAAGTGACACGGCCAGTATAGCTCAAGGAAAGGCTTGTTTCAAATATAATTCTGTTATAACTGGTCGACCAAAGGCTTAAGATAAGTTAATCATGGTTTTAGCTTTATAACAATATAATGACGATGTAGTTGATTCTTTTTTACCTATTATTAGTCACCGTTTTGTCTCATAAGAATGTAATGACAATGGCGTTGATTTTACCTATTACTAGCCGTTTAGTCTCATATAATGTTTAACCTGTTAGACCTTGGTCTTTGTAACAGTCTTGAAAGATGGTTCTTTAGTAAAGGGAATGGTTCTGTTTAGAACCGTTCCATGCTTAAATGGATGAAGAATACGTTGTATATCCCTTTAATGTCCTCACCAAGCAATGGATTTTTCTTTTTTTTTTTTGGATTTTTTTATTGTTTGTTTTTTTCATTTTTTGACCCCACAGTTTTTAAAATATTTGTCTACCAAACTGTCAAGATGACACTTTGTGGCAAAATCAAAACATATATAGTGACTCAAAATGTTCTCTACCAAATGGGTGAGCAAAACATTAATGAGATATAGTTCCATACAGAACCTTACTGAAAATGGTTCTGTGTAGCACCAAAAGGGTTCTGATGTCAAGCCTGTAACAATAACACTTTTTATTGCTATAAAGAACCACATACAACATATTCTCCATCAATCTGAAAAACTATTTCACTTGGTAAAGAACCATTTAAGCATGTAATGGTTCTATATAGAACTAATGGTTCTAAATAGAACCAGTCCCTTTATTAAAGAACCATCTTTTTTAAAAGTGAAGTTAGCAGAATGAACAGGTACTTAAAGTGTCACTTATTTAGTTTGTTGTTATTTATTTAGTTTCTGTCTACATGAACTAGTACCAATTTAAAATATTACTTTAGTTAATATATTTTGCTGTAATTCATCTAGACAGGCTGTGTATTACATTTCAGGTGTATTTTAGGTCCAAGTTCTCCTTCCTTATATTTTTGTCTATCAGATAATAAAACATTCAACTTAGTAAAGAACAAACAGCACTCAACCAAATGTAGTCCTGTAATTAAGTGAGAATTATTGTCATGCATTACCAACATCAAAATGATTGTAGGCTAACTGGAGCAAACCAAAAAGCATTTTCATCCGCCGATTTAATGCTCCAGCACGTCCCAACCAAGCCACTGCAAAGCAAGGCATCTCACGTCCCACTGTGACGGACCAGCACAACGTCGAAGGTCTTTAAGACCAAGAGGTTTAGCCTCCCCTGAAAGGGAGGGACTTCCCGTCCTCACAATCAGACGAGTTGCCAGAAACCGTGGGCTGCAGTTTCACAAGAAGGCTGGTGTGGCAGAGCACTTAGGGACTGTGGCGCAGATCAATAATGTATTGATTTGAACATGTAGAGACTGTAGCTATTCCCATCAAAAGCAGTCCGACATCAGCACTCAGAAACATTGTGGATAGCCTGAGAAAAAAAACATGACTGTAACTGCTGTCTCATATTAGTTCATGTTATATAATCATGTTTCAGCATTACTGTGTTTAGATATTCCTCATTGATTGCAAAGTTTATGTGAGCATGTAATGGATGTTCTATGTCACATAAATGCAGCAGTATACATGTAATGTAATACAATAATGTGCAGTGACACAATAATAACAAAGCTGAAGTCCAAATGGAAACTCCTAACGTTAGATGAGTCACAGGCTAAATATAGGCAGTGAGAGTGTGGAGCAACGCCATGAAGCTCTGTCGAAAACAATATCGTTTGACTTTCACACATGGATTTAGGAACTTAAAAAAACACAGCAGTGGTAAATGAGCCTCTCGATCCTAAAAAAAATGTGTGAACGTCAACAGGAAGACCACAAAATAAGTGGAAATGAGAACAGGAAAAAGAACAAGGGGAAAGAGGAAGTGAATCTTGGATAACTTTGTTTACCAAGTGTTCAAATTAAATTCTTCCATAGTATTGTACAAGATACTATTAAGTCTATGAACAAGAGAACGTGTTTGCTAACTGGATAGGAAAGAGCAGTGAAGCTGGAATGTACAGATGAGTCAGTTTAGGGGATATCTGAGAATGGTGGTGAAAGTAGCAGAAAAGAATACTACGACCTGAGTGTTTACATTACTATCAGCATTGGGGATTTCCACCCACAAAGGCACGAAACATGGATTGGCAGTTTTGATACGCGACAACACAGTTTGCATAACAGCATTTGATAGAAATACATATGCACTATGTCCATTATTCCTATGCAAATGTTAATGTAAATAAAACATATAAAATATGAATAGGAGACAAGTGATAAACGTTATCAACCATATGTTTTATTATAAAAAGACAACTAGAACACAGCAAGAAGTTAACAAAATATATTTAACGTAAATTTAAAGAAACCATTTACATCTCTTAGAAGTAACCAAACTGTAATTTCTAATTTAGTATGAAAAATTTTAACTTTACACAAGAAAGCAACTCAGAAAAGCTCAAACAACATTTTAATGTGTTAAGGAAAAAAGCCTGACTAGAAAAGCAAATTCTACAAATAAAACTATAACTCTACAAGCATAATATGTGCTGATATCGGTAGTTTCTTCATTAGAACATGATGTCAAGATGGCTGCCATCCTTCAGTTATCACAGTACTGTACCTTTAAGATGGACAGCATCAGCACTGTGATAACTGAACCAGGGCAGCCTGTCACATCAAGCAGAGCCAAGACACTGGACTTCCCGTCCGTCCACTCTTTCAGATTGCTTACCTTCAGACGAGTTGTAAACGTCAGGAGAAATCAATCTTGAGGAGAAGAATAATTTAACTTGTGAAATATTTATAGCAACTATTTATAGCATGTCAAAAAAAGAAAGAAAAGGAAAAAGCAACAACGTAATGTTAGGACTCTAGACTTACTGCACTAATTTAAAGTAGAAAGTAGAATATTTAAATACTCAAAAAGAAAATGTTGTCAAGTAAAAACACTGCCACACTACAGTATAGTCAGAAAAAATAGCAATTTAATCTGCTACGTCAACAAGCTGCCATAACTACATAACTAGAATTGTAACCTGTATAAGCTTATGTTGGCAATCATCTATAAGCCATAATATCATACATGCCTAATGACAGTCACCACTTAAAATGTGATTAATAACTGATATATATATATATAACAACAAGTTAGGTATTATTTCATTATTTATATTGTTGCTTTCAGGACAATGTATCTTCATTGATGACATTGATGAATGGACCAAGAAAATAAAATTAAATTTTGCTAGATTAACTTACATTAAATATTAAACGTCTATTTTCCTTCTCCAGATAAGTTTTTGGCCTGACAGCAGCATAATGATCATATGGAATTAATGTAACCACAGAAAATACCAAACACTCTGATGACTTCATTACTTACATATAATATAGATCGTATAGCCTATACAGGCTATATATACGTGTGTGTGTGTGTGTGTGTATATGTGTGTATATATATATATATATCAATACATGTGATAATAATGTTTTTTATTGATTGGTTTCTGTACCTCCTTGCACCTCCTTTCAGCCACTCCTTTAGCCTACTCCACACCCAGGCTAATTCCTTAACACTCAAACACCCGAATCCCCCAACAGGCCTCTCAATAATTAATACAAACCATCCTCCTTACGTCAGACTTGTTATTATCCCCCAGACTCCGCCCGCTGTGTGCGACACTTCTCCGGGTGTCCAATGGCGTGTTCCATTCAGTGAGGCTCCGCCCCGTCCTCCCCGCAAATCTCTTCTTGTAAACAACTCGATCAGCTCCGTCGTGTTTGGCCATGGCTGGACGGCGCGAGCGCCTGCCAAAACGAGCTAACATAACATCTGCGCAACGGTCAAACAATGGAAGAAAGACAGAGAAAAAAGAACAAAACATGCTTCCCCAGAGCTTATATCACACATACTTACTGCACATCATGCATTTCGTTCATGTGTCTCATTAAAGTATAGAGTCTTAATACTGAACGACGCAATGACACAGAAATCTCACACCAACAGGTGACAATGATAAAGTGATAGCGACGTTGCGAAAATTAATATTGGTAGCTGTTATAACCTTTAGCCCGTTACGCGACTCCACAGCTACGTTAGTCTACAAGCATGCTGGTATGCCAAGCACTGGCAGCTCAGAGGACTGTAATAAATTATAAATAATACACGCATGCACTTTTAAATGTTATTTTTTGGTATTTGCATGAAGCAGGCAGCACATTTCCAGTGCGATGCAAAGCAAACTAAAAAGAAATACAACTTGCAATAAAAAAAAGTGCTGGAAAAATAAAGGCGCTCTCTTTCCTGCATGTTGTGAGGTGAGCGCTCCCATTTCGTACAGTGCAATGTGTGCTAACGCCCAGCAGCAGCACACACACCCCTCTCACGTCCAAAACAAACACACCACGTATCTATAGAACAAACGTTTAACACACCATATCAGCCTTCCGGCTGGATAGACCTTATATTTTCCAAAATGCAGACTCACTCACCTGCGTTTTTCCACCTTTCCAGCTCGTGTTTACGTGAATATATTTTAATGACGCAGCAAGCCCACAGCGAGCAACGTGACTGTCGCCATTTTTGTGTTGTTATTGAAATCTTCAAACCATGTGACAAAAATAAAATAACACGCTTCCGGCTCCTCGCGCTGAAAAAGTGCATCCCAGCGGCGTTGGTGAAGAAGAATAACTCGTTGTCTTGTAACAAAGCGGGGAAAAAATCATCACCTGATAAATGTTGTGAGCAGGAGCCCCATCCATTAGGCTCTGACGCCACCGTAAGGCTCCTGAGAAGTCCATTTACTCGCATGGCAAATGAGCGGCGTGCTCGACGTGTGTGCTGTGTCACTCGAACAGAAAGAAAACGTGGAGGCACTGGAAGCTCAAAGCTATCTGGAAGACTGTTTTGTGTCCGGACTGCTCTGTCAACAAGTGAGTGCGCCTCGTCTGCAGTCAGAAATACGGTCACCTGCAGGTCCATGGAGAAATGACGACTTGTCACCTGACGAGACATTCCCAATAAACTCTCTCACCATTTGACAACTTTCTCTCTCACTCGCAGGTCGGCAGGGTGGCCTGAAAACACACTGGAGTAAATAAAAGTCATAAAAGTCTTGTTACTTCAGTCAAATAATAGCTTTGGAAATAAGTACCAAAACAATTTGTGCAACAGTTTAAAAAAAGTGCAGCAGAACTTTTTAGTCCATCAGACTCTGTGAGCCTAAGAACGTAGGGTTTTTTTTAGGAGTTTTTCTCTCTTTTTGTGAAACCTTCAGTCTAAATGTTAAAGCTCTGAGAGAAAGCTGTAAGCAGCAGCAAAGCAGTCCAGAAGATGACCCCACAGAACAGACCTAAATCGCACAAAACAATAAACAACCACTTACCAAAAAAGTCTCTACTTCCATTCTCCTACTTGAGAAGTAAAAGTGGTATCACTTAATAAATAGCCAGAAATGTAGGAATATATTAGATTTTTACTTTGTACAGGTGACCAAATAGATACTTTCTGATCCGTATGTGCCTTCTCACCTATAGTCATATACTGCATAATAAAACTGTAAATTCAAGTAAACTATAAAAAAATTATTTTCAATTTTCAAGAGTCATTATAACAGTTTACCTGGTATTTACATTTTAGTGCACATTTCACATGTTCATCTTAAACAGTTTCATTTGCTATTGCTTATATATTGCTTTTTATTTCAGAAGTGGGTACCAGCCTATTTAAAGGGAAATTCCACCGATTTTTAAAAATTTCTGCATAATTAAATCTTTAAGATGTAAACATGACTGGTTTGATGTGAAAAGCTCCGTTCCAGAAAAAGTTACCAATTTTCTTTACAGTCATGGTAGGCCTGAAAGGAACCAGGAGCCGTGACATCTGCAACTCAAATGTAGCCATTTTATTTACTATACAAACCTAGCAGTGAACCTATATGTGTCTTCTAAGTTTTTAGTGTAATGTTGATGATGGTAAAATAGTTGTAAATCTAAAAAAAGTATGTTTCTTTGTGAGGGGGGGACTGTTTTGAATCAGAACTATTAATGGATTTTAAAAATGGTATTTTAGGCCATAATCTTATCTCGAAACAAACATAAAACAATGTCTCAGGCACCAGGCAACGTATTTGTAATGGCTTCGTGTAATAATTGTCTGTAAGAGAGTTTTTAGAGGCAATAAACACTTCAGACATCCGGTTCCTGTCACTACCGTTGTGAAAAATTTTGTGTTTGTAAGACAAACTTACAGACAAAAAATGTTTCACAATGGTGGCAACAGGAACCAAACTTTTTAAGTGTTTAATGTCTCAAGCATAAGGCAAAGTGTTTGTAACAATAATTCATGTAATAATTGTCTGTAAGAGGAGCTTTTAGAGGCATTAAACACTCTGGACTTTCGGTTCCAATCACCACCATTGTGAAATATTTTGTGCCAGTAAGTTTCTCCAGAATGGAGCATTTCTTATCAAACCACTCTGAATGACTTTGTTTACATCTAAACGGTTGAATTTTTCAGAAATTTTGAAAAAATGGTAGAATTTCTCTTTAAGTATGTTGATGCATTAGTGCTTTTCTGATTATTTTCCTGTAATTATTTTTGCCAGTATGTAGCCTATGTTTGTGAGGAAAATAATTTTAGGTTTATTATATTTAGGTATATTCAGCTCTTTTTCCTTTGTGGGTTTAATTTAATTCTCTGGAGGTTTCTTTCCTCTGAAGGTGCCTTTTCTCAAACTTCTTGTTTGATGTGTTAAAAAGTTCCACTGCGGTTCTAAACTTGATTTTTTTTTCCGCCTCATTTTTTCGGGAGCTACTTTTCTACATGAGTCAGAGAGCTGTTGAAGTAACAGCCCTTGTAACTTAATGTGATTTTAGGCTCCTGCAGACTTTCCCACAGGTTCCTTGTGAGGTCTCCACTGAGCTCCTGCACGCAGCTGAAGTTTACACTCGAGATCAAGATTATTTATCAGGGTTAGACAACGGTACTACAAACCCCATGATCCTGTGCGCGCCTTGCGTTTTTTTTTTTTTCTTCGTCTTGTTTTCCCTGCGCTGTGTTGGGAGGTGTTCGGAAAAGAGGGCGTTCGGATTTCTCGCCCATTCATTTGCAGAGACTGAGAAAGAGAGAAAGAGCGAGAGAAGGAGGGAGGGAGAGAGAGAGGCGGCCTCCATCTCAGTGCAGAAGTGGGTGGAGGGCATTTATAATCTTTTAGCTTAACTGTACTAAAACACGTTGATTTGGTCTCAGTGGAAACTGAAAGGCACCATCAGCTACAAGAGGGGGTTTATCAGGTGGGACTAAGTTAGTTTGCCTTCTGCTTCCCTTTTTTAACTTGTCATTTTTTCCCCGTCTTTAGGGTATTTTAGCTTCCCATCCAACTCGGTCCACTTGCTAAACACAGTTTAGCCTCATTTTGCCCATCCAGCTTCGCCTGTGCTAAACCCCGTTTGCTCTGGTCTGTTTATCATGTGTCCTGTTTTAGGACCGAGGAAATGTCCAGACTGTTCCGAGCCGTGATCATGGGTCCGCCTGGCTCGGGGAAGGGCACCATCTCGGAGCGGATCGCCAGAGGTTTCGGCCTGCAACATCTATCCAGCGGAGACTTCCTAAGGGAGAACATCACTGCCAACACGGGTGGGTCACTTCCACGTGTCTAAACTTTTCTTCGAAAGCTCTGGTCGCACGTTTCACACGTTAGCCGGAGTGAGAGAGTGACTCTGCTCGGAGTTTGAGAGAGTTCAAATGAGGAAAACGGCAGTAGCTGAAGCTGCCGTGCTGGCTGAGCGCCTTACAGTGGCATTACTGAGCGTTTTTTGCAAGTTATTTCTGTTCCTTGATTCAGGACAGCAGCTCTGCACACTTGCTTCTAACAGATTAGCAGTAGGTCTGTCAGAATTACATAATCGCCTAATCGCAGTTATTTGAGATGATCGCAGTCATCACTTCCCACATAAGATTTACAGTAATATTAACTCGCAGCAAACAAAATGTAAATTGAGAGTCGTGGAGTCGTCTGAGGTAAATATGTTGAATGTAAATAATATAGAAAATAATAACTGAATGTCAATAGTAAATACATTCTTTGAGACATATAGGACTAATGGAAGCGAGAAAAGTTCATGTTGCGCTGAGAAAATGGTTGTTTATTTGTTAGCTAGGTTAGTTATAGGTTATTTATCTAGTTATAGTTATAGGTTAGTTATCTAGCTAATTCTAATGTTTTTAGCATGCATGCTAGCAGTATGAGAGTTTTTTTTTACTTATGTTTTAACTCTCAAGTCAAAAATGTAGGCTTTGCCTGAATACACATGATCCTGTGTAACTGAGACGTTTGTTTGAGAGCACATAGTAAGCTTGGCTAAGAAGCAAGATGGCTAATAAGCTAATATGGCCACTTTTGACTTGTACTGTAATTCTTGTACTATAATAGATGCATAAATGAACAAGAAAACTTAAAAAATTAAATCATCGATTTTGAACTTATATCAGATAGGTCTACTGAGTTGTTGTTAGGACAACTAAGTGTAAATTAAATCAACTACTAGGCTAAACTAGACTATCACTGTAAAAAATTCATATCGTTTTGCAAAACCTTGATAATTGACCTGAACATTGGTGAAAATGTCTTAACCAACTTAATATTACCCTGGACCATCTTGCCAATGCTGACAGTTTAGTCCAGAGAACTTGTTAACTCGACTCCCTTGACACTGATTTTCAACCAGTCCTGACTGAGATGAGCTACAGAAGTTTAGAAAACAAGAAAACGCCCAAGGGAAGGTAGGCTGGGGAGAGTGACAGCACACAGATGGTAGGGTAAACAGGGTGGAAAGACACGTCCAATATGCAATACATGGTACAAAAAGCCCATAGGAATGATGTGGGGTTTTACTCAAGAAGGTTGCATTGACCAAACATTTATCAAGCAAAGCTGAGAGGTCTAAACTAAATTGCAGTAAGTTGATTCAACTCAAAGATTTCGTTTGAATGTCTGAAATCGTCAAAAAAAAGTTATGAGAAAAGCTTGAAAACTCCAAACCATTTAAATGTAAACATTTATGTGAGTCTATCACATAAATTCACTGATACAGAACAAGCCAACAGCTCAACCCCTGAATCAACTGATATTTTAGCTAAAAACATTAGAACATATTCTGATTGTGCTGAAGCGACCAGGTAAACCTGTTTGGCATGAAGACTGTTTCATGTCAAGCAATATAATCTTCTGACGCACACAGATTTCTTGCCGATATTAATTAAGGCACATTTTATTGGCATTTTTAAAACAGAATTCCTTACTGAAGTCACATTTTTAACAGCACACATCTTTTATTTGTGTTGGCCCATCCATGAAGGGGTTTAAAGAGTTAAAGTGGGCTTTCAGTCAGAATAATATACTCTATATTTAGGAGGACAGGAACCTGCTCCTTCCTAGTTTCATTTTAATCACTCGTGTTTGGAGCTTCATTTCATACCAAAAGGATCTTAAAAAGGAGAGAACAGCTTAACAGCTTTCAGTTCCTATACTGATGAATGTGAATATACTAAGGTCCACTGCAGTTTTATATGTTACTCAATACTTGAGAAGATTTTGGTCCTGCTATTTTTTTACTCAAGTTGTTCTTGCTAGCTACTTCTGCTTCTCCTTGTGTCATTATTTAATCAAAATAACATTGCTTTAACTTGAAAACAATGCTTTAACCCTGTGGCTCTACTCTACTTTATCCCACTACTTCTTCTGAGAATATAGTTCAACACATCTATTCTCCAGAGTCACAATGACTCCACTGTATGCTAGATTTCCTCAGGGTTTTAAATAACCCATAACCCATAAACTGTACACCAGCTGCATCACATTCTTACATTCATTTAATGAGGTGGTATGGTTACCTCACTTGTTTCCACGTTTCATTCCTTCAGAGAGACTCATTATAAGATAAGTTTAAGGTTGCAGTTGCCAAATTAAGGATTAAACAGTCTTATTCTCATACCTTGTTTTTGGGTGTCAATGTTTATTATCTTATTTCGTGTGTAAGTGATTGCTCACTGCAGATTTTAGCTGTGGGGTAGATGTAGAAGAACCATTTCAAGCTTGCTTGTGTACTGCATACATATGTGGTCAGTGTAAACATCTCGTAGGTTGTGACTCACATTTCTAATAAGGAAACTACCATTAATAAAGAGATAAAAAATCAGTTTATCTTCCTCATTTAAAGACAAAGGACACTGACAATGCTTTTATCTCCCATTTCAGAGGCTGGAATCTTGGCTAAAACGTACATAAATAAGGGTCTACTTGTGCCAGACCATGTCATGACCCGTCTGCTGCTTCCCCGACTGGAGGCGATGACCCGTCACAGCTGGCTCTTGGACGGTACAGTAGAAAACGTCTCCTCATGATTTGTAGCTGTACTATTTCTAGCACCACTTCTTAGCATCTTTCCCACAAGCTTGAAGACTGATCAACATGCAAATTCAAGCTCCTAATATAAACATAGAGGTATTTTTGGCTAGTTTTGTTTTTCTTTCTCTATGTGCTTGCAGGCTTATCAGCCAGTTCCCTTAGATCTTCAGATCATCTTATGATTACCATCACTGTATATGTCAAGCTAAAGTAGAATAATAGGCTCCCTTTTTTCCTGTTCAGTGACGCTCTGCCTAATTCTTCGTATCTTTTTTTTCACTGGCAGAATCAAAAGCATTTTGTAATGTTAAATGAATTATTTTTCACTTGTGGTTCTTTGAAGCAAACTGAGGAATTCTGTCCTATATGTGGAAACTTTATTAATCTGCGTACAGTTTTTGCTTAGAAAAGAAACACAATCTTTTACATTTTTGCTGTGTTTTTGTCATTTTTTTACCTCTGAACAAATGCAAAAAGTCTTGCAGACTTAAATAGTTATAACTCTGGACTTTTAATCGTTGATAACATATACCTATGTCTACCGTGAACACTGAGGAGTTCTGTAAGGCTATCCATAAAAACAGAAACACTTGTGCACTTCAAAAATAACTCATATTTTTGAAATGCCACAATTGTATTTTTGCTTTTATCTGTTTTTGACGGAGCCGTTGAACATTGTACTCTTTTGCAAGGTTGCCATGGCGGGGTAGCAAAGACAGTAGTGCTCTGTTAAATGCTGCAACAGCTCTTGCTCAAGGACATAACAACAGTGATTAGAGGAAAGAGGAAGTCAACATTTTTGGTGCCCATCATAGAATCAGAACACAAATCTTCCTGGTCCACATGTGTTCTCAGTGTGCAGCCTTAACCTGCTGAGTCACTGCTACACAGGGCAGTGAGTGCATGGAGAAGAAACACAGCATTCATGAGTCTCTCACTTTTTCGGACAATATAACTTTCTGTGACATTGCAAAAAATACATGGTGGCGTGTATACGCCTGCTATGTATACCAAGAAGTCTGAGCATTATGTTTTGCCATTGAAATGCTCTGTTAATAGATTTCCATAAATACAGGAGCCTTTTTTTCATGATTTTTGTCATTTTTGACATGGAAGCAAGCTTGTTGTTACAGAATGTAAGTTCAGTGTAAATAACATTCAGCACACAACTGTGCAAGTAAATATATAATGTTGTAATTGCATGTAAAGAATATTTTCAGAACTTCTTCCTACTTTACAATCAAAGTCATTCAGAGTGGTTTCACGTGAAATGCTACATTCTTGTTCACAGCGGTGGTGACAGGAACCAGACGTCCTAATACTGCTAAAAGCTGAAATTTAACACACAAAATAGTTATGAATACACTTTCTGATTGCCTGATGTCTAAGACATTATTTTATTTTTGCAATAAGATAACATTTTGACCTAAAACTATAGATATATATTTTAATCCATTCATATCAAAGAGGTACATGCAGAGATTTTCAGATTTACAATTATTTTACCATTATCATTGACATTACATATAAAAACCCAGGAGACACACATGTTGGTTTTGGATAATACATAAAATGGCTATATTTGCATTGGAGACTTAATGACCCCTGATACCGGTCACCACCACTGTAAAGAAGTTTAAGTCAGTAATCTCTACAATGAACCACGTCACATCAAACCACTCTGAGTGACTTCATTTATATCTCAACGATTGACCTATTCAGAAATTTAGAAAAATCGGTGGAATTCCCCTTCTGTGTGTCAAAGCTGTAGATTTTTTATAAATATAATCCATAATACCCCTTAAACCTTAAGAATCTGCCTGTAGGCCCTCACTTCAATTATTTATACTCATAACTACATAACTTACTTATTAGTTTCAAAGGAGTTACTGAATAATTTATAAATTTTCCAAAAGGGTCCAAATAATAAACCTTAAGATGAGGAACTGAATGATAAACCTACGGTGACTTTTCTTTACAGTGTTACTTCAAAAATGATTTTAGCTGAATAGTAGAATAGTTTTGAGCTCCTAAGGTGACATGGTGATTACATCAGTGAAGTTTCACTTGGCCACAAATGAATATATTGAAGCCATAAATTTATATTTTTAGGCCACAAATGAATATATTGAGGGCACAAATTATTATATTGAAGCAATGAGTTACGTCTCCTGTGGCCACATGGCCTCAATATATTCATTTGTAGCCTCGTGGCCTCAATATATTAATTTATGGCCTCATCGTATAAAGAAATAATCACCATGTCACATTAGGGGCTCCACAGAGTAGTAAGCTCAAGTAGAAACTGATTCATTTAGGCAGTGATATCATGAAGCACTTCTGTAGAAGTGTTTTGTTTACAAATCATCCAAAGAATCCTTTCACTTGTAATCCATTACCTTCCACCGTTATCTCTGCTTTGAGGAATTCACCACAGTTGCTACAGTGTACTTGAATATTCTAGAAACAGACTTAAGCAAACACTCCAAGTGAACACTTCAAGCACATTTTGCTTGCTTGTTAAATGCCTTCACCCAGTAAAAGATCAGATATCAAACACTAACCAAGTGAGGAAGGTGGCGTCTGACCTCGAAACAGATCCAGCCTGCTCTGCTCTAAAGGCTGGTGAACAGTGATGCTGGATTACTCTTAAATAATAGTCCTTTGCTACAGGTCATTCCAGCCTGGAGTTCCAGGCATAAAACTGTAATATGTTTGACTGACATCTTGGCGAGTAACAAAAATTAGAGATGGCCAGCAGTTGCTGTTCTTTCTTAACAGTGTTACAAATTGCACCAGAATACCTCCATGTTAGGACACAATACTGTTGCTCCTCCTGTATTTTAGGCTTTTCCTATTTGTACAGTTTAAATGGTCATTTAATATGATTAAGCTGGAAATATTTTGGAAGAGCAAAATCAGTGAAATTTAGAATGCTTCCTCCTTCCCTAGGCTTTCCCCGCACTTTAGCACAGGCTGAAGCTCTGAACAGTGCTTGTGAGCTGGACGTAGTCATTAGCCTTAACATCCCCCTGGAGACACTGAAGGAAAGACTGAGTCATCGCTGGATCCACCCAGCCAGCGGGAGGGTATACAACATGTGCTTCAACCCTCCTCGTGTGCAGGTAGGCACTTTCCTTTCCTGCCCTGTGGTAGCCTGTTTCATAGTTAGGAAGGCTGTCAAACTGGAGGTTTCCTGAAGTCAAAAGAAGCACTTATGTGATTTCTGGAGCTATTGTTAATAAAATATCATTAAGACTTTGCCTTTGACTGCAAAATTATTATCAAATTGGATGATTCCAGTAATTAATGTCAAACTACCAATGTCGAATACCTTCTAAATCTACATGCCTGGTAGGGCTGTCAGCTGCATTCAGAAATTAAATTTCGAGTTTTTTTTGTCACATATCCTAATACCTTTGAATTTTAAATACATTATTTGTCAAGAATATTCCATGCAGTACACACTATCTTCCAGTCTGGAGGCATGAGATGGCTAATAAGGGTATATCGTCACTGTCAGAAACAAAACCATGTATCTCCAAAATGGTAATTTAATAGAAGAAAGCGAAATCATTCTTTACGCTATGTTAGTTAATGTAAAAAGACTTTTCTCCACCTGATTTTGGACTATTTCTGGGTCATTCTCACAAAACCACCTGAAGTCTTGTCCCTAAATATTTAAGTGCCATAATCAACACATAGATAAAAACAAATACACATATAATTTAATAGATCAGCTGAAGCTGAATAAGGTACAGCAATCATTTTTCTGTTTTTAATTTTTTTTTCATTACTGCAGTGGACCTACATATCTGTTTCTCATTACCCTTTTTTAATTAGGAAAAATGAACTTGTGTCACTTTTGACTGTTGCATCTCTTTAATGTGTTCCTTATAAACTCTTAAGGAAGTGAGCTAAAACAACTAAATGTTATGTGAAACAAATAGAATGAAAAACATCAATGGCTTCAGTGAGATAATTTTGCAGAATACTTTATTGTGTAAAATATATGTTTTTGATTATTTGCTTTAAAATACTTGATTCAACAACAGAATACAGATTATGAAAAGTACACCCTGTTCACACTTGGCATTAACGTGCATCCTGGGTGATCTGAGCATAAGTAGACAGCGATAAGTTAAGGTGTGAACAGGGTACAACACATCTTGTAGACACATTGTGATCAGATCATTCAAAACACATTTGGGGGTGGTCAGGTGCACATTTGACCACATAACATTTACGGTGTGCTAAAGCATCTTGATGCATCGTCGACAGCATCAAAGGACCACCTTAATCAACTGCTCATCACGGTAGAGACAAAAGCAACTGCGTAGCTTCATTTTTCATCTCGTCTACTGTTTGTTTACAAGTCGTGTTAGCAGTTCATGTGGTCTAATATGAATATGGTATATTTTTGTGTGACAAATCCGATCACTGAGACGCAGTTGAGACACAGGTGTAAACAGCTACACATCGCGCTGTCCACTTATGATCAGATCACACGAGATGGGTGTCAATACGAGGTGTGAACAGGGCTATACTGTGTTGTGGTAGTGAGAATATGGTCACTTAAATTGGAAATATATTACTAAGAATGAATTTAAAATCAAATAAATCATTCAGGTTTATTTTTAATTATTCAACCAGGCATCAATTTTTGTAAATCCAAAAAAAGCAGTACAGTTTTTTTTAAAGGTTTTTCAAGATGGGTCTCAGTATTTGTCATGTTTGTGAGAAAAAGCCTTCTATTGTTCCATTTTTAAAATATATTTACACAGTATAAAAAGCAACTGGCATTTGTAAATTCCGTAAATAAATAAAAAAAAACGTCAGAAATCAAGATAAGAGGTTTTGTTCCATCAGTGACGATATGCTTATTTTCCCAGCAAGTCCCCCAGGCTAATGATATTACGTTCTAGGCCAGAAAAACTGAGTGCTTGAGTCGATGAAAGCCTGTGTGCACTGAGTTCAGGCAAAGAAAGTCTTTAACTAGCACAGGTGTCTGAAGTGGCTGTGTAGCACCACTTAGCCAAACAGCTAAAGTAGCAGCTTCACTACATTACACATATGCAAACATTATGTGATTGTTAGCTTACCTTGCAACACTCTGCCTGAATTTTTAGTGTTGGCTTGTCAGAATCAGAAAAAGTCTGCCATCTGACCATAGAGAGAAGTGGAGAATGTATTTCTGCCTGTTACTGTTAAAAGTAGACACATCACTTTGTACAGAGAGGCTGAATTGCTGAATAGCTGTTAGATGCTTGCAAATATTTCTATAAATTTAAATACCTAATTGTCATTATTTTATTAGTGATCAGTAATGATATGTTCTTCTATGTGTTTGGTAGCTATTGTGTGCTACTAACTGGCCTGCAACCGAACTTGACAGCGCTAATCGCTAGCAGAGTGCAATTGATACTAAAACTTGTGCCTGTGGCATTTGAACTAATTGCAGCGGTGAACAATAAAGGGATACGTATAGACGTGTAAGCCTGAGGCACAAGAAACACCATAGCATGGCCAATTATTCGAATGTTAATATCACTGTCATGTTGGAATGTTCTCTGGAATGGCATCAGAATCACACGGGTGGTAAAATATCTATCATATCACTTTCTGTGCCCCATAATGTCATCAGAAACCATTTAGGAGCCTATTTTATGTCCCATTGTGTCCTCTGTTCTGTACTGTGTGTCTAGGGAGTGGACGATATCACTGGAGAGCCTCTAATTCAACAGGAAGACGACAAGCCAGAGGCTCTGGTTGCCAGACTGAGGCACTACAAAGATGTGGCAAAGCCAGTCATAGACTTATACAAGTAAGTTGTGGGAGTTGACTGAGCGACAGATGCTTGTTGACAGAGTGACCCAAATAAACTCCCTGCAGTTATGAATCAATTATTCATGGGCAGTTCAGACTTTGTTACAGGACGAGGACAGAATCATTCTCTTTTGTTACTAAGCAATGTGCTGAAGAACTGAGCATTTGTACATCTTCATTCTTGATATTCTCCTTATTGCATTGTCAGACTTCAGATTAATCTCATTCTCTTAACCACATTTGAACAAAGCACTTTCCCAATTCATACATATATATGAAAAGTCATGTACTACAGAAATGTTGTAGAAATTTAAAAAGGTCACATGGAAATTGTTAATTCTGATTTGGACCATATTAGTAAATTGTAGTGCCACCAATGTACATGAGCAAGCTTTTGGCATTGCTAACGTGGTGTGTGGTTAAAATGGTACCATACATTTGCACTACAATTAAATTAATATATTATGTAGCCATTGTCTCTTTTATTACGGTCAAATGGTATTTTGTTATTTATCAGTAACCAGTTATGATGTATAATAAGCAACTATAGCAAACAACTGCATCAGTATGGATGGATAAAAGCCAGATAAACTATTTACCAGATAAAAGTGGTGGAAGTAGCTGTAGTAAAAAAGGGCATGTCTGCCACAGTCTTTACTTAAAGGACTTATACCATATAAAATTAAATTATCCTCAATTTTTTTTAAATAGAACAGTTTGATGTAGCATGGAAATACTATTTAAGTCTATGTATGGAAACTAAACTGCCCAAACAGCCTGTTCTGAATTCTTTTTTTTTTCTGATGTCCCAAAAACAAACAGTTTTGCCTCACCCTGAAGTTATAAGGAATGTTTCAGCCTGGTCTGCTTTTTGAACAATGTGCAATACAGGACAGCCAATCAGAACAGAGGTCATTTATATATCATTCTTAAAGGCACAAAAACAAAAATGGCCTGTTTAATTATAAGGGATAAAGAAAATTTAAACTGAATGTGAATTGAATTACTGACACAAACATTAAAGTAGACTTTAGGATTAAAAAATACAGGAAAATGTAGGATTTGGGCCTTTTACAACGCACAGAATGCACATTTCCGCATTATAATGAATATTGAATAATGAGTATTGGTGTATTGGTGTTCTGTGAGCACAGTTTGAGCTTTTAGGCTTAGCATTTGTCTGGAATTTTAATTTTGCGGTCTTTGTGGTCTTTTAGAGGCTGACACTCTTACTGTTATGCTACACAGTAATCCACTAGTGTTTAATTAACTTCATGGTTAATTTGAGTCCAGTTTAACTTTGTTTGGTGTGAAATAAGCACATTAAGAGTTACTTCAACACTGATTTATAAGAGTAACTAGTCTGTTGAGCATTGATAGTCAGAGCTTGCCAGGTCAGCCAGTGCAAGTAAAAGAGGCAATGTGTTACATTCTAGAGAGAGGTGTGGTAAGGATTAAGTCAGTGCAGAAATGATTGCAGTAGTGTTAGAGAAACCTTGCACAGCAGTATTAGTTCAAATGCTATGCACGGATGAAATGTGTAAAGCAAGTGCTGACAGCATGTGGATTAATAGATGCAATATTGCAGTGGAAAAGGTGGAAATATATGGAAATGTATGTTAAAAGTATTTTTAACTGCATAGGTTATTTTTCAGTTTTATAAGGTTACACTTGTAGCTTTAGATAACAGATTTAATACTCATCAATGGTTATTTTTTTTGGTTTGGCATGGACTGTAGTTTTAGACTCGTTAGTGTTTCATGTTTACATTTGTTAGTGTTTCATGTTTTATAAATAATCTATGCTGTTTGGTAGTTTAATGTGTATTAAATGTACAGTGGGGTCCTAAAGTCTGAGGCTACTAGTGAAAAGCATTCTTTGCTAATACAATCTTAATACAGTCTGATCTTTTTGTACAAAGGCCTTAGTGAGGTTGAAGAACCTTTGAAGAATATTTCGTAATGTCGGCTGTGTTTCGGACTCCTTCCTTGAGGAGCAATAAATGATTTCAAACACATTGAAAGAGTATTAAAAGAGAACTCAATCAAAACTTGGTGAAGTATGTGAGGATGTGAGTGAATTATTCACTTGTGTCATCATATCTTCATCAGTATGATGTTGATTTTGAGACCTAGACATTGAGCAGACCTTCTTTATGAGACAGATTTTCAATATGGTCTCCGACTTTTGGACCCCACTGTATGTGGTCACCATTGCTCCTTCTTAGAGCTCATTTAAAGACGAAGCACTTTGTCAGAAATAATACTTGATTCTCTTCATTTTGCTCAAATGCACTCTTAGATTAAATTACTGTAATAGGCTATAGAGTCTAAATTCTAATAACACTTGTATTGTTTACGTGCAGGGCCAAAGGAATTCTGCACACATTCTCGGACACAGACACGGATCAGATCTGGCCCTATATCAGCTCTCTCCTGAGCACCAAGATTCCGGCAGATCGATTGGACACACAGAGAGCCTCAACTCACTGAAGGAATTGTTGCATATCAAACACCAGTATAGCGCTGCTTTATCTCACATCACCTGCACCTTCACTACATTATTCCACAAATAAAGCATCTGAAAAGTGATCCATCTGAAAGACAGATAAGCCCTTAATTCTTAAAGAACAGACCAAAGGAATGCTAATTATTGGCTGCTTCTGTCACTCGTTGGCTATTATTTCAAACAGCTTTTGTTGCGGTAATCATTGGTCAAGTTTGCATCTCAGCCAGTAACAGAGACCTGGTTATTAGTTACGTTTTTACCTTTTTTCCAGGAAGTACGGCCATAAATGCTATCGATTAAGAGTAAACGAATATTCAGAAATTTAAAATTAGACAAGTCGAGGCTCACTTTCGCATATTTACCCAGTGTAGTATGTAAGTAATTACAAATGAATCAGATGGGAATAATGAATATATGTGACTGCTGTGAAAGGGAATGTCTAGTAGTTTAACATCACATTCAGTCCAACATTCCAATGACTTTGTAGGTGATTTTGTACCTTTTCTTGATACTTAAGCTGCACCTATGGCTTATGCTGCCTTCTTTATTACGGTGAAATTTTCCACTACAATATGTGAATCCTACAGTTACTGAGTGCGTGTACAGATTTAAATGATACTGTATGTGCAGTCTCCTCAGGAGAGTGTGATAGAGGCGTAATGTTAGCTGTGAGAAATTTGATGGTTGGTCTTTTGGCTCTTCACACTCGGACCAACAGACTTTGAGACAATGTTACATGTAAGGAATGGCTTAAAGTGTTCTACGCTGTGATGCCAAGTGAGTGTTTATCTATTACAAGTGCCACATGCAGACAGTGATGAGTGAACTCCCCTTTGTAGCACTTCTGAAGTGTTTTAATGATGTTTTCTATTTGTTATTGTGGCCTAGCCAACATATATAGCAAATATATGTCAATTTAAGACATATTATGTCATTCAGTACCACATAATTTTGATGAAGATAAACAGTTGTATGCAAATGTCAAACGCACCCTCAGTCAAATTACATGTTTTGTTGATTTTCTAAGTGAAAATAAATACAGATCCTCCACAAAGAACACACTTCTGCACAGTTACTGTATATTTGCTAAATTTAACATATTGGGGAGTTTGTGTGCCAAATAACATTCTCATATTTAAACTTGTTCCCTGTAGAGGATGTGTTAACTTAGTTTCACTTCGAAAACCTACAAAACATGTCATTTGACCAGATAAAGCTAAAGATAAAGGCTTTTCTCATCATAAAATTGTGAATATAGTTCAACTTGGGCTGCACCAAATCCCAGCCCTGAGCATCTGATTGTACAATCACCTGCTGAAAAATAAACGAGATAAGCTTCTAAACCACAGTGTCAGAGCATCAGCTTCAGAGAGAGAGACTGTACAGTGCTCATCATGTAACTCAAAATGAGAGAAAATACTGCTTTACCTCTGAAAAAGTTTTCGGGATCTCTCTTTTTCTCTCTTTGTGTGAAAAGACACTAAAACTGCAAACCAAAGGTTGTAAAATGTTGAGGGCTTGTGGAAAAGTTTTCCACTCCTCCACACCCTCCTGCTGTGCAGTACCACACGGGATGCCTTAACTTTATGTGGGCTCTGAATCTGCCCTTTCCAAAAGAAATAAACATATTTTTTCAAAAATGAATAGTGTTGTTATCGCTTTATTTCATCCACCAAGTAACAACATATATTTGACTATCACTGCCTCTCAGTATTGGTGATGCTGTGAATGGAAAAGTATGTTTTTTGCCAAAAATGTAATGACCAACATCTGGCCTCAATATATTTTTAAACTGACTGTGCATTTATATTTAAATGAAAAACAACTTTCCTATTAACTTTATTTAACTGTATTTATTGCTAAGTTGTTAATATATTTTGCATAATTAACAGAAAGTTTAAATGTAAACTATATACTGTATATCATAGATACATTACATTATATATATATATATATTATATTAATCAATTTACATATCTATATTTCATCTTTGTCCAAAGAAAAACGAGTATCTCCAAAATGGCAACTTAATAGGAGAGGGCAAAAATGTTCTTTAGTTTTAATCCAAGTCAGTTTAAAGAGATTTCATTCCAGGTAATTTTGGAACAGTTCTGTTGGTCCATTCATTGTGGAATTTTCACAAATATAAAGGGCAGCCTTGGTGCACAAATGGGGTAGAAAAATATGGAGGGTTTGGGGGGGGGCAGTGACGATTTACAGTACCTTCCAGAATTATTGCCATCCATAGTAAAAATGACCAAACAACACTGAAAAATGTCTTTATATATCAGCATAAGCTTGAACTGAAAATGTAGCTTAAAATTATTGAGTAAAAAATAAAGATTTTTCTAAAAACAAAACAAAAAAAATGTTCCACACATTTGTGCACTGTCCCTTTCCCAAGAACAGCACTAATTAATACTGAGGATTAGGGCCATTTCCACCTTGACTCTTTTTACACCAAGCTCATCTTGAACGTCTGTTGCCAAAAAACTGTATTTTGTGGCCTTATCTGACCTTAGAACCCAGATCCAGGCACTTATGTTAATGGTGTGGTCTATCACTCCTAAAGGGTTCTTTAGTAAAATGGTTCTGTATAGAATCATGACCACTCAAAGAACCCTTTGCATGATTAAAGGGTTCTTCGCATCATAAAAGGGTGATAAAAAGATGTCAAGCTTGTCGTGGTAGAAGAACTCTTTTTAGTGTTAAATAGAACAATTTTCAAAAAGGTTATATATAGATCCATCTACAGCACATTTTCCATCAATCTGAAGAAAGCTTTTTTGATGCAAAGAACCCTTTAATCATCCAAAGGGTTCTTTGAGTGTTTTTTCTTTAGTACATTTTCTGTACTAAAGAACCATTCAAGAAACAACTTTTTTGAGTGTGTAGAAGGTTCTCTACAGAGCATTTTTGAAAAGGGTTCTACATAGCACAAAGGGTTCTGCTATTATTATGATGTCAAGTTACAATAATAGAAGCATATAGAACCAATTTCTTTACAAAATACCCCCTGAAGAACCATTTTTTCTATACATGTACTATTAATTAGTGTATTAGCTGATCTTCTCCATGTTGATGGATGACTAAGAGTATTTGATCTGTGTATCATCTCATATTTATTCTCAGTGACACAATATATTTTAAGTGAAAAAAAAAAGTTAATTAAAACATTAGTTATAATATAATTAGTTTATATGTTCGGGTGACCATGGTCCTTTTTGGGTTCTCCCCGTGTCTGCCTGGGTTTCCTCTGGGGGCTCTGGTTTCCTCGCACAGTCCAAAGACATGCAGTCAGGCCAATTGGACACACTAAATTGCCCCTAGGTTCGAGTGTGTGGATGTTAATATCTGTCTGTCCTCCCCTGTGATGGACTGGTGATCTGTCCAGGGTGTTTTCTGCCTTCCACACAATGTCGGCAGGGATAGGCTCCAGCACCTCCTGTGACCCAGAAGGATAAGCGGCTTAGATAGTGTTTGTGTGTGTGTGTGTGTGTAGTTCATATGTTGATATATTCTATTTATAATCGTTTATATTTATGTGCACTGTATATATACAGTTGTATGCAAACGTTTGGGTGCCCCTGGTCAAATGACATGACAATAAATCTTCACACTGTACGAATTTTTCATCTTTTTATTTGAAATGTTTTCATATACAGCTCCATTTAGATAAAGCCATTTCACTGCAATATCAACTGCTTGTGTCCCGACAATCTCTGTAGTTCTATGTAGGACCTTCAGGCAAAGACCACCCTCAGGCAAAGACCACCTTTCATTTACTTAATTTGCAGTCAAAATAGCCATAAAGGTACAAGTTATTCATTTTCCAGGAGATATTTCTAAGGCAATTAGATATAAGATAATCCACTTGCATAAGCAAGAGCAAAGTCAAGGAAAATATGTAAAAAAAACAGAAGTTTCCAAAAGTAGAGTTCAAAAAATTATTAGAAGATTTAGAGAAAATGGAACTGCTAACAACTGTGCAAGACCTGGTAGACCACCAAAACAGATTAACAGTACTTTAGACTTTCATCTTTATAAGATCAAGCTACACTCTTGCTGAAAAAATCTGAAAAAATCCACAGGAGTTTCTGTCCATCCCTCTACTGTGAGAAGACACTGTGAGTCTAAAGGTTTTTCTTTGAAAAACTGAAAGCAAGTCTCCAAAGTATGGAAGCTGTAATAAAAGCAAAGAGTGGACACACTAAAAACTGAACAAATTATATAATATTTAGTTGTTGAGGCTAACTTGTGCTTAATGTATGCGTGCGCATGTGGGTCTGTATTACCAGATATTATATTAATTATTAGTACACACACACAGACTAATGATACAATTAATATCACATATCACATCTCATATCTCATAAGTATACATGTACACACACACACACAGACATATATATATATATATATATATATATATATATATATATACAGTAAATAAGATCTTGTTTATCTAATAAATCATTTCTCTGCACTGTTTTTGAATATGTTGCTCTCAGTACTAAGCCTGTCGAGCGGTGCTGTGACATCAGTGGAGGCGTTCATCATTGAGGCTCTGGCGGATGAGAGCTGTAGATGATGCTGCGCGTGATGAAAAGCAGCCTGCTGACCCGCTGATGCAGCTCAGCCTCCGTCCTTCAACCAGCTGCTCCCTCCATCTCCCGAGCTCTCCTTAGCACCGCAGAGCGACTCCATGGGGAAGCAGTGAGTGATCTGACCTTTGACAGGCAGCGAATGACAAAGCAAAGGTCAGCGCTTCTGCAGTCAGCTGAGGAGCCGCGGAGGATGAGCGCCCTGGAAGGTAGGATGCGCTAACAAATCTGCTTTTACTCCGAAACCTTCAGAATCGGCCGTTCACAGCGTCGTGCGTTTGTGACTGAGACTGAGCGATTACACAACAAGTCGTGCCCGTTACATTTATCCCTGTTATCGCAGAGGCTGCTGTGCATCTCACCCTGACACGGTGAACACAGCCTGCTGAGGCGGGGATTCCGCGCTCTGCTCTAAGGCTTTTGGCTCATATGAAGGACAGACCATCAGTGAAAGCTGCAGTAACACTGCTGAAGTTGGTTTCTTTTTCGAATTTCCCGTTCCACCTTAAATGCTGCAGCAGTTCCGTTCGGGTGTCTATTAGGATGAAAGGAACTGCTGCACCGTTTAAGGTGGAACGGAAAATTCGGGTAAGAAGCTGACGAAAAAGAAGGCTACTTCAGCTTCGTGCTGCAGTAAAGCGTCTCTGTTGAGCAGTGTTTGGACTCAGTGGAGGTAGCTCTCCTCTCTGTGGTGGGATCAGCTCTGATTTGTCTCTTATAATAAAACCGGGGGGCTTTATGAGTCAGGCTGACGATCATGAACGGCTGGTTTAAGGCTACATTTCGACGGCATTAACTTAACAGCTGGTTTAAGCGTGGATGCCGGACAAGATGGCAACAATTCGTGCGTGTTTGCAGGACAAAATGACTTCTGATGTTTTTCCTCCACAAACTGGAGTGAACGGAAAAGAAAGCGGAAGTGTAGCGGCGGGTCGCTGACGTCACCTGGTGTCGGGTTTGGCCGGTTAGCAGCTGTGAGGGCTCTCCGCTCTCCTCGATTAAAGCCACTGTCTGTCAGCCGTAACACAGCACAGAACCCCTGTCCAGTAAGGGTAAATACTAGTAAAGCTCGCAGCGAGACAAAAAAGGAGTTTAAAAAGCGCTGGGGAAATCCTGAATACTGACATCATAGCGGAAGTGCGTGTTGCCCTGGATACAGAGCTTTTTTAAATTGCAACGACTTTCAGTTAACAAAATATGGTACCTAACAAAGACAAAAAAGAGTATCTGTCAGGAAAACATTCTATAATATATTAACATGTAGGTGATATAAAATAAACAAAGCAAAACGGAAAAAGGAAAGAAAAAGGACTCATGAGAAGTTTATAACACCATCATTAATTCTAATCGTTTTTAAACTATTCTTGTTATTAACCATTGTAGAAGTATTTAAAGTCAAAGTCATTTAAAAAATATCAAACTTTGTGGGTATTGCGAAAAAAATGCACTCGTATGTCGTGTTTACCCATTGTAATTGTATTTGATGTAGGCTCCACATCTGGATCGGTATATGAGATGTATTTAGCATAATACATCACACAACTTTTAGTTAAAGGTAGTTTGTTTTTATTTGCAAAGAAAATTGATAAGCCTAACCAAAAAGTAGAAGCAAAAGGACAGTCAACAAAAAGACAACAGAGATAGCTTGCTCTGTCTCCATGGAGCTGACGCCACTTCCACCTTGGCCAAGGCAGGCTGTGCAGCCATGCAGCAGCTTTATATTCAACGATTTAACTATAAATACTCTATATATTCAGACACCCCTATTAATTTGAGAAGAGAACATGGATGTTTACCCTGAAAGATTAGGCTAGTGCAGCGGCAACAATGACAAGTTGAGAATGGATTAAACTAAGAGTGGAGAATTCTGGTCCTGGAGTGTCACATTTCTGTGTAGTTTGGTGATTTTCCTTCTCAAACACTCCTGATTCAACTCAGCAGACAATTGTTGCATTTAATCGGAGTGTTACCACAGGGCAAACAGGGGCTGTGTTAGACTGTGGTCTCTGTTCCTCTACACTGGATCAAATCATCTAGC